CGTCGGACTGGCTGGGCTTGTGGGCCGTCGTCTTCGGCCCAAAAGAAAAACAAAAAAACAATTATCTACGGCTTGTTCGGGGTGGGACATCGGCCACAGCGCACCAGGCGGAACGCCGCTCCGCGTCCCTGCTGCAGGAGAGGACGTGGTTCGACGCGGACTTAAACTTGCATGAACAGAGGGGCAACAATATGTAGGAAGTTGTATTACATACCAAGTGGGAAGAGCGCCTGGTAGCGGCTTACTCCTTGCCGCCAGATGGTACGGGAGGCAATTAGCTACGCTTCGTCTCGCTAGATCAGGTCACACATATTGCTGGCTGAGACAAGCAAGGTTCGGGCAAATTCTTGACAGGAAGTGTAACTAAACGAGAGATACATTGACCAGCGTTATGTACATACAAATGTCGATTCGCCTACGAATGGCCCGCACCTACACTGCCAGACACTATGTCTCACCTTCCCAGACCGCGGCGAGGAGGTTCCGTAGGGCAAGAAATCTATGGGTACCCTTGACATTGTTTTACGAACGTCCTTCCCATACACATAAGACATTCTTGTAGAGAGTATGAGCCGGGAATCACCGCACCCCGAAACTCACTTGCGACATTACAGAAGGTCCGCTATCCACTTGATTTCTTCGTAATGGTGACCAGGAAGGGAATCGAGCGGCTCCGCCCAGGGGATTCCGAACCGACGACGCCACGTTGCAGAGACTGCCGCAGCCACCATCTGGCTCGCAGAGCAAGAGAAGAAAGACGGCTCCACCAGTGCAGCCCGGAGGACACGCAAGACTTCGAAGCGTATGTATTGCTCCAAGGGGGTGCGCGAATCGGGTGGATACACAAAGTCGAGGAAGTGGATTGGGGTTGAGCCGTTGACGCAGTGGCCAATGCGGTGCAGGATGCTCGCCCGTGTGCTGAGAATGCTGTCCATGGAGAGCTGGCGATCTGTATCCATGACTGCGGTCTCCAGCATCGCCTCAACGATGGCTCTGTGGACTGCAGTGAGGCCGAGTGCCATGTCAAGACATGCGCTGCCGACCTTCGCGTAGAGCACCTCCCTGGTCGGCTCAAAAATGGCCCATTTTTCAGGTTTGAGGATGGCACGGAGAGCAATGTTGACTGCGGCGAAGACGACTTTGTGCTCGAAGCGGAAGCGCTCGTCGAGCGACAAGATGTAGTGGATAACGCCTTCACAGAGCTCTTGCAAGAGATCCTTGGTATCTGTATCCCAGTCCTCCTAGGCTGCCGGGACGCAGAGCTGGTTCTCGTGAATCGCTGCGTTGATCATGAGACCTGCGGACGCGCCGATTAGACCTTGCGCTTTTGCTTGGTGTCAATCATTCAGGTGACGGGTGTGACGGCTGCAATCGTCGGAGCCGGCCTCAGGGCCAAGTTGGGAAAACAACTCGTCCATGTGTACGTTCTTCTGGCGGGTCTTCCTTGCCACTTGGTGAGATGGCGACTGCCTCTGCCCAGAGACTTTGTAGACGAAGCATGTTTGGCTTGGTCTCTGTCCACTAAGAAAGAAGAGGTGCTGGCGGAGTCAGCCTGTAGACTCAACGATTCAGAATCGCCCTGTCTGGTGTATTGGCAGGTGCTGGAGGCGGTCTCGAATGGTACGCTTACCTCGGTGCTGGCTTGTGCACCCGTGAAGCAGATCGGGGTTGATGTTGATGATGGAGAAAAGAGTGATGGCCTGGTGATGGCTGCCGGGGAAGTGCGGTCTTGAGCACCTAGTGACAAGGCACCGCATAACGCCACCTAGTCACCCGTGGAGCTCGCACTGCAAGTGCTCCCGCTCTCCTGGAGATATGTCCCCCCGGGGTGCTCTGCTTATTAGCCAGCATGAAGGAGCCGAAGCATCGCAGGGACGCTTGTCCTGATAATTCAAGGGGTAGCTGACCGCATTGTGGCGGCCCGAGGCTTCGCCAGGTGACCGCACAGACTCACCAAACATGGCTGGAGGGAGGTTTGGCTGCCTTCAGCGGACGCAAGCATGACGGCAAGCAGGAGCTGAGTATCCCCGCCTGCAACGAACATTCGCGAGTAGCGGGTAGGTGGCCTTTGCATGTCAGGACACTTCCAGGGTCATTGCCACCGCGCAAGCTCAAAAGAGGGCAAGCATGAGGGCGCACAATCAGACCTTCACCAGGGGGCCTCAGGACCAGTCCTAGGCCAAGCCCTCAGAGCAGACGGGCAGTGTCGTGAAATATTGAAGCTCGGCATGATCTCAGACTGACAGCTTGGCCTGAGCCCCTTGACGAGACCCTCTTCATCTTGGTTCATGTGATATATCATGGAGTCGTACGCCATACTGAAGGTGGAAGATCGTCATCGAATGCATGTGAGCCTTCGCACATTCGAACCAGGCATCCGAACGGTGCGCATCCATACGTCCTCCTCCAAGAATAGCTGGCTGTGGTGGACTCGTGACCGCTGGGAGTTGGTAGATGTCGCGCCTCCATCTTGCCACATATGTGACACCGCTAGTGTGAGCTCTTCGTAGATCCATCCAAGCATCATCACGACCCCTTCTGACCCCAAGATCCACCACATGTCGCAGGGCTATCGTCTGCGTATATGAAGAGATGGGCTATGAGTGAAGCTCGCGAGAGTTCTGCATGCCTAGACGACGAGAAGAAGCTGAGCTACCGAGTGCCCACAGGCCCGTAGGGCGGTGTTCACCACATGATGTATTGCATCCAGACTGCACGACCTAAAAAACCATAAGCTGGTTCTGTGATCACTCAACTACCTACCTAGATACCCTACATGCTCAATGGTCTTGAACTGCTCCGAACATTGCCGAAGGTTCTTGCTCCAGGGTCAAAATCCGACACCTTTCGAGAAGACGCCAGACTAGACTGCATAAGCATCTCAGCATCTGGCATCCGCGACTTCATATGCTTGGGACAAGCTGTTGCTCACGTCGCCATACAGCTCTGACCCCACAGTGCCTCACACCTTGCGCTCTTGACAATGTTCTCCGTGGAGCCGATGTATCCCTCGAATTCAGACTCGTCTTTCGACTTCCCCTTGTCATCCCCCTCCTTAACCGGGCTCACATAGCCATATCGTTCACTCGGTTGGTAATGATTGAAGACTTGTGGCGACACGACGACGCAGTTCAGCTTCTTATCGCGGCAGTATTCGTGTAGCGACACGTCGAATGCCTCGCCATTTGCAGCTGTAGCGAGGTTAAGCAAGTTGTGCGCGCCCCTCCGTGACACTGCATATGCGAAAGTGCATATTGTCATGCGAGACTCTTGCACGGCTCGCTGCCCTAGGGGAACCTCGTTAATAACAAAGTCTCGTGCCCATCCATGATATTGCTGATTCGTGGGCCTCGTTGGGTCGATATAGTATACGGGTCTTCTGTGGTTCTTATCATGACCATTCAGATTATGGCCCAACGAGCCGCAGTGTCCAACCCATAGCACGTCCCAGCCTGTGCCATAAGGTGTGCTATCGTCCAGATCGCTGACCAGCTGGCGCCCAGTCTTGTCGTAGCTGCGGCCAAAGACACGAACGTTATCTGAAACGAGCCGCATCTGGTCTTTAATGCGCAGATCCCAGTCCACATCATCCTCGAGAATCAGCGCCGTTTCAAGGTCCGAAGATATGAAGTGCCGCAATATATTAAGATGTGCTAGCCACGCTGCAGCCGAGCCGGGCTCCGGGCGCGTTGTCTTGCCGGCTGGACCCATCTTGCGAAAGGTCTCGATTGACAGTTTTGTGACTGGTGGTTGCGGAGGAATGGTGAAGTCGAGGCCTGTAAGCTGCGCAGCAGCGGCGAGACCACGCGTTCTCCAACTAGGTGTCTTTGAAAGGACAAGCATCTTCTGGAACTGCTGAAGTATATACTTGGTCAGCGGTCGTCGTGATGGTTGTACGGTGTCCGGCGCGGATAGTCGGGTCTCACCCCTAGCGTTCTGTTCCCAGCCTGCTCGCGCGGAGTCCTGTCGCTATCCTGCAGTAGCCCATTGTCTGAGCTCTGTACGAAGTTCGGAGTGGTGGAATGATTCTGTATAAGGATCCATAGGCTGGCAGTGGTTGCCAATGCTCCTGTGACGAGGAGACCGGCGAGCAGCCTCAGTGAGCGACGGGCAACCAGAGTTCTGGCAATTTGCATGTAACAATACATGTTGTTGCTAGCCACTAAAGCCTTGTACGATACCTCGAATGCAGTGTGAACCCAGGCAGCTTGCAACTTATGTGGCTTGTTGATAAACTGATTGGCTTAAAGGAGTGAGGTTTCGTAGATCCATTCCAAGCCTCGAAGATATCTTCAAGGCATCACAGCCTTAGCACCCAAATGTAGCTACTAGTGGCAGCGGGTCTTTTTCGCCGCGGTAAACAAGCATCGAGCTGAACCCAAAGAATTCTCATTGTCCTATATTGGCTCTGACACGGATCAGAATCTGGATGCAGTTAAGCGGCTGGAGCCCTAATTGCCAGATCGTGGGACAGGTCGAGGGCTGTCTTGCTGTGGAGAGTGAATAATGGTAATACACGCGTCCGACCCAATCATGGCGCGCAGAGACAGCGCTCCATCATTGTGTTGAAAGGCTCTGATTGGCCTTCAGCTGCTGCCTTGGAGACTCTTGGTCTCAGGGAGTGTGAGCCAAATCAGTGGATACGCCACAATTGGCGCATCCATTTTTGACATGTACACTATGAGGCACACTTTTTATGATCCAAGTCAGGTCAGTGCTGTTCTCATGAGGCCTCCATTTTTGTTTCAAAGTGGCCTATGAATAATCAGATGGGCAGGGTAATCGGATGTCACATAGATAACTTGCAACGATCAGGCCCCAGCCAACGTTCTTGTGCTTGTTGGTACTGTAGCCCAGGACTCTCACGCACATCCTCCTTCAAGCAAACCTTCACAATACCAACAAGGGAGTCCAGTCCTATCGCCGCGACAACACCTGTGACTCGGGGCCGCCTTTGCCGCCAGCGAACATTGCCGTTGTGTCGAGGACAACAAGGGGCAATGTCGGGACCTCGCCTAAAGGCGAACCTCCTCTCCCTCCCAGCCGAGGTATGTCCTGCTTCATGTTCTCCAGTGCCAGTCAGGGAGCGGAGTTGACTGTTTGGATGCGCATAATGCCAGATCCGGTTGTCCATAGGCAATTATATGCTAGAGGGCCAAAGGGAGATTGAGCTTTCGCAAACTGGCGGAAGGACGTCGAACACGTGGGAAGCTGCGACTGGGGAGCATTACGGCCTTGACACTCAGAGGATCACCGACATCCACAACATGAAGTTTCTCGGCAACGTGCTGACAGCCGGAGGCCCGCTCAGCGTGCTGCGACACTGCTTTAGCAGCTTCGACGATGTCTATCTGTTCTTGTCAGCACATAGGCCAGCAGCACTCACGCAAATCCGCTACCTGGTTGTCCACTGGTCATGGCTTCCACCAGTTGGGGAAATGCAGGCAATGCTGGCGGGCACAGGACCAGTGCCCCATCCTCGAGATGTCGGAGTTTCAATCAACGGACGGGGCCAGCATGACCACATCCTGGCGCTGCTGTCGCACGCCTCGCGACTGAAGCGGTTTGCGCTGCGGATCGACATGACCAACCACTACGACTCAATCGGCGCATTCGATCAAAATGTAACCGAGACAGTGCTGTTAGAAGCGTTCACGTCGATCGAGAATATCTTCTTCCACACACCCGATGAAGATGACGGCACCGACATGTCCACTGTGACGCGGTTAATCAACCTCCCGGGATTCCGACTCGAGTTTTGCATGTGCACCTACGACGATTCTACCATGAATCTTGTCGAACACCAGATTGTCGACGTGGCTACACTCGAAGGTGGCCTGCCCGTCAACTTTGGGGCCGACCTGCCATCGCACGCGTTCTGGACCAGCCGGGAGACTCGCAAACGTGTCAAAGAGCTCAGTGTCGAGATCTATCGCCGCCAGCTGCGCCATGCCAGACTTCCCAGGCCTCCTCTTCCCGCCACCTCCGGCACTGCACGCATGAAGGCTGCCTATGACGCCAGTGGTCTCACCGTTAGTGGTCTTTACAAGGATGTCCAGTGGCTAGACCGACCAGACCAGCCACCGAGTTCTCGAACCCGGCGCTGCAGCAAGCTCACGAGGCACAATACCATCGCCAGGCACGCGGCCCAGCTTGTGGACCCAACCGACGGGCTAATCAAGCAGTTCATAAAGGTACAAGTGATTTACCAGTCCGGCGGAAACATCATGGCTGCAGTCCGCCGCTGGAGCGGCAATGATGAGCAGCACGTTCCGCTGTCTGCGCTTATGGGCGATGAGGGTCTCGATGCCTTGCACGACTTCCTCGCCTCCCCAGCCGCCGATCTCCAAGTCATATTTAGTGCCGTCAACCCCGTGAAACTCCTAGAGGAGCTTGGCAGCTGCGACTGTCGACGAAGCAGAGCACTGAAGCGAGTACAGCGCATCTTGCGGACGGCCGCTACAGCGCAGTCATGCAGGCCAATCATTCGTGGGCCACGAGGAGTCGATGAACATACCGCAAGGCCATCTCGGATTCTTGACTGCTGGATGAGTTGTTAGAAATCGTTGTGACTGCGGCCCAAATCTTTTCATGTCAAGTCTGTTTGTCCATACGTCGATATGTCGATATGGTGTTGTTTTTGATCTGGAGATGCTATCAGTCCCTTAAAGAAAGAGAAAATATGTAGGGCGGACGCATGATCTTGTGCACGTATTTGGGAAACTGCTGATAGCTTTGACACGATAGTGTCCGCAAATGGACTGTTTGTATGCCGAACATGGTGAGCGTGTCCATGGCTACCGGTGGCGGTTTGTCGGTTGCTCTAAACAGATTGATGACTACGGCGGAGTGAGGACTCCCGGCCAACCATATACCCGTGCCAGGAGCGGGTGTGAGGAGTCAAGTGTCATTCGGACGCAGCACAACCAAATTTAAGTCTGCTCCTGCTTCTTATCATCCGCTTGAAGTGCAAGGCAGACTACGAGCGGCTTACACTTTCCTTCGCACCATGACAAAGTTTGATAGCAATCTCAGCCTGGCGTCCAACACTTTGATATGTGCACTGCCTGACAGGCTTCTCAGGACCTCCTAGAAGTGAAGCACCCCCGTGCACTTTGTGCCTCCCTTGCCTTCTCTATCTCTATGCCAATCTCGTGGCCACCCACATCTGAAGCAGCAGGAATTGGCCACGAATCCTGTCGCACCCCTGAGGCGGTTCGCTGTTCCCTTGCCGTGTATTTCTTAAATGTAATGGCTCTGGTGCCGCTTGCCGTTAATCAGGCGCACTGCATAGAGTTTCTTGCTGAGCATGACGGCCATCAGTCGCTGAAAGTCATCAATGCGTACCTTGTCCTCGAGCATGGCCGAGCGCTCCTGCTGGCTCTGGCTGCCCTTTGTGAAACTTGCCGGTGTCGCCGTTGCCTTCGCTTGTGTCTTGGTGGTTCTTGTCTTGGTGGTTCTTAGTTCTTGACGCTTTGGCGCGCGGGTCCCCTAGGACCAGGGTCGCGCCACTAGCGGTTGTGCCAAAACGGCACGCATACGACGCGCCGTCGAGGTATGGCGCCGAGCCGGGTTTGGAGCACTTCCATGTCGACTTCCACTCCTCTAAATGTCCTGCTGTGGTGAGACTGGCCCGCTCAGGCTCAGGTTGTGGCGCGTACAGCATGACGAAGGTGTTGGCAACTCATCAAAAGCACGCTTCGTGGGGTGTGCTGTACCTTAGCGCAAGTGCTGAAATAACCATCAGTGCGGTGGCGAAATTCCATCCGGATTTTGGGTCCAGATACGGAGGTCCATAGGGGTGAAAACGTAAAAGTAGGCCGGATATGAGTTAGCTCACCCCGAGTGTAGGGAGTCGCAACAGATCTTTTCTCTGTATACTATTACGCTATGTATTTATCTACAGGTCGGTATGTAATTAGCGTGGTAGAACATCCCAAACTGCCCCCGCATTGATGGAATCGAGGTCGATTCCGCTAGATTGACGTCGGCCAAATCATTTATTTCTCGGAGACGATCCAGATGAGTCTGCTTGAAAAGCTCGAGATACTTAGTACGCACGTAGTTAAATCGACACGAACCCGGGAAAACTCGTAGAATCAGAACACAGATCTGCCACGTTGCATATCACCTCCAAGCAAGAGTCTGCAATCTTCCTAACCAGGACTACAGTGAATTGGAGGGTTTACAGGATGATTGGCATGTTTCGAGGACGATTCCCATCAACCTAGAACGATGCGAAAGATTGTAGCTCCATTGATCATTAGTTATTACATTTTGAGCTACTTGATAAGATGAGAAGCGTACCAATATCGAGCCAACTTCTCATTCACCAGTTTTCTGTATTTTTGAAGGGAACCACACGGAGTAAAAGGCGTTCGCAACGCCCTCTTTAGCTAGCTCAAGTAAAAGGCGAAATAACTAGCGCACGAGGCTGTACAAGCCAGAAGTGGACGCACTTCGGATATAAGTTTCTGCATCGGTGGCGGCCCCTCTTTTGATCTGGTCTTGAAGCTCTACACGTTCAATGTTTTCAGTAAAACAATTCTCTACTGGCATGCGTATGGTGCAAGCATTTGCGGAATATAGCTGTGGATGCACGGAGAAATCTTTTCAACCATACTCGGCCATGTCAGAACTGCTCCAGAAAGGATATTCCTTGGAGCGAAATGGCGAAATCTACGCTTCCTGGCGCGATGAATGCCCAATACACAAGGCTCTCTTCATAGGCAAGGCCCTTATCAAAGTTCGCAGGCAGAATACGAAGCCAGAAGAAGAGCAGTCTTTGGCCTGGCTCCGTCACATCATCTGCAGCCGCTCATACTTCGTTCGACAGGGCAACCACGAGTTCTGGCTCGACCTGCTCCGGAGGTGGTGTATTATCATTACTGAGGGCCACTCACGCGTGTCGCATATAGCATCACCTCAAATGACTCAAGCTGTCCAGATAGCAAGCGACATAGAAGGTCAGGTCTCGAAGGAGGCCTATTTTCACTTGTTCAGCTGGCTTTTGGGTGGCCCGGGACAGAATGGTGGAGGGACGTCACACTACGAGAATCCGACAAGCCCAGAAGTATATCGTCAATTGGAAGAGAACCCTTTCGCGTTCAGTCACTTCTGTCTTCGTCTAGAGAGCGATCGCCCATCGCTGCAGACCTCGGCATTCGACTATGCTAAGATGCCATGGGAGGCCCGACCCCTATTAGGGCTCGCTCTTGATCCAGTAGTTGCGCCACTCACTAGCAAACCTCCTACAGGTAGCAATAAGGCTATATAGCCGCTCTTCTAATTATGTTTTGATTTGCCCGTGCAGATACGTCTCAGTTCGCGAGCGTGGTATAGCTACAATGCCGCGCTGGCATGTACAGTCGGATTCGAGATCGGTGTCCGGCTTCCGTTGGGCGTAAGTCTCTGTGCGCACGAGCCACTCGTCTTGGCAACGTGGGGCACATAAGTGGAGACATGCCTGGACAGACCGGGCATCTCGGACAGCTGTTTTGCGCGCCAATAGTAATTTATAGCGTCGTCTGGTGTCTTTTATTTATTGCATCGACGAGGTGAACGTGGAAGAAAAGCGGCATATGGTATATGCCAATATAATACGGTCACTGCAAGCAAACATTCCCGCAGTTATTACTATGCGGAACGGAATTTCTACATTACATGTTCATGCAATCATGCCAAAATGGCCGGCAAGATGGCTGCCTGAATGTGCAGTGCTGTAGCTGCCTTGCGAGGCTGACTCCTCATCCTCCGCAAACTGGGTCGCTTTTAGGCACCCCGACACAGTACTATCCAGTAGTATGATATCTGCGGAATAGGACACTGGTTTCAAGCGTCAGCCCCGCTTCTGGTTCCCGCAGGTGGGACTGTCGTTCCTATCGTTTCAGCAAGTCTTCCCCAGCGGTTGCAGGCGTCTTGCCCAAGGTGGGCGTACTGTCTGCGAACGACGCTCCGCAGCAGCCCCTGAAGGATACCCCGCCGATTCGGGAGCTGGGTTGTTTGGCTTGAAGGAAGAGCAGATGACTCGGTATGGGCTACGCATATTGAACCTCGAGGAGGAAAGCTTCGCGCGAACGGCTTGCCGTTGTCGGAACAGTTGAGCCGAGACCAGTCCTCGGTGTGCTCGATAGAGGCTGCTCACGCTCGCTGTCTACGGCTCTGCCCTGGCCATTGCATCCACTGGTTTCTGCAGCTCCCTTTGGCTCATCGTATCGATGAGTTACAGCCACCTTAAGGATGCCGCCCACTTCTCCGTATCGCTCACCCTCCCACGTTAGTTATCATCGAGAACGAGAAAAGATTGATTGCTTGACTATCGCCTCTAAACGCGTGAACATATCTCCTCAAGCAGCCGCCGGCGGTGACGGAGATGGGGCCAGCCGGGGCGGTGTTGTGCAGATTCGCGTGCCGCTGGACATCGTTCTGGATCATGAAGTTATCGAGGCGCAGGAACATGTAGTTTGGCTGGGGACGATGTCGGACGCCATGCTCGCAATTATTGATGACTTTGGGCTTCACCGGCTGCTTGCCTCTGGGGTATGATTGTGACTGAGGCACAAATTGCAGGCCAGGTAGTTGACACACGCTTTCAAAACGCGTGTCCTCCTTGTCAAGTCTTGATGTTGCGTGCAGCACAACACGTTGCCTGACGAGTGAAGGCGAACGGCTAGCCGTGGCCATCTCTCTTGAGACCCTCCGTTGCGCTCCATGGTCGTCTCGCATGAAGACCGGCACTCCTCCACGGACCCAATAATGCCGTTATTGCGATAATTCCGCTACCTGCATGCAGAGGACGGCTCAGCATAGCAGGGGGTCCAATGGCTTGTGGCTAGCTGAGCTCGCGCTGCATTAGCCCAGCTGCATCTCTAAGCGTTGCGTCGCATGCGCATCGCATTGCAGGGTAACCGTATTGCTTTTATTTCGACAGCGGTGGCTGGCTGAAGCGTGTTGCAGGGGCGCTCATGCAGGCCACGGGCCTCCTGTCCTTTGGCACACGGCAAAGAAGGCAAAGAACCCCGAGAAAGTACACTGCAAGGGATGAGCGGAAGCGCTGGTGTGATTTGATGCTCGGACTGATTAGTCTCTGTGGCTGGCTTGGAGTAAAGTCAAAGGGAAAGGGGGAACCTTGCAGCAAGATGCCGCCGCGTGGCAGTCTGAAAGTGGTCGCTGTGCGAACGAAATTGCATCATCCAAAATATGCATGACGCCCGCTAGACCATACACAGGGCTTTCTCACCACCTCCAAGCACGGGTGATGACAGTCGGGAACCACAAATCCACTCTCATGGCCTCTTTACCCCTCTATCCCGACGACCTGCTTCTTATTCGGCCCGAATTGTGCCGTGACGAGCCTCGAGTATTTTGCTTCGCTGAGTGCCGAGGCTGCCTCGAGCTGATGTCACGGGTTGCGAGCCGTCCTGCTGCACATGGATGCTTCCTGGTATGGCATCGTCTGGCGTGTCGACATCTCGAACTCGAGCATCGAAAAGGTCTGTGGGGACGGCACGGGCGGCCTGGATGGCAGAAGGCTGATACTGGCGGCTCATGCTGCCGCGGGAGGACTCGAGGACGGACTGGGCATCACCTGAAGCCCGCAGGCGGAAGAGGATGTCGAGAGCCTCGCCCTCGGGTGCGGTGCACATCATGTGGAGGAGCTCGCCCTGGCGCTTGTGGACCTCGAGGGACTGCTTCTTGACATCGGCGCTGTAGAAGCAATAGACCTGGCGCTTGGCACAGAGGCTGCACTTTGGCCGGCTCCGGTTGCACTTTGGAGGGGAGCGGCCATGGTCAGCGGGGGACAGGCAGGAGGGCAGAGTGGAAGGGAGAAGAGGAGGCTGACACGACTCTTTTGGCTGCGGCAGCGGTCACAGGCGCCCGAGTTCTGGCGGCGGCCGGCGGCTGACTCGGCGGAGGCGTCGGTGGTGGTACTGCCGGACTCTCGGGGAGCCGGCAGCAATGGCCGAAGGTTGGCACCACTCATGGGTAGAGCGAGGTCGTGGCTGGCAGGCAGGCCTGAGGCTTGCGACGCTGCAGGAGAGGCGTGGGAGAATGGGGGGGTGGGCAGATGGGGACTGGGTTGGCTAGTGCTTAGTGCCGCCGAGTTGCAATGCCACGGAGGAGCAGAGGCCAGGGGGATCCGAGGGGGATCAAGAGGGAGAGAGGCAAGGCAAGGCGGGCAGAGAAAGAAGTTGGAGGAGGGCGGCGTTGGTGGAGGTCTGGCCATGGACGAGAGTCGAGAGAGTGATCACGAATTGCTGATGCGGCTCTCGCGGCCCTGGTGAGACGGAGCATTGCGTGTGGATGATATGAGACCTCGCCATCTGAGTGAGGTTATCACAGATCTGCGTATCAGTGCGCGTTGAGCTACCACCGCCTTCATCACAGAACCTGGATGAAAATGTACCTACCTAGGTACACAGGTGCGAGAACTATCGTTCGCCAATAAGATCGCATCAAGCGGTTGCACTACTCCGTACGGGGAAGACTCCATCCATATTTATCCTGCATTAAGATTCCTCCCCTGCATCGTCACTCGGCAAACGGCCTCGTAGTCCCTCAAGATCCTTGGATGTCAGAACGACCAACTTTGATTGCTCCCATTCCCACTTGAATCCAACATCGTCCTTGAAGATGTTGATTTCGGCCTTTGTTGGGGATCCGCCTCTTTCTGGGCATTGTCATCATTCCCTGGTTCGTCGATGAAGGGAGAGAGAAGACTTACTGCACAAGGCCTGGAAGTTGCCAGCCCAACGATGACGTGGCGCGCTCGTCTACTTTTCCTGCGGGAGGGAAAATCAACAAACAGTCTCAGTGAAGCGAGCGGGGTAAAGAGGGTGTGACCAGCTAGCCTGCTCTTGGGCTGCGGACTTCATCCGTTTGGTCCGAAGGAAGTCCACCTTTGGGTTCCCAGGTGATGTCACCGTTCTCCCACCCGACCAAAAAGGTGTTCCCCCACTTCTCCAGAGCCGTCTGACTGGGTAAGTCTCCATAGCTGGACTGCCGTTAGCTAGAATCTACTCGACATCGTTCTGTTTCAAGAAACTTACACAGAGGAGACAAACGGCGGTGCTGGGGGGTTGTTAATTGCGAGCTGGGGAGTCAATTAATAGATGCTCGAACACCATCCTGTTCTGTGCAGGTATCGTGTACTTCGCAGAAGACAGAATTCTGTTCTCGTCCAGCGGGGCTCTAAGCGCTGTAGTGGGGCAACCCACTGCAGCGCGGCACACAGCCCATGCCTAACAGCCGTGCGCATGGGCCGCCCTTCTCATGCAACTCAGCCTGTCTGGGCGCTGGGAGGGTGACGAGATATTGATTGACCATGGCATAGGTAGTATATATCACAATGAGGAACCGCGATCTCATCGCTGAAGAGCTGGGGCCCAGCAGAACGAGTACAAAGACGTCATGGCCACCCAAGTGCCTGCCCACGCGCACGACGCAAAAAGCTCGAGTCGGTACATTTCATACCTCCAGTCTGGTCTCTCGCAACCCAGAAGGGTGTTGTTGATACCGCAAAGAGACGGGAGAGGTAGGTGGACTGATTTGCAGATCCCACGACCGTGTATGGCGCGACTGACGGCTGAGCAGATACTGCAACGATCAAAACCTCGGAGACTGGCAAACCGTGCTACTCGAAGCTGGCGAGAGCATCAAGTCGATTGCTATGGACTTCCTTCTTTGGATATGCGAGAGGAGCGCGGTGAGATCCTATGGGACTACCTGGGTCTACTTTCGAATGTATGCGAGGCCGGAGAAAACAGGAAAGAGAAAGAGTTGCATGCGTGACGGCCGACCCGGGTTCTTTTGTGTCTCTCCTCCCGACGCACGCGTGGGAACGGCCGCAGCTGCGGGAGCATGAGTAATTCTGGTGATCCGAGGCGTAGAGCTACGTCAACGCGCCTGCAGGCCTGTTACTCAATGACCCATTACCTCATTGTGCAGCTCCTGGCCTGGGGGAGGAGCATCTGCTCCTACTTGCGCCGTCTTACCAATCGCCAAGCTCAACTGTCCTGCCCGCAGCGCACAACGGCATTTGCCGTCCGTCGGTCGTCACTGCCCAGCTGGGCGAGGATCCTGCACACCGCGCGGGCGGGCAGGTAGGCACTTCTTACAAAACAGCTCCCTGGGCCTGCCCTGGTGCCGCCTGCCACCGCCGCACTGGCCCCGACGTTCAAGGTTGCGACCTCCCAATCTTCTTACATCCCCTCCATCGCAAGACACGCATTCGCATCCGCACCCGCGGACTTCAAAGACCTCGTTTTTCACACGACACTGGAGCCAGAAACACCCCCCATTTCTTTCATAGGCATGGAGTCACCAACCACTATGGCGACAAGTCCCGCCAATACACAAGATAACACAATGGCAGACTGGTCCGGCCAGAGCTACTGCCTGTCCTGCGACAAGCTTGGCGACATGTCCTGGATGCCCCTCGGCAACGCTGCTTTACAAGCGTTTGACACAATGCAATTCGACACGCTGGTCCCAGCCGAGCTTAACACGGCCATGGCCGATGATGCCGCGCCGAGCATACAATCCTGGCCCAATTCGCCCTCCAGCCTGCTAGGCGCATTCTCTGATGCCGTCACCGCATCTACCTATACCAGCCCGGACGACGTCGGCACCGAGCCATCCTCGTCAAGGCGGCATAGCTACTATCACCTGCAGCAACACAAGACAAAATCGCAAGCCGGCCGGTCAAAACGGAGAGCCAGCTCGTCGGTTTCAAAGTCACAAGCAGCCACTGCAACATTCTCTATAGAAGACGGCAGCCCCAGTACCTCAACCGCCACCAGTAATACCCGGAGTAAGAAAGAGACGATCCGTGAAAAGAACAGGACTGCCGCGACAAAGTACCGCAACAAGATAAAGAAGGGCGCCGAGGAGCTGCAGGAGATGGAGAGCCAGCTCTCCGAGAAGAACAGAATTCTCAGCGGACATGTCGAGTGCCTGCGTAACGAGATCCTGTCGCTCAAGACAGAGATCCTGCGGCACGGCACCTGCGAGAGCCCGCTGATACAAGAGTACATTATGGAGACGGCCAAACGGCTGTGAAGTCATTTCACTCATACAACCAATAAACAAGACGAGAAGTTTTGACGGCTTCATCCTGCGCGATTATCGCGGGGCTGGGCTGAAAGCGCTGCGGCTGGCTCGCTCGGGCTGTTGATCGACCAACAGAAGGCTGTGGCGGATCTATTGACGAATAGCAGCAAGGTACTTCCTCTGTCGCTGCGAGACCGCTAGGGCAAAGTCCATCGAAAGGTGCTCGTGATTCCGCCCCAACTTGGACGTATCGGGAACGTCAGTGACACGATCATCCGTTTCTGATTGAAGGGACCCTGTGCACGGAGTACGCGGGCGGCGCACACTCGCGATCGTTCTTACCGAGGCTGCATTCGAAGATGTGCCAACAGAGGAGCGCTTCCCTCCCCCCGCGCAACTTCGAAGGCACAGGCCCGAGCGCAGTGGGTTTGATCGCCGTTGTGATGCAGGCGTTGGCTGACGCGGCGCCAGGCTCGCAGCACCATGCCCTGATTTTTCCAGTGAAACCCCTTCACAGCACCACAAACCATGGGGATTGGCCGCGCGAGACGCGCCGTACCACCCCGCCGCCCCTACACAGGGCATTACCGGATAAATAGACGGCCCGTGCCAATCTTGGCATTGTGGCCCGAGTTTGCAGAGCTGAGAGCATGCCTAAGAAAGTACAAGCCCCGCGCACTGTGATCTCAAATCGCGGCGGCCTCCTTGCATGGTTTGTCGTAGCTCTTGGTTCTGTCACATCTTGGTGTCGGATCACGGTAGGATTCGCAAGCCCTTCAGTGGGCGGCCCATGGAAAATGATGCACTTACCTTGGGTACAGAAGTATGTAGCTGAGCCCTCGTTACTGCTTGCTGCAAAGCCAATCCTTTTACGAAAGATACGAGCTCATCCCATCTGATTTTCCTAGTCGGCTGTTTCACATTGTCCCTGAACTAGATTTGCTGCCTCAAGAGGAAGACAGAGTGGTGCTTGGTACAAGTAGTCCGATGCTCGGCTCCTTTTGACGGAGCTGTAGGCCGAAGATGACGTGTTCGAGAACCTGCTGAATTCGATGCCTGCGCGAATGCAAGCGTGTTTCAACGCAGATGGGTGGTATACTAAGTATTGATGGAATCCATCATGATGTCTAGTCTTTGGGCTTCATTTTCATTCAGCTTTCAATTTAATACGAACTTATTTGAGTGCATAATGCGAAGTCAAAGGTTGCGTGGTCATCGGGACAAGATGGGTGGATCCGGAAGTTGTCGGAACTTTTGCACGCCCTCTGTAGCTTTCAGAATTTTGGGTATGTAAAAGGGAAGATGAAAGAAGGCAGAAATTACCGAGTTTCACGTGACGAGCTGTGTGAGTAGCAAAAACGGGCTGTGTGAATAGCACGGCTCTTTTTGGCGATCCTATAACGTAAGTGCAAGGCGAGTGGTTCAACGTAGCGAGTGGTTCAGTCTCGCGATACCACCCGCTATGTTAAACCACTCGCTATGCACTTACGTTACGTATAGTGTGTACTCCATGTATCCGTACTCGACCGAGTCTCATGTTCCGCCGCTGTACCTGTAGAGCATTGAGTACACATGGGTATCTACAGGATTCCAGCATCGTAGACGGCAATCAATCATACCATAATCGTCTGAAGAATACCGCCCGGTTATTTCCAATCTGTCCCTGAGTTGCACGGAAAGCCCCTAGGCAAAGAAATCATCCGATATTGCAAACTACAGTCCGTAGGAGTAGTGGTATTGTGCACCAACGCGTTAATTGTCCTGTCCCTAACGGTTCCAGGAGCAATTCCACTGATGTCGCCTTTGTCGGCGAGAATAAGAATCTTCGACATCACCTCGAAAGGGCTGCGGCCATCGCCACGCCAGGTGGCATCACTCAGGAGGCAGCAAGCAACGCCAGCAATGTGTGGAGTCGCTGCAAAGAAAGATAGTTAGCTTCATGGGGACTGCTTTCCAGTTGCAACGATATACTTGCCCATAGACGTGCCACTGATTCTCTTAATTGCTGTTGGGTTGTCCTTCCAGCAGGAGAGAATATCGACGCCAGGACCAACAATATCGATCACTATGTCGCTCTGTTAGCAACAACTAAGTCCTAATGTAGCATTCAGTCTTGAGAGCCCATTAATGACGTACTCTTTCCGAAGTTTGAGAAGGGGGCAAACACATCGTTGATATCTGTTGCACCGACAGTGATGGCAAGCGGCTCGCGAGCAGGAGACTGGGCCTCAGCCGACTGCTGGTCTCTGGTTAGCAGGCAGATCATCTCTATCGTACGCAGCAAACTTACAGAAGAATTTCCGGCAGCAACACAGACCACCACCCCACGGCGGACAGTGGATGCAACGGCACCATCCAAAGCTGCACTGGGTCCGCCTCCCAAACTGAGGTTTACCACAGCGCGGCCTTTGATTCTATGCAAATCGACGTCGCCGACGACCCATTCAAGCGCCTTGATGATGTCACTAGTCTGCGCAAACCCCGTTACATCGCTGAACACCTTAACGGCTACCACGTTTGCTTGCTTGGCCACCCCGTATGCCCGGCTTGCGATTGTGCCCGCGACATGAGTGCCATGGCCATGCACGTCCTGATCGCTTGCACCGCCGCCGGACACGAATACGGGTCCCTTGGTAGCCCGTCTCTCAAATTCGATGTGCTTAAGTAGATTCCTACGGTGGTTGAATGAAAGAACTGCTGCCACCGACTCGCGCGTTTTCTTTTTTCTTTTTCTTTTTTTTTGAACACTCAAGCCGCGGTCAAAGCGATAGCTGCTTGCGTAGCTTGGTGTTGACCGACAGACTCGGCATAATGATGATGAGCCTTTGTTGCTTATGAATGCCGACTATGCCCAGCCAGGCCTTCCGTGAAGTTTCGTGATTTAGACCCTAGATGGCTTGTCCATTGGGGAATTGAGCTGTGCTTCGACCAAGGATGCCAGGTATTGACAACGTGAGCACACACCAATTTTTGCTTCTCGAATCAGTCAATGCTGGGATCTGGTGACCGGCGTGTTCAACACATGAGACAGAGTTTCACGAAAGATCTGAGCCACGGATTGTCCTTACTCTTGATATCGATCGGTATCAATGTGTTGTCACTATACAGCTGTGTGAGGTGGAGCACCGATTTCTCTGTCTGAGACCCTATTTGGTTCTGACTAGGCAATGAGAAGATCACTTGGAACACGTGAATGGCACTAGGGCGCTCGTCCATTTAGTCAAAACTTCCCTTGGTACAAGAGCAGACTGATAAGCAGCTATTCATCTCATCCATTGCATGTCCCTGCGAGCGTCGTTCTTTTCAGGACGTAAACCCTTAACCGATCCTGGGCTTACATTGGCCGCTGGCTTGACATGTCAATACTCTATGCTGGGGCAGCGGGGGTTTGTCATGGGAGTGAGAAACTGATTTTTGCAAACGCCCCTTTTCGGGCTTGGTATCACCTCGAGTATCTAGAAACTTGCTAGATGAAATCAATTCAGAGTTGACTTGATGTTTCCTAAAAGACACTGGTATCTGGTTCAATGTATAATTAGGCCAAAATAGTGCCTAGTGCTTGTTCCCGTGGCCACTGCAGAGGCGAGTCTAGTGGCGACCAAGACACGGACAAGTAGACGCGATCGAGCCGACGCATCAAGCTTCCGAGCGGAGCAGGCCATGAAGGTTTTGTGTGGATAGAGTCTAGATCACCTGAATCGCAATGTAGGACGTGACCTCTTGCCGCAAGTGCGAAGCCCTCTTGCACGTGTGATGCCAGGAACACCAGCCTGGCGCTCAGGCACCCTGGGAGTTTACACCTCGTCGTTGCCCCTAACGCGTCTGCCGTACGACACGCCCTGTGGAACCTCTGACAGCGGTCTGCCAGACCGGGGATCAAACTCTGGCTGTTTGTAGGGACGATTTCCGGTATACGATGCGTACCACATCTCGTTGCCGGAGTTGTCGCAGAGTTCCGCGTACATCTCCGTGAGACCATGGATGTCAAAGTACGCCCACCCTACGTTGAAGGATGCGTTGCCTTCGACTGGCTCGTACCCTCCTTCCGCAGAAGGCTCGTAGCTTTCAGCACCGGTAGCGTCGATGACGATGATTTGTCCCTCCTTGAGACACCACGGCGCGCCCGGCGTCCCATCAACTGGCGAGACAGATAGGCTGTTGAGGCACACCTGATCGACGTAGACGCAGTATTTGAACCGTGGCAGGTCTTCGACCAAATTGGGCGCATCCGCGCCTTCGCCGTCGCGCTCGACGGAGCGCGCGTCCACCCACCTGAGGAAGCGAGGCCGGACGGCATCCTTGCGGGCGTTCTCGAGGACCGCGCGGTCTTCGATCACGGTGATTTCGAGATCGGGCCCCAGCTCGGCCTCCAGCTCGAAATCGTGGAGCTCGTCCAGGAGGCTTGCTCGAAAGAGGCCCATGAAAGTGTCCCACTGGGCGTCGTTGTCGTACGCGCCCCGCATGATGACGAAGCCCCATTTCTGGAAGACGTCGGTCACGCGCGCGTCAATGATGGAGCCCAGGGGTCCTTCTGCGAACTGGTACCCCTCTGGATAGCCTGGTGCGGTGCTCATTGTTCTGGTGATGTGGTCCTGGGCGTGGAAGGGATGGGAGGGGAGAGAGAGCGGTGCTGGGCCCGCATGAGTCGGGAGCTGGGATCTGGCTTGGACAAGTCGAGATGTTGTATTACAGACTCAGTGATAGACAGAATGGGGACAGGATCTGGGCATTGTGGACTTGAAGGACTCGGAAGGTTGCAGTAGCTTTATTAAGAATCTAGAGTGCTCCACCCCACTCTTCTTGCAGAGTGGCATTTCCATTATTACATCCCACAGGGGTCGAAACCCCTGTACTCATGGTTGCCTTTTGTCTCTCTTGTCTCGCACGCACTCAGACGGCTGCAGGAACCTTGACGAGCTTGATGACGACGCCGTCCGCCTTGGCCTTGCTGGCCTTGAACTCGGCAGAGGCGTAGGCCTCGTGCTTGGTGTTGACGGCGACGCCCATCTGCCCGCCGTTGACGGCGCAGCCCATAAGCGCGGCGGCACGCTGGGCGTCGGTAGCGCCCTCGCCGCCGTCAATAGTGCTGGCAATATCCTCATATAGCACGGCCGACTTGACAAAGGGCGAGACGTGCTTAGCGAGCACCAAAGTCGTAGCGCCCTCGGGCAGGGGGATAGCCCACTCCTGGCACGTATTGCTGGTCGGCATCTGGTAGAAGGCGTTGATGCCCGTGTTGCTTTGGCCCACGAAGCGCAGGTACGCGGCCAGGTACTCGAGCTCCTCGACGTCGAGGCCTTGCGAGGTGCCGCCGTTGACGCCGTAGCAGATCTTGGTCTTGCCCTCGACGCACGACTGGCGCGACTGCAGGAGCGCGGGCGCCGCGGGCGAGGCGCTGGCGAGGGAAGCCGCGGCGACCAGGAGAGTGGTGAGGGAGAGAACCTTGGACATGGCCATTGTGGTTGTTGTGTTTGACGGGGGACTTCGAGATAACGAGGGAAGTGGGACGAGAGAACCTCAAGAGATGAGCAAATGAGCTGCAGGCAGTGCTGGTGGGTGGCCCGGAAGAAAGAATAGGCCCTCGTAGTGAGCAGTCTAGGTGCATTATATAGAGCATGGAAACCAAGACATCTCATGATGACCAGTCTGCACGCGATTCATCGTCGTCTGCTCAATTATTGCCTCGGCGTGCGAGGTCATCGTCAAGACCAACCAACATCTGGCAGAACCCAGCATGGCCTTTTTTCGGCGGCAAACAGCTCCGGGGGACCCTGCAGGAGCTTTTTCACATGCATCAACGTGGTTCAGAGTGCATAGACTGTGCAAGGGATCCTGTGGAGCAGGGGAGTTTTGCATCCTGGAACCAACAAATATGCACAATCAGGAGCCAGGGAATATGCGATGCAGGAAAGCGAAGAATCCCGTCAACCATGATCTTCTTGCGGCCAGGGTCTTGGTGGAGAACAGACGGAACGGTCGGACAGATACCAAATTGGCTCTTCGCGCCGTGCCGCTGAGCATATCTGTAAAGTTCCAAGTCCCCTGCTGCAGCAACCCGTCCGACCCGCCTCCGACCCTGAGCATGGCCCTGGATGTTCATGTCAAGGATGATGGCTCGAGTCCAGGCGCCGAGCGATCAAGCGAAGCTTGTCGCATGCTTGATTGTACAGTCCACACCAGGCAAGGGCCTGTCTGACTGACCAAAAGGTCCTTGCCAAGTAGGTCCGGTGAAGATTTCTCCAGGCAGACCACCACTCCCCAACCCCTGTTGGTATACAACGCTTCATCCTGTCCCTACAGAGACCGTTGAGCGGAACACGCATCAACATACGGCCACGCGAAGCATTGCACCGATGACAGATCCTTGTCTTGTTGGCATCCTCGGATTTTGCGCGATCTCCTCTCCTGCCGACGCTTGCCGTCAGCCGCGGCCAAGCTCGTCCGGCCATGCCAAGTGCCCTTTGTCGCGATGTAACGTGGAGTTTGGTGGAATAGAGTTCGAACCTCGCGCCATTTGTGGTCCCACTCATCTAATGGATCTTGGCGTTGGACATGTCACATCTGAAAGCAGCCAGTTACTCACGGCGCTTGAGGCTTCTCCAGGGGTTCAACCTCGCAGATTGTTCTGGCCGACTCTCTCCATGGTGGGGTCTAAAATTGGGTTGGGAAAGTGAGTCTGGTCTCAAGGCAGACAAAGATAGGCCGAAAGATTCGACGATGTCTCAACATGTGTGTTACCGCTCTGTGCAATGGTGATCAAGCTCAACAGAATGCTTCGTTGCAGTTTCAACACATGATATTTCAAAGCGAACAAGCATAGCATTTCAAGCACACAATACCGGAACGATCCGTAATAGTTAGCTAGAGCGTTGCCACCCATCCGTGCTTCAAGCCATAAATCTGGGGCTGGCCTCAATGTAACCAGGGGAGGCCGCCAGACGAAGGCCACGAGAAGACACCCGCCATCGTCTTACCTTCCTCTGGCGTTCAAAAACCAGGCATCAATGATAAAACGTCAGGCTAGCCCCAACGAAGACCCCACTGCATGTTCCAGCCCTCCGGAAGCGTAGGCTTGGGCCCGCCCTCCTCAGCCAGGCAGTAGCTGTACTGTCCATCCAGGTAGCAGTCACGCGGATCCAGGCTGGGGTTCATCTTGGTAAACTCCCCAATGTAGATGTCGTTGTAGTCGGTCACGTGTCTGCATCTGTTGAAGCTCTTGATGTTCCTGCTGGTCATGAACACGTCGTCATCAGCGCCGAAGAAGGCGACGAGGTCTGGGTCCGTGAGCGCGCGGCCGTTGACAAACATGGTGCACTTGGCGCTCGAGCCGGGTGCGAGAGGCTTCCGCGGTGTAATGGCTTTCGAGAACCGTGCTGGCTTCTCGGAAAACTCTGGGAAGCGACCGCTCTCGGAATTCCCGGCAAACAGGCTGTTGTGGCAGATCAGTACTTGGAGCGAAAGCTTGGGGGAAAAGCTCGTCAGGGCGTGGTAGCTCACCTCTTGGGGCCAACCGCAGCTATGTACCCTTCCCAACGGGCAATGTTCGAGCAGGTTTCGTCGATCATCTCGTTCAAGGAGCGGAACTGGCGCTCGGTGATGCTGTACTTCTGAGCAATCGACGAACAGGTATCTCCGGGGCTACAGTGCGAAGAGTAAAGAGGTCAGTACGGGTACGCACTTGCAGGGGGGCTTGAGAGGAACATGAATCGCTACTTACACAATCCTGTGAACATCAACTGGCTCGTCGAGACAGAGCTTGCGGCCCGGCTGCAGGAAGTCCCCGCAGTTGATGTCCAATGCGTTCTTCTGGATCATGTTGACGGTAGACGTCCTCTGCGACATCGAGACACTTGCGCATGTGTCCCCCTCCTGCATCGTGTACCAGCGTGCGCAGCTGCGCGTGTCCTCAACCTCGTCCGCGGAGGCTAGTCTCATTTGAGCGCCGTCTGGCTGACCATACCGCGTGGCGATCTCGGGCTCGAACTCGGTGTTCTTGCAAGCTGCTCTGACCTCGTTGAAGTGGTCGATGCGGTCTGGGTAGACGCCCAGAGGCGAGGAGATCATCGCGGCCAGCGGTCCGAGGTAGCAGCCATGACACTTATCGAATTTCACCTGGCCTTGGCCCCATTGAGTGCGCAGTTCGTCGCAGAAGAGCTCACTGGATTCGTGCTTGTAACAGTTGATGTCGTAGGTATAGGCAAACTTTTCGACGAATAGAGAAGCTGCGTGACGATTCGATCCAATTAGCAAACCATGACACAATAAACGTAAAGGAAGCAGTTCAGGACCGTGCTTACGAGGAAACTCCATGCCAGCATGGCGCACAACGTCCTGGGGAGAAGTGCACGTCGCGAAAATCTTGGCACGCAGGGCGGCCAGCTCCTCGCGGCACTCGGGCTTGCAGATCAGGTCCAGGTCCTCACGAGAGAGGATGCCGATGGAAGTGGTCATCTTCAGATCTGTGCGGGCGAAGAGCCGGAGATCGCATTGTTGCAGTTCGGTGTTGAGGACGTTGGTGCAGGCCTCGCTGAGGCCCATCACGTCGTAGGACTGTCGGCCCGGCGCGGGAAACTGCTGGGCGCAGGCCAATGAGGCCCATCCCGCCAGGGAGGCTAAGAAAACGCCGCAAACACGCATCGTGCCTCTGTCTTGGTCGACGAGGAGAAGTGAGCCCAGTGTTGGTGTCAGGAGGTGGGAGCTTGGTTGGTGGTTGCGATGAAGTCCGGGCGCAATGTCCAGGCAAGCTTCTCGGGTTTGTCATTCATTTTGCGGCTTTGCAGTGTCAACTTCAAAGGTTCAGTATATCCGGTTGGCCGCGGTCTTACTTCTCTGCCGGGACAGCCCTGCCATCAAGGCCCCCTTGCAGCCCGGCCCAGACCTTGTCCCTCCACCGGCGCAAATACAGGGACAACGACAGAATGTGGGTTCTTCTGCGGCAACTCCCAGGGTATGCACAAGGGTCCAGGGGTCCAGGGGTTCATAGAGCCAGGGTCTGTGCAGAAAGTTGCAACGCAACCAACAAGACTCACACGATCAATGCCATAGGCGAAATCATGTACTTGCTGCGAGTCAGGGCTAAAGTTCCAGGCGCCGAAGTCGACAAAACGATATGCATTCATCAGATGATCACGAGCATCTTGGCATTACGGGCATGCAACCTCGCGATGATGCTGCGACATACCTACCTGATCTGGTAACGTGCCCGCAGACAAGGTCCTGGCCGTTGAGAATGCCTGGTGTATCCTCTTCCATACCTAGATCAACCCCTCTCCATCTGCTGGACGTGCGGCATATTGCAAAAACCTTCAGCGGCATGAGACCTCCGGTCTACAACGCCCAGAAATTAGCGAGGATGTCTAACAGACAGGGTCCAAAGCTTTGCATATGCACGATGCAGTTGAGTCTCAAAAGTTCTTCGGCATGTCGGGGAGAACTCCCTTTGGCACCAGGGTCTCCGTCTCGTGTTTGAAAATTTCAGAATGATCCGAGATGTAAGCACATGTAATCAAAAATCTGAACGAGGTTATACAACTGTTCAGCAAGCCCCAAGCCATGGACGATGGTGTTGATGAAGTCTGTCAAGCAATTTTGACACTCACTCTTTTCTGGGCACTCTGACGCCCTCAGCCACGCAAGATGCGGCTCTCCCAGCTTGCTGTCTTGGCTTCCTTGACGATTGATGCTGCGCTTGGTTTGTCTTATGGCTCGTCAGGACCACTCAAGCGCAGCGTCTTCGCCGAGGAGGACCCTCCCCATGTCTGGGCCGCGCACAAGTTCAAGCAGCTCGAGGCTCGCATAATTCCCTATCAATCACATGGCTACTCCCACCCATCTCTTCTGAGCGCCCGCGAACAGGACGAGAGCCTGCCAGCACGGCTTCGCAATGTCACCGAGAGCGACCTCCGCAAGGCGAGGGAGATCGTGGAGCAGGCTGTCGAGAAAGCCGCTGTGCTCAACCGCAAGCGTCTTGACAATCCCCTGAGAAACAACTACAAGCTTCAAGAAGGCACCAAGGTCTACGGCCGCCGCGACAACACGAATGATGCCGCACCACCCCTGCTTACCATCACCGATGAGATTGCCGAGGCCGCGGCCCTCGTTGCTGAGGCAGAGGTGTTCGGAGACAGCCCCGACCCGAGCTTCGCACTAACAAACTCCACCGAGGGCTTGGAAAGCCGCCAGAACCGTGGATTCTGGATGGAGAGAATGGCGCACCAGGGTTCATGGCCCTGGGGGAAGAACTCGGCAGATTTCAAAGTCTTTCGCAATGTCAAGGACTACGGCGCCGTGGGCGACGGGAAAACAGTAAGCCAACTCACTTTCGGTAGCTCACACAAGGATTTTAGTTCCCGACACACACAAACTGACGGAACATCACAGGATGATACCAAAGCCATCCGCAAGGCGATTGAGGACGGTGGCATGTGTGGCGACGGATGCTACTCGTCCACCACGCATGGCGCCATTATCTACTTCCCCACGGGCACGTACCTCGTCAGCTCCACCATCGAGAAGCACTACGGGACACAATTGATTGGCAATGTCAGTAACAGAAAGTCCACTTCTATCTTGCTGCCTTGCGCGTACTGACTCCCTCGTTCTCCAGCCGAACCTCAAACCAGTCATGAAAGCCTCCAAGTTCTTCGTCGGTCTTGGGATTTTCTCCACCAACAAGTATTACGGTGACGACCAACAGGATGAAGCCAAGCAGGATCACGCATGGCATATTAACACGGCAAGTCCAACCCCCTCTCTCGCGCGTACAAGGGGTCTCGTTTGCTGACAATGGTGGCATGCTGGCTTTGCAGGGCATCTTCTGGGGTCAGATCCGCAACTTCGTGATTGACCTGACCGGGGCGTACAAGAAGGTCATGATGACTGGCCTCCACTACCAGGTGTCTCAGGCGACGAGCCTGCAGTACGTCGACTTCTTGGCTTCCACGGACGCGGATGCCGAGCAGAGAGCAATCTGTAAGTCCCAATCCAATCATTCACTGGCCAAAGTGCTGGCTGACAAGACATGTTCTCAGTCGCCGAGAACGGAAGCGGTGGACACATGAGTGATCTTACATTCACCGGCGGCAAGTTTGGCATCTGTGAGTAATAGACCACCCTCACCGCCACAACCAGGGGCACTCACTGACAGGCACCGCATAGACGGCGGCAACCAGCAGTTCACCGGCCAGCGCATCACGTTCACCAACGTGCGCACGGCGGTCCAGCTGGTATGGGACTGGGGCTGGACGTGGAAGTCGGTCGTCGTCGACGGCTCGGGCACCGCGTTCAAGCTCGTGTCTGAGGATGGCTCGCACGGCATCGGCGGCGCGCTAATCGTCGACAGCCTTATCAAGAACACCAAGACCGCGGTGGCCATGTTTTCGCCGACGCGGGAGCTCGGCAAGGGCACCACGGGCCTGACGCTGGACAACGTGCGGCTCGAGAACGTCGAGGTCCTGATTGACGAGACGAGCGACGGCAAGAGCTCGGTGCGCACGACGCCGGTCGAGGGCGGCAAGAAGGACATTGACCTGTGGATCCTCGGGCGGACGTACCAGAACAACACGCTTGGTACGGAGCTGATCCAGGAGACGACCTCGGGTCGCGTCCCGGAGCTGCTGGACGCCAGCAACCCCCTTGGTCTCGCCAAGAAGCCGTTCTTCGAGCGCGCCAAGCCCCAGTACGAATCCTTCTCTACTGCGGACTTCGTAAGTACGAAGAGTGCCGGTTGTAAAGGTGATGGAAATAGCGACGACAGAAGCTGTCTCCAGGCCGTCATTGATGATGCCGCCAGGAACGGTAAGATTGTGTTCATCGACGCCGGCACTTATATCCTCGGGGACACCCTGCATATACCACCCGGGACTAGAATCGTGGGCGAGAATTGGGCACAGCTCGCTGCTACTGGAGCCAACTTTGGCGATGAGACGTAAGTCAACCTTTGGGGGTTTCTTTGAATAGTGCCAACCGTGGAAACGACCAATAGTTCTCTGCTAACACGCTGTTCGTAGGAAACCTCGGGCTTTGATCAGAGTCGGCAACCCTGGAGACAAGGGCAGAGTTGAGATGCAAGACCTAATTATCACGTCCAAGGGGGAGACTCCGGGTGCACTGTTCATCGAATGGAACATCGAGGCCGAGAGCCAGGGCGCAGCCGCCATGTGGGAAGTTCACGTACGCGTAGGTGGTACTGACGGCAGCGGGTTAACGTCTGCCAAATGCCCACCTGCGCGCTCCGGAGTCCCCACAGGGTGCAAAGGCGGTAGTATGATGATGCACTTGACCCGGTCTGGGTCCGCGTACATTGAGAACGCCTGGTACTGGGTGGCTGACCACGATCTGGACGATCCTACCTGGGTAGATAACAATAACAAGATGGTAAGTAGTGGTGATTTGGTCGGCCTTTGCCCCTGAACCATGCCAGAAATGAATATGGCTAACAAGCATAACCAACCACGCAGACTCAAACCTCAGTCTATGTCGCCCGAGGCTTCCTGGTCGAAAGCACCAAGCCGTCATGGCTGTATGGGACGTCGTCTGAGCACTCGGTTTACTACCAGTACGAGTTCTACCAGGCGGCTAACGTGCTCGCCGGCATGATCCAGACCGAGCAGCCGTACTACCAGCCCACGCCGCCGGCACCTGCGCCTTTCGAGGCCGCGCTGCGCGTCTTCCGCGGCGATCCAGGTTTCCGGTGTACCACCGAGGAGCCGTGTGACTCGGGCTGGGGCCTCCGCGTGGTTGACTCGAGGGATATCACTATCCTCGGGGCCGGGCTGTACTCGTGGTTCTCCACCTACACCCAGGACTGCCTGGCTACATCGAGCTGTCAGCAGACCATGGCCGAGCTGACAGGAAACCGAGGCAAGATCATTATCCACAACCTGGTCACGATCGGAGCGGTTAACATGCTACGGTCCGACAAGCAGCTTGTAACGGCCAAGGACAACCAGGCGGTCGACTTCCACCCGTTCTGGAGCCAGCTGAGCCGCTTCGAGGCGCGCGAGTTCAAGAACCCCGTGACCGCTGAGCCGGTGCTCGAGCACGGCGACGGGACGGACCCGACAGATGCGATCCGGGCGGACCTGGCGTCGGTGTGCTTCAAGGGCGACACGTGCGTCAGCCTGCTCGACGCAAAGGCGTCTGCGTGCGAGAGCGGCTACACGCGCGTGGGCTGGGACTCTGCCGACTGCTGGGGCGCCAACGCGCAGATCATCTGCTGCAAGACGTCGGCGGCGCCGAGCGAGTGCTCGTGGCGGGCCAACGTGGGCGACATTAAGACGGACTGCAGCGGGCGGTGCGAGGCCGGCGAGGTCGCGCTGTTCGGCTCGATGCCTGGCGGAGGCCTGCAGATGGACTCGTCGGACCGCTGCGTCCGGGGCGAGAAGAAGTTCTGCTGCAAGCACAGGGGCTTCTCGGCGCTGACGGCCGGCTGCGAGTGGCACCGGCAGCTGACGTGCTTCTCGACCAAGCAGTGCCCGGCAGGGAAGACATCCGTCGCCACGAGAGTCATAGACAGCGGCGGACCACTGGGGTGCATGCCGACAGAGGACTACTGCTGCCCATCGGACCGCCTCCAGCTCAACAACTGCCACTGGGTCGGGCAGGGCGACTGCGAGCACGTCTCGTGCGACAACCGCGAGATGACGGTGGCCACGGGCCTCTACGGCGATGTCGGGCTCGGCTGCAACTGGCAGCGCAGCAAGTCGCTGTGCTGCCGGGCCTCCCTTCAGGAGCCGCCGGCGTCGTGCGGCGAGCCCCTGTGCAAGGTTGAGCCGTGGGAGTGTCCGTCCGACGAAGGGCCCTGGAACGAGGACGCCGGCGAGCCGGCCGACAACGAGGCCCGGGCGTCCGGGGTGGTGCTGGATAAGAGATCCGAGCGGCGGCCGTTCCGGGTCTGGGACACGGCCAATGTCGCCCTCATGATCCGGCTGCTGGCCCGGTACTACTACGGCCCGTCCGAGGCATACGGCGGCGTCAACGGGGCTCTGCCCGGCATGAATCCGGCCGGCGTCCGGCCGGCCTTCAACCTGCGCGACTGCACCATCCTCGACGAGTACGACGTGGCCACGACCCTGACCAACGGGTACGCTGGCCACGAAGAGGACCACACCATCGACCTCCAGTGGGCGCAGGGCCTCCTCCACGTCATGCTCAACGGCATCACCATGACGGGCCGCGACGTCCGGCACCTCTTCACCCCGATCCCCTTTGCCGCCGCGCAGGCCTTCTGGAACGACCAGAACCACCTGCTGCCCCTCGGCATGCGGCAGATCTCGGCCACGACGGTCGCTGCCGACGTGCGCACCGTCAACGAGCGCATCTTTGAGATCATGGGCAGCAAGACCAACGTGCGGCCCTTCCTCCTGCTCGAGAGCGAGCTCAACGGCGTCAAGGGCCGCATCTTCAACTCGCGCTACGACAGCAAGACCCGCAAGCTCTCGGCCAACACCAACCCCGTCACCGACAAAAAAATGAGGGACGCCGCCGCCGCCATGCTGGCCACGAACGACCCCTTCGGCCCCAACGGCAACATCCGCTTCCTCACGCACCTGCGCTCCGTGCTCGCCGTGTGGCGGTACATTCTCTCGGACCTCGCGCTGCCCATCATCCAGCAGACCCGCCGCGAGCTGCGCGAGGACATAGTCGCCATGGAGGCCGCCTCGCACAACGTTGCCAGCACCCCGCACAACCTCGCCGGCTTCACCGACGCGTTCGACCAGCACGACCCGGACTACTGGGCCAACGGCGCTGACCACAGCAGGGACTGGATCGCGCGCTGGTACTTCCACGGCATCCGCGCCATCAGTGACCACGAGGCAGCCCACGGTGCGCACCCGGAGGCCGTCTGGATCATTGCCGAGCTGGACCGCATTCTCCGGGACGCAATGAGGAACATCTGGCCGCCGCCGCCGCCGTAGGTGGTCGTGAGTGGCTGTGTTGCTGGATCAGGGGTTGAACCGCAGGGGGAGGTTGTAGTGTCAGCGATACAATTTGTTTGCATGATTCACGGGTGACGAAGGAGCCCACTGCTTACACTCGAGATGCATTCTCGTAAACTCGACAGGTGCCAATGACCAAGAATCTCAATTTCACGCTTTGTTTTGTGTAAATATTGTCAATCTCTGCGGAGCGAATAGCACATTTTCTAGGCTGTGATTATTGGCACTCACCCACATTGGTGTTTTTTCAACTCACATTTCACAAATTAATACAATAGAACGCGACAGAATTAATCGGCGGGGACAACAGCTGTCGTCGCGAAAGCATGACGAAGCACAATCTGTGAACTTGACAGAACATTCAATCGTTCGCTAAGAAACCGATTTTTTAAGTTGTTTATTTATGCATGACTTAACGTAGCTCCCGGTCAAGCCGGCCACCCGGTCGAGCGGGCCACCCTTAAGGTATTCGGACGACAATGTATAGAAAAAATCAACCAGAACGCCTTAAATCAATTCAAACTAGATGAAATCCTCTTCTTCAGAGGTAGACTCAACTATCTGACACGTACGAGCATTATGGCCGGGCCGCCGCAAACGCCACAGCGTCGCGCGCGCGTCTCTGTCCTCCTCGCGCGACCACTATTTTGACTTGTTTCTGCCCGTAACTGCTCCGTCACGTCGATCTGAGACTTCAAATCCTTTGCCTGGCTAATCGTTAGTGACCCTCCTTTCTGTAGCTGCTTTCTTTTAGTACGTCGACGGCGGCTTAGGCGGCTATTTGCGTCTCGAAGTTCGGCCACGTCGCTCTCCATAAGGGCCTGTTTATGCACCATCATTAACACTCCTTTGTTTAGCTGCTGTAAGCTTGCGATAATTGAAGTTGGGGAGCTATTTTGATGTCGTACGATACGATTCTTGATGTATTCGGTCTGCGATTCCGCCTCAATTGGGTTATTCGGCGTCTTCGAGACCCAGGGCGGCGGTAGGCCTGCAGAACCTGGCGGTGTTGGCGTATGAGGCTTTACGTCTAGCTGTGAAATGACGTATTCCGGATCGTACGGTACTAGGCCAGTAGCTCTGAAGCCGGCCTGGATATTTGACTTAGTCATTGTAGTGTCGTGCGCCTTATGAAAGGCTGGAAGGAAGTCCTCCTTCGCGACGTGGGTAATATGCGCCCGCATAAGGACTTCGATTTCTTTGCTGTACGCCCGTTTTAGAGGTCTAAAGCACCCGACATCGAGAGGCTGGAGCTTATGCGACGAATGAGCAGGCATGCAGAGCGTAATTATATTCTGGTCCTTGCAGTACAGCTCGAAATCGACCGAGTGGTGGCTCTCGTGGCCGTCGAGGATAAGGAGCCGGTAAACGCCCTTCGTACGGCTCTTTGTATGAAAATCGAAGTGTTTTACCCATTCGAGACCTTTCTCATTCGTCGTCCAGCCGTTTTCAGTAAGCGTAATTACCCAGTTAGGCGGTAGAGGGCTTTCGGTCGTCCAGGAGTCGAGGTGGACCTTACCTACGAAGATGATGTACGGCGGAATCGAATTGCCGGACGACCCGATACCCTGGATTACTGTACCCCATTCTTGATTGCCTTGTTGTACGGCTCTTGGCTTACCGCGTCGATCGGAGGTCGTAACGACAGTCTCGGCGGAGATCTTACCCATCGCAAAGCCCGTCTCATCGAAGTTGTAGATATCGTCGTCGTATATCCCGTATTTCGCGATTATATTCCGTACGAGGGAAAACCACGCGCGATACGCGTCCGGATCTTCGCAGAGGACTCTCTGATAGTCGATTCTTCGACTAAAACGCGTACGGAGCTCAGGTCGTCGCTGTACGAAGGCTGAAGCCCAGTTCTTCCCAACGCGTAACGCGTTACGGTCGCGTAGTTGTCGATCCGCCATTTCTCGAACACCACTAAGTCGCGGTGGAAATGATCGCGAATCAAGGTCGAGTATGTATCGTACGACACTGTCCTCTTCGTACGTGGTCAATTTCTGGTTATGTGGTCGGAGATCGCGTTTGCGCTGTACACCTCTTCGTCGGTCTTGGAGTGTCGTACGCGGTACATTGTAGATCTGCGCAGCCTTTCGTACGCTTAATTTAGGGTCGGATTGGAGCGCATTTAGCGCTAGAATAAGGTCACTTTCAATTGATTGCGGTCCCATAATTACTGGTGGAGAAAAATAAGGAGAAAGGAGACATGTTCAAAATTGCGGGAAAGTGGCCGGGTTGCTTGTGTGGCCGGGTTGCTTGTGTGGTCGGGTTGCTTGTGGATTACGTTAACGCTAGTTTAAATCTAGTAAATCTTTACGTAAGCTAGCCCTTAAAGCTTGAACCTAAAAGAGTAATTTCCCATAGTTAAGGTGTCACGATCCTGCCTCCGGGGTCAACCGTCTGGCAGGGCGCTGTGGTTGCTGTTCTGCAAGATAGGTAAAGCCTGTGCAATAACACTAACACTCTGCTGTCGTTCTCTCTTTGGGTTTGTCGTGTCTCTGGGAAGAGATACCAGTCTCGGCAATTGAGTGACTAGTTCAAGTGTGTGGTGAAACTGATACTTAGATTGATCGCTGAAGTACAAAGGTAATGACTGTCTGTCTAGGAGATCCTTCTCGTGCTATATATCCTTTGTCCTTCATCGTGCGTTTCCCAGGGATGTGTTCCTGGATCGCTGGATATGTTGTGATCCACATATCCTGGATCGCTGGATATGTTGCGATCCACATATCCTGGGTCTCCGGATATGTTGCGACCCACATATCCTGGATCTGTTGACATAATGAAATGCTTACGTAACCTGGGGTGTGTCGTCCCGCGTGCATGACCTGCCCTTGTCCCTGGCCCGATCCTGCGACCTGTTGGTCGGGTCGTCACACGTCTATAGTTAAGAAATCTAACTTTACTATATCTCTATAAGTAGGGAGTAAAAGTGGGTCTAAGTAATTTCTTTTAGATAGCTTATAGCCTATTTTTCTATTAAACTTTTATTTTCAGATTTTTAGAGCTAATATTCATAGAGATATAAATATTTTAGACGATAAAGTCATTTGTATGTGTTAATTATAGGAGAGTTTTACATTTTAGAATTCTTTCACTTAAGAATTAATAAAATAATCTATAAATAGGTTTAGTAGGACATTGTAGTATAGCCTTATAGAGCTATTAATCCTAACTCTAAAAATACTTAAAGTAGGTCTATGTTAAGTACTGGCCCTAGGTCTGAACAGATACTAGGCGTATTAGATTTACTACGAACTTGGGAAATAAAAGGAGGTAGTTCGCACTCTCCGTAAGCGCGTTACGGTTTTGTTAACCCCCCTGTCTCCCCTTTTTTGACCCACCTAGGCTCGGGCCAGAGCCCGAGCCCGTAACAGTCTATAGCTAATTTATTAGCTGAGTTACAGTATAGCCGAGTGACAAGGTAGCGATTTTAGCGATTTTGGTGGGGTTTGGGGTGGTCGCGAAGTACCCTGGTCGCGAGACGGGGGGCAGACTTATCTGTTGGCGTTGATGCTAGTGGCCGCGGATTCCAGCCTGAACTCCGGAGGCCCGGACCCGGCCTAAGTCTTCGCTCAAATGCCTCTCATACCGAGGGACTACATAAGCGCTTTGCCTCCCTTGAGCCCGGTAGGTTAGGAGGTCCGAAACTCTGGCTAGATCGTATAATCACCTGGGCTGTCGATAAGGCTGCATATTAACTTACTGCGACTATCTAGCTCTTTAAGGCATATTAGCTGTGGACAGCTAACGGCCTCCCGGAAGACTTTAAGCTTAAGATGTGTCACGATCCTGCCTCCGGGGTCAACCGTCTGGCAGGGCGCTGGGTTGCTGTTCTGCAAGATAGGTAAAGCCTGTGCGATAACAACTAACACTGCTGTCGTTCTCTCTCTGGGGTTATCGTTCGTGTCTCTGGGAAGAGATACCAGTCTCGGCAATTGAGTGACTAGTTCAAGTGTGGGTGAAACTGATACTTAGATTGATCGCTGAAGTACAAAGGTAATGACTGTGTATCTAGGAGATCCTTCGCATCTATATATCCTTTGTCCTTCATCGTGGTTTCGCTGGATCGCCTTGGATATGCAGGATATGTAGTGATCCGTCCGATCCAACATATCCAACTGGATATGTTTGGATATGTCGCGGCCTGGCCGATCCAACATATCCACCCTTGTTCTGCTGACATAATGAGATGCTTATGTAACCAGGGGTGTGCCTGCCCCGCGTGCATGACCTGCCCTTGTCCTTGGCCCGATCTTGCGACCTGTTGGTCGGGTTGTCACAAGATGGTATTAAAGTTAACCTGCGAAAGTTGTGAGTCTTGCCCCTTACCTCCGCTCATCTAGCCCCCGCGCCGTGTGCTCTATGGTCTTGCCATTGGGGAAATGGTCCGGATTAGAATCTGACTGTTGCCGTACAGAACGGTCGATGTGCCTCATGGTCTAATATTCCGATCAGGGCGGTTTCAGCTCGCAGGTGGGCCTCCCGGAAGTGAACAGAAATAAGGACCTAAATTACGTGGGCCTTGTGATGACGCTCCTTACGGAAGCCGCCGAGGGTCGTCGGAGACTTAACGATAATGCTAACGGGGATAAGCTTAATGTCGTAATTGCGTACGAGCTCGGCTACGCCTGGGGCCTGATTCACGAGCACGTAAGCCCTGTCTACTGGCCTAAGTCGTACTATGGGAGTTCGGAATGGAACTCCTTCGCGTTTAGCAGCCGAAACTTCAAATGCGATCAGATCCCTGGTTACAACGCGGTAATAGCCACTGCCCGGACGCTGATCGCCACTAAGACCGAGTTTTCTAAGTTCGTCCCAGAAGATGTGTGTAAGAACTGGGCACTTGCGATAGCGGCAAAGTTTGGGGCTTCCGACTTCTTGCCCGGGAGAAAAGCTATCTGGTCAGACCGGCTAGATAAGGACGAAGCCGGCAAGGACGATGTCGACTGGGACTCGATTATGATGTACTCGACTAATTACCTCGGTCCCGGGGTCCTCTATGACACGGATCTGGGTATTATTCTAGAGCGCACTAAGCCATCGCAGCGTGATATTGCTGGCCTTAGAGCGTTATATGAGGCTGGATATAAGCGCGAATATGCGGCGCTGCATAACGAACAGACTAGCCCTCAGCTCGAAGAGTTTAGGAAGCTGACTTGCGGCTAGCCTGGCTTCTCGAGGGGCTGGCTTTGGTTTTGCGCTGTGTGACATAGGGCTACTGGATATAATAGACCTCACTCGGGTGGTGCTTCTCAGCGATTAGATCGGATTCCTTTCGTTATAAAAGGCTTATTGGAAAAATAGTATTGAGGTGATAACGCTACGTTAGCGGTCTACGAGGTTTCGCATAGCCAATATGTGACAACCCGACCAACAGGTCGCAAGATCGGGCCAGGGACAAGGGCAGGTCATGCACGCGGGGCAGCACACCCCTGGTTACATAAGCATTTCATTATGTCAGCAAACGGAAGTGGATCACTGGGGATCACCGCAGATCCAAGGTGATCCAGGATCGCGGCAAGGACCAAGTGATCCAGGAAGCCACGATGAAGGACAAAGGATATATAGGACAGAAGGATCTTCTTGTAGACAGTCATTACCTTTGTACTTCAGCGATCAATCTAAGTATCATCCTCACCCTTCACTTGACCTAGTCACTCAATTGACCCGAGTGTGATATCTCGCAAGAGACACGAACGACAACCCCTCGAGAACACGACAAGCACGGAGTCAGTATTGCATGAGGTCGCTACCTGCCTTATTCAGAACATAAACCCCACAGCGCCCGATCCAGACGGTTGACCCCGGAGATCGGATCGTGACACAATAATACAAATCATATTTCCTCTATTATGATGTTAGCCGTCTTAGCACCCGAGTCGTGACCTGCTGTTTATATATGATCGCGAAATCCCCCTCAAGCTATACGGCCTGCCCGAGACCGAGCACGTCCGATGTTAATATAGAGAGAATGAAGGCACTTTAAGAGTCTGCAACTTTGTATAACTAGGCACTGGCGGTTGGATTGATTATTCTGTCTAAATGGCTTCTAACCACACCCTATGTTCCTTCCGACGGGCATCGCCTATATCGCATTAGCTTCCCGCCTTGTCGCCTTGTTTATACTGACCCGATTAAGTTCTGCACGTTGCGGCTCTGCATGTCCCACTCCGTCTTAAAGCTCACCGACTGGGTCTTGTTACGCTTGATGTTGGCGCCCAAGGCCTCGATGAGGCGGCTATCGTTGAGGTTAATGGCCCAAACTATCGTTCTGTAACATAAACATCACAAGGTTAGTATGGATGATTAATTTCCTCACTTGCGGGAAGATATGGAGCTGCCCACGGCCGAGGGGTGGTAGTAGATCTGCATAACTCACCCTCTAAGATATCTCTCGTTAGTATGATCGATCTTGATCTTGAGCGTCTCCGCATTGTCCTAGCTGACCTACTGCCTGTCGCCTTAGGTGGCGATCTTGATAGCGGCGACGGGGTTAAAGGTCACGGTCGCGCCCTTGTTGTTAATAATGTTGTGGATCTCGGCGGCCGAGAGGACACCGGGAGTATCTGTGCATAAGCCGCCGTCGGTACTAGACTCGAAAGGGCAGCCTGTACTTATGTAGCCCGCGTCCTTTATCTTGAAGCCTGTGGGCGTGTGTAGCAAATGTTAGTATTCTTTTTCCCTCCTGGCGGTTTTCCATATCTGTGGAGAAAGGGCTCTTACTGCGTCTATAGAAGCCCAGACCCATGACTATGTGATCGGGGTTCATGTTGTTGCGCCATAGCAGGTTCAGGCCCATGTCGATCTTGGTTATGTTGGTGTGCGCAAACGCATATGGACTAATGGACGTGACTTTGCTATCCTAGATGCTATCTGAAATTCAATGGTTGTATTTAGTAACTATTAATAAGGCATGTGAGATATTGTCAAGACTTACGGATATTATATGTTATGATGTTATACTAGTCCAGGTACGGCTCGAGCTTCTGGAGATCGAAGCTACGGAGGTACTAGTAGGATGCGGGCTGCGTCGCGAACTAAAACTCGTTAGCGGAAAGCGACTTTTGGGATTATAGAGAGCTGTATAGGACGAGCATAAACATACTAGTGTTATAGAGATACCAAACTTGTGCCCCGAGCTGTTCAGACGCTCACGTAGGCGTCTGCAGAATGTGACGTAGTTGTCGAAATCTTCCGGAATACCACCGCCATCCTCAGCCACAGGGTATTCCTAGTCGAGGTCGACGCCGTCGAAGCTGTTGTTGATTATGAATGTAAGCAGGGACTCGAAGAAGGTATCTTGCGCGGTAGTTGACTTGGCTAGATCCGAGAATGTGGTTCGGTAGGGCCTAGGATCGTTCATGGCCTAGCCACCGATAGCGATCCAGACCTCGAGTCTAGGCTGGCTATTCTTTAGATCGGTAACGCGTTTGTAGTGGGAGGCTGTACCATCGTCCATTGGGGCGATGCGGAACGTCGTGGGGTTAATTAGAGCAAAGGTAAAGTTGATGTGTGTGTACCAGCCGAGAGGGATGTCCTCGGGCTCTATGTCTGAGGCGCAAAGAATAATAGTGTTAGCCTCGACCTAATGACTCTATTATGGCCTACTAAATTACTTACTTCTATAAGATCTCTTGTAATTCCATCCCTCGTAGTAGCTAATGGTACGCTTGTCGGAGCTCGACCCGGCATACTGAGGGTTGGGTACAGTCTTTCTAGCGCAGAAGAGGGCAGTCGTGCCGTAGAAGCTATATCTGTACTAATGTCCTGCTGTTAGTCTCTCTCGAACGCTACGGATTAGTGACCGAGTATATTACTCACTCTGAGCAGCAGACGTTGAGAGGGCAGGTGGATGTATTGGACCACTGTATTCCCTAGCTAGGATCGTACTCGCTTTTCTCCCCGTACTGGCTAGTACAATCTTGGCCACAGTATTTCGGGCCCATACCATAAACACTATTACCCGTTTTATTACTGCGGGAGTGCCGAAAGGTTAGTCCACAAACGTAGCTGGAAAGATAGATTTGTGGCAGTAAAGTCGATCACCTATAGAGGACCATAGTAGCTAAGCTTGTATGGTTTGGACTTGCTGCAGGTGTAGTCTGGCTGCCCACCGTCGGCCGCCGCTATCGCGAACTCTGTCTGCTCGACGATGTCGGCGAAAGTGACATCGCTATTAGTAAGAGCGTGCGAGACGCCTAAGAGGGCACCCAGCAGGATAGTCGAAAGAGATATCTGCTGTGGTGAAGCTATTACGGTGTAACTGAGGTGACCCGGTCGAATGGTTGTCGTTCTTGGCTACGAGTAGTAAGTGAAATGATTCACGCTAGTGACTACAGAACCGCGGTAAAGGGAGCTGTGTAGTTAAGGTAGGCAGTCGGCGCCATAGCTACGGCCGGTAGAATTAGGACCTCGGAACGACCATACTAATTATTGGTATTGCCGCAGCTTGCTATTGTGGCAGAATTCTGCCGGACTGCGTTGCCCCCTTAAGACCCTTGCTACTAAAAGCCCCCCTGGCTTATGCGGCGTGAGCCGCCTTGTGTCGGTAAGCCGAGGACCTGTATATAGCCCCTGTAAGACGTACAAGTTAGGTACCGTGAGTGGATCCGGAGTACGCCCCGATGCTCCAAGAAAATGTCTAAATTAGGTTATCCTTCTGACCTGAGGTCTAGCATTCCGGGCGGTAAAAGAACCTGACTACACTTGTGGTATCCGCGTGGCTGGTGAAACTGCTGATTGCCCGGCATTTCAACGTTGCACCCTAGCGGGCGTTCTGCCGGATAAGACTAGGCTAGGGCCCTGGCTTATGTATGAGCCGCGCGACCCTTAGTAGGCTATTGACGGGATACTCGATCGGAGCATGGGGCCAGACTTTATAGGGCCCGAGTATAGTATCTACACGTGCTATAGAGCCGGTGAAGTAACAAAGTACCCTGGACGCCACTGGCCTAGAATCGCGGTGGCGGTGAGAACATGTATCGCATATTGTACGTACGGGTAATTCGTATAGGCTAGCCAGGTTGGTACTGTGTTAGGGCGGGACAGATTAGTCAGGGCTAGGACCTGGCACTCAGAGACAGTATTTCATAAGTCAAAGGTTCGCGATGTTTTACCATAGATGCCAGACAGACAGAGACACACCACCAATCCAAGCAGTTTCACACATCTTCAGTTTTGCGCCTTGACATTCAGAACAGTGTTGCATTTGCTCGACAATACCCTGATCAGACAGTCCCTCATAAGTGCAGCGACACCACTTGCGTGCTGTCGTTGCTGGCTCCCCCATCAAAACCCATTGCCATCCCCAGAAATCTGGGAATGGCCTCACTTAGGCGGGACGCCTAAGTGAGTCTCGCTGGCAATACCACCGAACCTGGCAGGCGGTGAACTCCCTTTGGTCGTTGGGTGGTTGTCCTTCCCATGATCAGAGAGAATCTCACTTTGCCCCAGCTCAGTACGAGGTTTAGCCTACATTAGTCTGTAAGCATGACTGTATGCTGCATCGGCTCACGCGCTAGGGGTTAGTCTGGCCGAAACTTGCCGGTCGGCTGGATGGAAGAGAATAAAGATTCTGCCGGTATTCTGTGGTCTTGGTAAGACCCTTGCCGAAGTTATGTCTGACTCGGTCCGTAAATGCTAAAGGTGAACCTGCCTTGTCGCTTACCTCCGCACCTTGTTCTGTGCCCCTGTATGGATGGGGACTTCCGCTGTATGGTTATCTTGGTCTAGGGTTACTCCCGCTTTGATGAACCCCTGATTGGCTCCGAAAGACCCGACGTTCTTTAAGCCGGTTACCTCGGGCGGACTTGGAACCGGATTAACCGTCGGATGTAGTGTCGGCGAGCTTAGAAAGGCAGACTTGCGCGGAAGCTACGATCTCGGGGTCTTGCTTTTCCCCTAACTCCTCCCTTATCTCTGATCTGCTTAACTTGCTCAGCAAGTTAGAGTCCATACGTTCGACCAAGAGTTAGCTCTCGAGTTGACCGGTATTATGTTGAGTAAAGCAGCGTTGAGTCTCCTGATGTGGAGCTCAATGCTTAGCTTGGGATCCTTATACATCCTCCCCTACGGCGCCGGTAAAAAGGCAATTACTACACGGGCATGAAGAATTGCTACCCGGGCATGACTCTTACACGGGCATGACTTCTATCGCCTCTGATTCGCTCATTTTTTTCCTTCGACCCACAGGTACATCAGTGCAAAGGCGGTGAAGCAAGCTCTCTTAACAAGGCCGTGCTTTCGGTATAGTCAGAACCAACCAGGTCAACCAGGCCTCTAGAACAGGTCTTAGGCGTATATCAAAACAAGGTCTGGTTTTCAATACAGAACACGGCCAATTCCAGCACGCCCTAGAGGGCAGCTATCTATATCTCTATCCTCTAACTACTATAGATGGAAGAACCTCCTCGTCGCTGTAAAGCAGCTCCCACTGACTCCTTCGCCTGCGAATGCTAGATTGCGTCTTCCGTCCGTTGGCACGTACTCCTGTAGTTCTTCCAGCTCCAAGAACAGCTGACCGGCTGCGCGTCTGGCGCTGGGATGAGGCACTGGCCTGGCTACTAGCCTGGCTGCTGGCCTGTTGGCTCGCTTCCAGAGCAAGCCTAGCTAGCGTTGACTTGTTGTGACTTCCTGGTGGTCGACCTCGTCTGCGCCCTGTCGCTTGTCTTGCTGGATTGCTGGCTCGTTGGCCACTCGGCTGGCTGCTTGCCTCAATGGCTAGCCGCGCTGGAACAGCCTGTGTGGTGTTCTTAGGTCTGCCACGGAGAGCAGTGGCGATCTTAGGGTCGAGGATTCGTCGGTATGGATCTCGAGAGGATGGCTCTCGTAGGCGCCACCGAGGATGGACCTCCCATTTGGTGAGAGGCGTGCCACTCACCAGCTTTGAGTAGATTGTGTGGCAGCAGGGGATTCCAAGCTCGGTCGAAACCGAGCAGTCCTCACTGCAATCGCCAATGGGGTCAGGGAACGGATTCTTCCCCGTCGGCATTGCTTTCCTTGCTAGCCGATATTGTTTGTTGATAAGCCCGAGACCCTTCGAAGAGAGTGCTGTCCGGGGTTCGCCTAGATACTCCGAGCTGGACCCTATGTACTCTCGCGCGGTAAGTACCTCGTCCGCTGCGCAGGCGTCGTTGAAATCTCGCTCCTGGTCCTTCATCATGTCCTGCATAGCCTCGATAAGCCGATAGAGATTGCTCATACCATTCAGGAGATAGCTCTTGATGTTGTTGTTGCTTGCTTCTGTCCCAGATGTGACGCGTATGCCGAAGTTGCGATAGTTGCGAATGAAACATCGTGCCCACTGCGCCCTGACAGGCATGTAGGTTCCATGGAGATACCGCAGGATGGCCCGCTGATCGTCAAATTCCCTACAGAGGCTTCCCCACGCCTTCTCGTGAGCCTCCTCTGTCTCCGCAAACAAGACGACCTTCCACATCATGAGAACCCCTCGATGGCTATGAGGGACGACTTCAGCTGTCTGCGCGTTGACCAACTGTCCGTCTTTCGGGCCGAGCTCAGCCTGTGCCTGTGGAGCGTAGTCCTCCCCGTTGCTGCTGTCGGGACTACTACTGCTACATTGGCCCTTGACCCACTTCTGCTTTGACTTGAGCAAGACGTTAGAATTGATGTGGTGGATGCACAGCTGCTGCTGTGCATCAGGGAACTGATCATTCAGGGCGGCCTTCATCTGACCGTCGAAGTCAGTAATGATAACGTCCGGTTGGCGAATAGAGTGCTGCTCTGAGATCTGTCGAATGCTCTCAGAGAGGAACTGGAACCCCTCCCGTCTCTCGTTGTCGATCAGACCGAACGCCGCATTGTAGACAGAACCAAGGCAGGTCTGTCCTGTTGCTTGGAATAATGGAAGCTTGAAGCGGTTGGTGTTGTATATGTTGTCGAAGCTGATGACCTCAGGAAACCGCTTCCACATCTGGAGGCAGTACGGAAAGGTCCAGACAAGACCGACGAGGCGGTTTGGCTCATCATCCGCCCACTTAACAAGATAGGGAATCTCCATCTCGTCGAACAGCTTGATCAGTGCTGCAGTAGGAGTGTGGCCGCTCAACTTGTCTCGACTGATACGAGACCTGGCGTTATAGATATCCTTTCGTGTAAAAGATGACTCGGGATGCTGCTCCAGGACGATCGCGCGTACGTCACGGGCCCGAATTCCGACCCGACGGCTTGTCGATTCGACTGTTGCCCTGATAGGTGTAGTGAGTCGTCTGTGGGAGGGATGGGCGGATGGTTTGATACTGGCCCGGTGGTTATGCTGGCTATGCTCGGAATTATCGTGGTGTCGTAGAAGCCATCTACCCTCCTCCAGTGCTTCGGCAATGACCATCCATTTACAACCACACTTTCGAGACTTCCGTTGCCGAATACCGGTACTCTCTGAGGGGCGTGGTTCTCCGAATCGATCGCATTGGAAAGAGTACCGGATCTTCCGACCCTTATATGAGTAGGCATTTCGTCGAACAATACCGAAGCCATTAGCCTTCGCGAAAGTATTCACCCACTCGAACAGGACTTCGGCTGACGGCGCTGGGTCGCCTGGGATAGGTGGGTTCGGGATCGGGTCAGGGACAGGCGACAAGGGGTGGTCGGGCGAGGGCGGCGAGGCGATAGGCGGAGAGTGCCTTTCTCGGGGAGGCGAGTATGGCGGAGATGATTCGAATGGAGTTGAACTGAGCGGCGAGTAGCCCCATATCTCGCGCCATTGGCGGACTCGTTCGTATGACCGGACGAGCTCGATGGTAAGTCTTCGATCTGTCCCAATCACCTCGCGCACTAGCCTAAGGGCGGACTGAAACTGGGGTCTTGTTGGAGAGAATTGTTCTTGTGCTGATTGTTGTGGAGAGCAGGCAGGTGGCTGGTCGATTTCCGGGCCTGGTATAGGCATTCTTACTCGTTGCGACCGTCTTCCTCGGGTTGGGAAATCATTCGATAGGTGAATCTCATGATCGAATCGCAGCTCCCATGGTGGCTCGTTCAGCCCACGCGATCCATGGGGGCGTGGAGCGGTCGTGAAGGTCTCTGGGTACGAGGCGAAAGCATTACAGAGTGCCTCGTCGTCTCCCACGCCATAGTGTGGGCCAATGCTCGTCCCTGTGCTATTAGACGAAGGTGGTCTTGAACTCTCAGATTGGTTCTGCCGCTGTCGTTTTCGAGGACGTAATTGATAGCTTCGAAGTCGTTGGTTGCTTGCTGAGCTAGATCGAGAGCCGGGCTGGGACATAATGACGGCCTTGATCGCGACAGGAAGAGTGTCGCACGCACGGATGAGAGCATGGTTAAAGGGGCAGTTGATTTGACTATGAAAGAAGGAAAGAGGGGACCAATTTCAGCACAAAGGAATGACCTGCTTTGTGATGCAGATGCCTTGGAAGATGAGGCTATTGGATATTCCTGATACAGCGTGTGTTTGAGTGTTGGTCTCAGCAGGGGGCCTAACACACCACGCCTGGAGCCCTGGGACCTTGACAAATATGGTATCTTTCACGAACAATCATTATCAGTAGGCTTGACATGCGACAAGAGGTAATTGGTGTAGTAGCTAGCTAGTGAATAGCTTCCATATGTCTCGTCGATCGTCGTGGTGGAGAGCTAATCCCGAGGTACAAGGGAAGCGTTGGCAGAATCTAGATGCACTAACAAAAAGGGATGGACCAATCAGAGGCTGCAAAAGGTCATGCCCGTGTAAGAGTCATGCCCGGGTAGCAATTCTTCATGCCCGTGTAGTAATTGCCGGTAAAAAAGCACTCGATGCTCTCACGAGGCGAGATGAAGATCCGATAGAGCTTAGCTGGATCGAGAGATTCGGGGTTATCGGCGATAGCTATTCCGCCGCTATCGGTGCAGGCACACCTTTGGGGGGGTTCCCTAGCTCGGACTGGAAGTATGCGTGTTATGACCAAGGATACCTAACCGTCCTTAACGACAAGTTCGGTCCGAGTGTGAAGAAGTTCTCGTACATAGCCTGTAGTGGAGACCGCTCTGAGCACATTTACAAGTAAGTTATGGATAAGCTGGAGGATAACCTTAACTTGGTCGTCTTCACCGCCGGCGGAAACGTTTTATGTCTGGTACGTTCTAACTAGTTGCTGATTGGTTCTTAAGTTGTCCCCGGTATTAGTTTCCGGAAGACGCGCGAAGTAGCTGAGCTGACTGAGAAGCTACGAACAGGCTGGTATGATTAAGAAATGCGTTCGTTGCCGTAAGTATAGGACTATCTTATTCCTAGTCGCCTTTCTTTCCGTACTTTTCCTAAAGGCTAGATGAGGAGCTACTGACCGGCTATCCGCTATAGATTCGAGGGAGACAACGCTTGTTAGGAAGTTATAAAGAAAGCCGAGGAAAACATTAAGACTAACGTAATCCACAAGTGAGCGGGCCACACAAGTGAGCGGGCCACTTTCCTACCATATTCGTACAGGCTATCTTCTTTCCCCCTTTTCTCCACCAATAATTATGGTACGACCATCAATTGAAGGCGATTTGATTCTAGCGCTTCAGGCGCTCCAGTCTGACCCAGAATTAACTATACGAAAGGCTGCACAGCTGTACAATGTACCTCGTACGACCCTACAACGAAGACGAGCCGGCCGACCTGCGAAACACGATATACGACCACCCTGCCAGAAATTGACCTCGTACGAAGAGGATAGCATCGTACGATATATAATCGACCTAGATTCGCGATCGTTTCCACCGCGGTTAGGTGGTGTTCGAGAAATGGCGGATCGACTCCTCCGCGTACGCGACGCGCCACGCGTCGGAACGAACTGGGCCTCAAACTTCGTACGACGACGACCTGAGCTCCGTACGCGTTTTAATCGAAGAATCGACTACCAGAGGGTCCTCTGCGAGGATCCGGACGCGTATCGCGCGTGGTTTGAGCTCGTACGAAATATAATCGCGAAATACGGGATCCACAATGACGATATCTACAACTTCGACGAAACGGGCTTCGCGATGGGCAAGATCTCCGCCGAAACTGTCGTTACAACCTCCGATCGACGCGGGAGGCCAAGAGCCGTACAACAAGGCAATCAGGAATGGGTTACAGTAATCCAGGGCATCGCGTCGTACGGCTATTCGATCCCACCATATATCATCTTCGCGGGGAAGGTCCACCTCGACTCCTGGACCGCGAATAGCCCTCTACCGGCCGACTGGGTAATCGCGCTTTCAGATAATGGCTGGACGACGAACGAGAGAGGTCTAGAATGGGTAAAACACTTCGATTTCCATACGAAGAGTCGTACGAAGGGTACCCACCGCCTCCTTATCCTCGACGGCCACGAGAGCCACCATTCCGTCGATTTCGAGCTCTACTGCAAGGAACAGAACATTGTAACGCTCTGTATGCCTGCTCACTCATCACATAAGCTCCAGCCTCTCGATGTTGGGTGCTTTAGCCCTCTTAAACGGGCGTACGGTAAAGAAATTGAGGGTCTCATGCGGGCGCATATTACCCACGTTTCAAAGGAGGACTTCCTCCCAGCCTTTTATAAGGCGTACGACGCTGCGATAACAAAGTCAAACATCCAGGCAGGCTTTAGAGCAACTGGCCTAGTACCGTACGACCCGAATTATGTGATTTCACAGCTAGATGTGAAGTTTCATACGCCGACACCGCCAGGTTCCTCTGCTGGACTACCACCCCCATGGGTTTCAAAGACGCCGAACAACCCAATTGAGGCCGAATCGCAGACGGAGTATATCAAAAATCGCATCGTACGACACCAGAATAGCTCTCCGTCGTCCATTATTGAGAGCCTGCGGCAGCTAAATAAAGGAATCACAATGATGGTGCACGAGCAGACCCTTATGCGCCAAGACCTCGCCGAACTTCGAGATGCAAACGACCGCCTTAGCCGCCGTCGTGGTACGAAAAGAAAACAGCTACAGAAAGGAGGGTCCCTCACGATTGATCAGGCAAAGGATTTGAAGGCTCAAATCGATGCGACGCAGCAGTTAAGGGCGGAAACGAGTCAGAATAGTGGTCGTACGAGGAGGCCAGAAACGCGCGCGCGACGATGTGGCGTCTGCGGCGAACCCGGCCATAATGCTCGTACGTGTCAGAAAGTTGTATCTGCCTCTGAAGAAGAGGATTCTGAATAGTTTGAATTGATTTCAGGCGTTATGGTTGAATTCTCTTATACATTGTCGTACGGGTACCTGGTGGGTGGCCCGCTCACTTGTGTGGCCCGCTCACTTGTGGATTACGTTATTCTTAAGCCTAACATTAAGTCCATCCTGCTTAAGCTTAATGATAAGATGGCCAAGGACAGCGTTGTGGTGATGCTCGGCTACGGATAATTCTTCAACACTGACAACGAGGACGTGTGCACCAAGACTTAGGACTGGACGTAAGCGATCCCCTTCGGTAACTACTGGGTTAAGACAGGTATTCCTCTTAATATTGCACTGCGTAAACGTCTGAACAATCTGGTCATCGGTATTAATGACGCAACTAAGGAAGTTGTGACTGATGTCCGGAACAACGGAAACGTTAAGTATAAGCTCAAGTATGTCGCTTCTTCTAGTAGCTCTTGATTCCCGTCTGAAGACTGATCTTATCGCTGTTGCTTAGGTACGCCGACTGGGATAAATGGTCCTATTAGGTGGTCCGTGGGCAATACTGTGACCCTCAGGGTGACGGCTCTTACCCCGACGCTAAGTAGCCGGACCTGCAGTTTTTCAAGCCCGATACGAAACGGCCGACTTGTGAGTAGATAATAAAGGGCCGTATCTCGAGATTGCTCGCCTCTTCTAACAGTCTTTCCGCGTCCTAGCTGAGCACGATGAACTCCGAAGACGCTTCACTGAAGCTGATAATGCCACCGTTAGCGATGACGTTCATGCTCAGGTGCTGTATGACTCTATCCTGTACAACTCGCCAGACCCGCGAGCGGCCGCGCTGCACTCGCTAAACCCTCGCGATGCGCCTTCGCTACCCGGATGCCCCGGTGACGAGAACTTTGACCCGACCTTGGGCTTTGGCCTGCCTGATATGTTTGCCAAGTGGTTCCACCCCAACGAGAAGGGCTACCTCACTATGGCCTCTTTCGCTATGGACGCTATCGTTAAGGGCCGCGTAGAGGTCTTGGGCTAAGGCGAGACCTGCACGCGGCGCAAGGACGAGTTCCGCTGCTGGTCAGCTGACGGCTCGCGCGCGTACGCGCACCATAAAGTCGTGGACGGCAACTTTCGCGACTTTTGTAGCGCCCTCGACCCGCCCGAGAACGAGTCCGGCTGGAAGCGGTCTAAGACTTACTAGCCCGGTACGCCCGATGAGGCGACCGTCTCGATCGAGCTGTCCGACGATGCGAGCTCCTTTGATAAGGAGCTCTGCCTTAACTCGTTCAACCATATTATTAACGGGTGCGACCCTAAGACGGACGATAAACCGATGACCTGGAAGTTTGGCGGTAAGTGGGTTCGCGGCGAGTACATGTACCGTATCGACATTAAGCGGTATAACCGCAAGTGGCCACCCTATAAGGAGCCTGTGGGCGACTGCAAGAGCGAGTATAAGTTCGTCCTTAACTCTATCTTTATTCACGGCGGCGGCTGGGCTACGGCCGACTTCGGCTGGGATACGCTTAAGAAGAAGGCCGGCTTATGTATCGGGTCCACCCCGACGTTGTGGAAGTTCTGGTACTACGACTCCCTAGATAAGGACGGCATGGAGTGGGCGGCTAGCTTTAATACTCCGGTCTTTATAACGTCGAGATGCTTCGATAATGATAAGGTGCCTAATGACTCGGGTGGCCACGTTAGCGGCTGCGGTGGAACTGGCTAGCTGGGCCATGTTAAGGTCGAGGTGCTGAAGTCTGTATTGGCTATTAATTGGCCCCTTGTGCTCCCAAAGACTAAAGACGGAAAGGACTACATATCCCTAGTTCTGATTTATTAGATATTATAGTGAACACGAAAGATTTCTCATGTTTAAGGATCGCATTCCTTGTAGCGTACGCAGAGGGCTTTGCCACTAGTTATCAACCAGCTGAAACCTCGTTTTTCGTTAATAGATAGAGTATAGTACGTTAGTGTCTATGTCTGTAAGGGGGTTGACTATGGTCCACTGCTAAGAGTAATCCCATGACCTGTATTGTTGAGGTTTACAGTTTCCTATGCTAATCTCTCACTATATTCCACCCTACTGTCACGATCCTGCCTCCGGGGTCAACCGTCTGGCAGGGCGCTGGGGTTGCTGTTCTGCAAGATAGGTAAAGCCTGTGCAATCACAACTAACACTCTGCTGTCGTTCTCTCTCTGGGTTGTCGTTCGTGTCTCTTGGAAGAGATACCAGTCTCGGCAATTGAGTGACTAGTTCAAGTGTGGGTGAAACTGATACTTAGATTGATCGCTGAAGTACAAAGGTAATGACTGTGTATCTAGGAGATCCTTCGCGCCTATATATCCTTTGTCCTTCACCGCGTGCGTCCTGGATATGCTTGGATATGTTGCGATCCAGCATATTCAGGGATCATCTTGGATATGTTATGATCCAACATATCCAGGGATCATCTTGGATATGTTGTGATCCAACATATCCACCCTTGTCCCGCTGACATAATGAGATGCTTATGTAACCAGGGGTGTGTCTGCCCCGCGTGCATGACCTGCCCTTGTCCTTGGCCTGATCTTGCGACCTGTTGGTCGGGTCGTCACACCTACCTGTGTTTCCAAAAAGTCGACGATGTCGTCAATCTCCTCGGGCACCTTGTACTAGTGTCCAAGCTCCGGATATAACTTCCACGTGATATTGAACCCAGCTGCTCGCAGAGTATCCGCAGCCGCCTTCCCTAACGTAGGCGGCTTCTTCTCATCAAGCTCGCCATGACCAAGGAACACGGGCGTGGTCGCTAGCACTCCTTCGCTAGGCAGATCCTTAAGAGGCTCCATGCATAGCAGGTCCCTCTCGAACTCGACTGCCCGGGCCGCCGGCCCTTTCTCGACCTTGTCTCCTTCGTCCTCGTTATTATCGTTTGTAAAGGGGTTATTATCACCTAACTCCTCGTCCCCACCCCTCTCTCCCGTTACCGCTTCTAAGATATCCCTCTGAAACGGTAAATACGAGCATAACCTAATATACCCACCTAGCGATATACTACCACCGCCTATCGCTAAGAGCAAAGATATGCTTATCGCACTGCCATTACTGATCCCTCCCAGCACCACATTCCGCGCGCCGACTTTGTCCACCTCCGCCTGAATAACCGGCTCCAGCCTGGTCGCCGAGTCCTGAAGGCCTTAGAGCTGCGTCTCCTTGCGGTACTCTGGGTCCGGCAGGCGGGCGATGTCGAACCACATCCTGAGTAGGCTGCGCTTGAACGCGCTGGACCGGCGGAGCGGGGCGGTGGGAAGATGAAGCGCGCGCCGGGGAGGAGTTGTGGAAGGAGGTGGCCGGTCGAGGTGTGGCCTGCTTCGAGGAACTGAGCGCCGAAGTTGCGGCCGTTGTCGCCCAGGCCGTGGAGGAAGATGATCGAGTGGGTGTGCGTGGTGGTGGGCTCGACGATGTATGTCGCTGATGATGGATGTGGTGGTGGTGTTGATGCTGGTTCAGGGGCGGGGTCTGTGGGATGCCTGAATAAGTGTCATCTGCTTGGTTCAAAGGGCGCCAATTTCGGCGGCTTGCGCCTCCAAAAATGGCGGTCGTTGAACCAACCAAAACGGTGAGATACCGGATTGGTGGTTCAAAAACGGACATATCGCGTTTCGGCCTTCCGTAACGATGACTGATGGCCAACAGGGGGCAGATATCCACCCAATCGTTTCAATGTCTGAAGCGCTGGGCATGGCTATATTTAGCTAGTTCCACTTGATTTGTCTCCTCAACCTCTACCCGAGCATCATCATAGCAGCAGGACGCCTGGAGGACAGGAGTCACAGTGGCGTTGTACTATTCCAAGCATCGATAGGGATAGTCGCTGGTGGGTTTGGCTGAGCGAAGGATGAGGTCAGGAAGCTTTGTGCCTGCGCCATAGGAGAAACACCATCATTGACACAATGTGTTAAGCAACAAAAAGATGCTTGGTGGTACAGCCTGTTTGTCAAGAATTGGAGGGCGAATGCGACTGGCTAGGATGTGGAGTCTGGTCGGTAGCTTGCCACTGGCTCATGAACGAGATGGTCGCCGGCATGCGGCCAACTGCCTCCTGATTCGAGCATGGCTGACCCACCCGGACCCACTTTGCCACATCTGCCTCGCCAAGGGACATGCTGCTGCCTGGAGTTAACGTTCTGGTGTAGATTGGTACGGGAGTGGTACATTCGCGTTGTCTGGTGTCTTAGCATACAGTACTATATGTATCATGCTACGAGCACTATTGTGTGGTGCCCCGCAGTTACCAGCCCCAGAGCCATGGTCAGCCTCAACAGCAGAAGACGCCGCGATCATGTAACTTTGCCAGTGGTGGATGCTAGACCTCTGGTTGATTTACCTATTGAATGCACAATCACATTCATTTATACAACCTATTTCCATTCTAAGTGCGTGTGACGCTGCCTGAGGTGCCTGTTTTGGACACCAGTGGGGACAGGTTTCGGGGCCCCAAAGCACCCTCAGTAAGTACATAGCGCCAAGCGAACATGTACCTACCAAAGTACCCTCATCCCCACAGGTACAATGCCGCCCACCCACACTAACACAGGATCCTGTCTCCCCGGTTCCTGTCACTGTACCAAAGATAAAGGGTCTCCCAGACCTCTACGGTCCTCGACGCCCCCGAGCCACCCAGCAGCCCCCCGCTTTCCCCCTTTTCACTCATTCGCCCCACTTCCCTTCACCGTCCCCATGAAAGACACGAAGCCTGCTCTTTGGTGTCGCGTCCAGCAGGACCTCGACAGCGACCTCTCCGATGCCTCTGGCCCCGAGATCACACCAGAGGAGCTACGGGCTGCTGCTGAGAAGGCTAATGCCCGCCGCCCCCTCCGACTACGACGCGCCGTTACGTACTAACGCAACATCGTTTTGGGCCAGCGGCGATGGGCGAGGTTCTGTGAATTCATGAGATACCCGGATTGGCGGGAGCGGGTTAAGACATTGACCTACGATAATCGCGGCGATGTTGAAGCCTTCATTAGGTATTGCAAGGAGCGGCGAGGGGTAAGGATTACCGGTAAGACCACACTGGAGAGATATCTCATGCAGCTCCGGGCCGTCCATAAGAAGTACACTAATCTCACTATCGACTCTCGACTCCCACCCCACATGCTCGAGTATATTGCGACCGTTACGAGACGTAAATACTACCTGAGGACCGAGCCTAAAGTTAAGAATCACATCGGCCCCGATGTACATATCTACCTCTCCCATTTTCGCTGGGTGCGGGACTGGAAGAACGTCTTTAAGATCGGGTTGGACCGCCTTGATGATGCGACGCTTCGATACTTCCAGATGTTCACGGGTGCTCGGCCGCACGAGTTCGTCCATGCGAGGATCCCGAATGACTATGCTATCAAAATGGAATACCACGATGAGCTGGATGCCTTTACCGACACGGACGAGGAGGGCGACGTTGTGCCGCCACAAGGGCCTTGTTGGGTGTGCGGCGAGAACGACGATAGGACGCACGCAGCGAAGAAGGTGCTGTGCTGGGAGGATATCAAGCTGTGGATTATCCGAGACCCCTTCAACGACGGTGGCAGAGACCGGCTTGTTATGACACTTCTTCTCCGGTTCCACAAAGGACACGAGAAGGAGTAGCGGCCGACCACGTCCATTTTCATTGAAGAAGACCTGCCCGTCCTTTGCCCTGTCTCCCATCTGCTCGCTAAGGCCCTGGTAGAAGGAGTGGTGGCCCACGAAGGGTATTCACGGGCTGCGCCTTTCTTCCGCACTAAGCTCTTAGTGCGCGGTGTACAGGTCAGGTGGAAGCGGGAGTTCATGCACACCCTAGTCTTTCGACAGACCATTAAGTCGCTGGAAGGCTACGTGAAGAGTAACGAGCCTTTGCGTAAAGACCAGCTTGATAACAATTCAAGAAACCTCGGTCGAGCAGCTGGTCTCCTTGACAACCTCACCAACTATGACTACCGGCGAGGAAACCTTGAGGCTATTGACGGTACGTCCCTATAGCCCCGCTTGTCTGTGCCTGCTTCTGACGTCTCATAGCGAATTGCCGCTCAACGGTACGGAGACAAGTTGCACGCCATAAGGATGACGGCACCTTCTAGGACTTCTATAACAATGCCAGAACTAACGTCGTGACCCAAGATGCATTCCTCGGTCGTGGTACCAAATCTCCCTATCTCGCTATCTTTAACCAGCTTGGGCTCCAAATCGATGAAGATGCCCCGACGGTAGTGACGGACGAGATGATGCGGTTTCTTGGCCCCGGTATAAAGATCCTTCGCCTGGACGACAAGGTGGCCACGTTGCGGACATCTCTTGAGTAGAAGTACGGCCAAGTGAGCTCGGCGACTGGTTAAGACAAAACGGAGTACGAGGACTTGCTGAAGCAGCGGAGGGCTGCCGCTCAGAAACACAAGAGGAAGGTGCTTAACAGCTACCGGCGCCGCTGGTTCGAGTTGAAAAATGACGACGAGCTCGATAGGCAACTACTTAGCCAACCTCAGCCCACGCACGTCCTACCTGCAGTCACCTTCAAACTGCTAGAACGGAGACGCGTTGCCGCGCTTCTAGGTGACCTGGATACGGACATGCCCGAAGACGAGTTGGTCCAGCGGAAGATCGACTGCGTCGGTGCTTGGGTGGCTTTGGCTTGGAAGGTCGAGGTTAAAGAATCGAAGCCAGAGCCGGTTGACCAGAACTAGTCGCTAAATGCGCCTCCTCAGCCCCCTAAATAGAAACCGACGTACGCGTCCCTCATCAAAGACGTAGCTCCGGCCGCGCCTGCCCTACAGGTTGATAAGCTTCCACTCGCCACGCCAGCCTCCACCACTCTTGCCCTCAGGCCGCCTTGCAGCCCTTCCGCACCATTAATTGCCCCAGCACCCATCAAGCCCCCTCCCCCAAGTCCTCGGATTATTATTAAGCAGCCCAGCCCGACTTTATAACGTCCAAAGGGCCGAAAGCAGCCTGACCCTTGTATCTTCTGCCGGGGGTCTTTCACTCGGATAACCATAATGTGGAAACATTTCGAAGGCCACCTGAGCATGAGCGCAGGTCGTCCAATCCCTTGCCCTTTCCCAAAGTGCAAAAAGGGGGCAATGGAATAAGGCGATGCGATTGCCTTTCGTGCTCATGTATACCACAAGCATGGGGTGCCACTCAAGCCTGTTATTATACTCAAGACCGCTGAAAGGTTGAAGACACCAATGCCCTCGCCAAGGATCATCCTCAAATGTCGCTCATAGCCAGCGAGCAATCGGCAACGGTCATGCCACTTACAGAACCCGGATAACTAGTTTGATTATTAATTAACCTATGATTCTCCAGCCTTCCTCTTTATGCCTGGGTGTGGTCAATGAATCCGCTACTGCAACTCCTCATCATATGCATCGCGCAAGATCTGATCCTTCAGATCTTTCTGCATTCGAGGTGATGTTTTTCGGTCAGCCGACTCTATTCGGGGAGCTTCGCAGGTACCAAGTGCTTGAGGTTCGACCGGTACGTGCGTATCGTTCTAGGGAGCAGCCTACGAGATCGGCCGTCACGGGACTTTGTACTTCACCTGCTGAGAATGTCGCAAATGAGGTCTCGCGACGAGGCGTGCGACGCCCTCCACTTCAAGCAGAGAAAGGCCCAATGCAACAGCATTGAGAAAAACGGCGGAAAAGCCCCTCCTCAGCCGTCTTCATAGTTAGTTACGAGGCAATCGGGGGCGTGGGTGGGCAGCAGGGAGAGTGCCAGGAGTTCGCGGGCCAGCGACGGGCCAGCCTCGACCGCAGGATCACAGCAGGACAAGCGGTTAGTCGCCTTGCTCCACCTCGTCCAGATCAGACTCCGAGTCGGACGCCTCATAAATCAAGGTGCCCGTGCCCACGTCTGCGAAAGACTCCGTCTGCCAGCCAATGCCCAAGTCACCAACGTCGGCCAACTCAATTCTCGAGTCTTTTAATTCAGCGTGGGCTTCCTGCAACTCGGAGGCTTCCGATGCTTCGATGGGCTGCTCGCCTGATGCCCCCGGTTCAAGCGCTCGCCGCGACGACTCCTTGGCCCCTGAGAACACCTGATGGCTCCAATCGAATTGCGGGACATCGGGTGAGATGTACGGGTCCTTCGGTTTGCGAAGAATCCAACTCCGAGCGAGGGTCACCTTCTTGTACTCGAAAGCGAATATCCTCGCGCCGGGAAAGCTGTGCGAGGCGTCGGACTTGCGCGTCTCCTCCTTGCTCATCTCCAGCTCCGGATTCTGACGCCGGAGGATAGGCACCGGACTTCCTGCCGCAGCCGCGGCGAGCTCAGAGGCCGGGACGATGGCCGTGAGCTTCTGGCCCTCGCCCACGTTGGTTATGACGTTGACGCTCCCGTCGTAAACCACCTTCGCGCCGACGATCATGAATAGTTTACCCTTACATGCAGGTGACCGCAGGAGGGCAAGTGCTTGTTCCTTCACTACCTCGCTCTCCATAAGATCGTCAAACAACCGCTGGTGCTGCTGGACGCTAAATGTGGCAACGTGGGGGGTCTCCAGCCGGGTTGTTTTCTCCCCGTGGGCAGTCTTGCCAAAGGTGAACAGGTCGGTAAGCCGGAATCGGAGGCTCTCGTCTTTCAGGCTCTGGGTGAATATAGTGGCGTCAACATCGAACAATTCGTCCAGGATGAACCGTTGAACCGTGGTGAGGAGACTGTGATGAATCGTAGGCGCGTATTGATCCGTCGGCCTGTTCATCATTCGCACGAATCGTCCAAGCCACTTGTTCGGGTCCGCATCTCTGCCCGATAGTGGGCGTGAGATCACGACATAGCTAGGCTGTTGGGCGCCGTGGGCCATTGCTGCAACAGCAATGTCCTGCCTCTGGGATGGTGGGTTACAGCCTTCTGTCGCGGATCAGTGCTCCTGAGCGGAGTCCTATTCGGAGAGCAACGAGTCGAGGTGGTAGCGCTGGATCCGAGGCGTCGGCGCTTCGAAGTTAAGGGAACGGGCGATGAATTGTCGTTGCCGTCAGGTCTAACGCGTCAAGGGACTCGGAAAATCAGTGATGTATTGGATTAGGGCTTCAGCCTCTGTTGTTAGATTGCGCAGTGAATTGCTTGCTTGTATGTCTTATGTTTCCAGTCTTTCAATGGATCTCATGGCCACATATATATAGCCATTTTTCAAAGGGTCATGTGACACCGAGGCCTACAATCTTGGGGCCTTTTAAGGTTTGTGGCTTACAACTCTGAAGTTGAGGGGGATACCCTGTTCTTCCAACAGCCTCGAAGGCTGGGGGCTCCTCAAACAACACAGTGCGACCATCACGTGCCTTCTGCATGCTCTTCCAACTGGAGCTGATCGTGGCGCAAGCCACGTCACCTCATTCTCCGTCGCCCTCTCCCTAGAGAGCTGTCCTAACGACTGAAAAACGCGGCCTGCCCCCGTTCGATTCTGTATATTATGGATATCTGGAAAATGGTGTGAAAGAAAGAAGCCCTGGTGACTCCGCCCGAAACCAGGTCAGCCAATTCTATGATCCTCCGACTAGATCCTATGCCGGATCGGAAGCCGACCGGCTAGGCAGCATTAAGCCAACCGATAGCCACTCTTCGAAGTAGTCCTCATCCCGTCAGACTCCGCGCTGTCGTAATAATCCACACCTACATCAGCCCAACGCCATAGGGGCCCGTCTGCCACAAGTCGCGGACTCATCTTCGCTGCGAGTGCCATCTTACGCGCAACCCCCTAGTCTCCTAACGCTAACTGCGTCGAAGTACTCCTTCTCCCGCCGACGGATCGCTTTCAGGCCCGTCGTCAGCTGCTAGCTCGCCAGCCCGTGATTCAAATCGATCTCCCCTCACTAACACGTTCACACCAATGGCGGAGGAAGTCATCGCGATATCCATCACAGAGGAGGGCAAGTTGACAGATGGGTGGAGAGTCAACGTGGCCGTGGGAGACCAACAATGGACGGCAGATCTGCTGGAGCCGATGGCACCAGCGGAAGAGGAAAGACTGCGCTGGTCACTCGAGGAGCATGCCCCGAGCAGTCCATTCGAGACGCAGAGATGCGAGCAGTCCCTAAAGGAGCTGGGAGAGTATGGCCGCAGGCTCTTTCACAGTCTACAATTTCGTGGACATGTGCCCGAGTTGCATCGAGCGACGCGCGTGGTGATCGACATCGCTGAGGGCAAGCTCCATTCCGGCTTCCACCGGATTTGCTGGGAAGTGCTGGAGGACCCCTCGCTTTGGTCGGATGGCGGAGACGGCGCGTGCAGTATTGAAGTTCGCAGGATGTTCGCCACCAAGCAGAGTAAAGACAGCGCTCGCATGGGCAATTTCAGCATCCTCTACGTGGTAGCAAGGTCATGGCAGGACCGCGACATGTTCATCGATCACCGGCTGATATCGGGCAGCCTCGTGAGGACATTACAAGAGGCCGGCCCGAGCTCGGTGCAGGTTAGCCTTGACATTGTTCGTCCGGGTACTTGGACCGCTCTAGTAGAGCACCTGGAGAGGAGCCGAGTCCTCAATGGCCGAGGTTATTACGATCTGGTGCATTTTGATATGCATGGCAGTGTCGAGAAAGGAGGAGAACAAGGAAGGCGAGTTGTATTGGGCCGGAATTTAGGCTGTTCGTTTGCTGACTGTGACACATAGCTATGCCTTCGAATTCGACTCAGCCTCAGATCCCGGCGTTGGGGAGCTTATTAGTTCCGCATCAGTTGCGAGGTTGCTGCGACAGCACAGGATCAGAGCAGCCGTGCTGAACACCTGCGAATCTGCCAATGCTAGGGTCGATGGATCCGCCAATTTGGCCACGTCGTTCATGAAACAGGGAGTCAGAACCATTGTAGCCATGTCCTACAAGTTGTCAGTCACGGCAGCCGCGATATTCTTCAACGCATTCTACCTCAGCCTGTTTTCCAACGGTTTGCAATACACCGTTGCAGCAGCACACGGGCGTGAAGCACTGAAGATGAAACCCGCGCGGCGCAGCAGATTTGGTCTCAGTGTGCCCGTCCACGACTGGATCGTTCCCGTCTGCTATGTTGACAGGCATCAGCTAAGAGGAAGAATGCACCCGACGAAAGGTGGCCATAGCTTCTTTTCTGTTCCGTTCGAGAAGGGGATGTATTTCAGATTCTCTCCCGAACAGAGAGCCTTGATCTACGTAGGGGACGCCGAATCGATTACCGAAACTACGCACTGGCAAGAGGTTGCCTACAAGGACGAGCCAGGAGACCTGATCGGCCGCGACTGGGAGATCCTCCGGCTGGAGTACCACTTGATGCAGGCGCCCAATACTATCCTGTTGCTCTCAGGACCGCCAGGTGTTGGGAAGACAGCTATCGCGAGGAGGCTGGTCAATTGGTGGGCGCGCACGCGCTTTGCAAGTTACATATCCTATCTCTCCTCTACGTCTAAGGATTTCGTCACTAAACTGGACGGATGGATCGACAAAAACACGACAACGCCGGAGTCCGAGAGATTGGGCAGGCCGTGGATATACATTATCGACGACATTGAGAGCGACCTGCTTGCCCATGAACAGGACGCCTCCACCAGACTTGACCGGCTTGTCGCCTCGATAAAGGACTTGTCCGGCCACCACTCCAAGTTCCTCCTCATCTCTCGCCAACATTCTATAGTTTTCAGGGACTCGAAACTCGTCGCACGTCTTCAACAGTTGGATTATTTCATCTCCGAGTTTCAATTACCCGGCCTCTCCCCTACCGATGCAGCAAATTTCGGTGCGGCCGTTCTTAGAGATCAAGGAGTTTACCTGGACTCGGCATTCCAACCAGATATTCCGTACCTTGAGAGGCTCTACGCGCTTGTGGACCGCCTCCCCGGCGGGATTGAGTGGGCTCTCAGCTCTGCCAAATCCGAACCCGGCTTCTTCGGAGCCAGATTACGCGAGTTGGAGCACCCCGGACCCGAGTTCGGCAACTGGCCTTGCGTCAGTGAATTATACACACAGCTGTACGATATGAGAGGCAATGGGAAAAGGTTCATGGCCACGTGCCTCATGGCATATGCCTCCTTTCCCGCGACTTGCCCAAGTAAGCGACACTGGGAGCAATATATCTATTGGCTCATCTGGCGCGAACCCGGGCTGTTCTCCCCGGTCGAGGTCAGCGAGGATTCGATTGCGAGCCAGCGAGACACCATCCGACAACACGAACAGTTCTCCGGCAGAAATCTTGAATTAGAAAAGGAGGAGGATGTCAAGGCCTACCTTCGGTTTATTGCTATGTGGGACGACCTGCGAAGGACTTGCCACATGCTCGAACAGTATGGATTGGTTCTGGAAGCGGAGACTGACATCGGGCTCCCGACTTGGATTCACCCGGGGCTTAGACACATCCTCCGGAAGATCCAGACGCTAGACGTTGCGGCGCTTCGAGAGCCCACGGACAGAGCTTTCGCTGTCTCCATGGTCAGGAGACACGTACAAACGTACCGCAGAGACCACGTCAACGCTGAACAGGGACTCACGGTGCGACCGTCAGCACTCTACAGCGAGAAGAACTCTCTGATCCAGAGAGACATCCGGAACTATTTGAGAGCAGCGGAAGTCGGCCAATCACTCGCAGGACAATCCTTCAGCGGCGAGATGGCCTTCACATCCAATGAATTCGCACAGTTCTTAGAAGACGTCATGGACGCCCTGAACACTAATCGATATGCGATCGAACTGAGAGTTCTGAAGGACGTAGGGCGGAGTGTCCTGTCCAACCTCCTATCAAGCGCAGCTTTGGAGGCCGACGACGCAGATGCCGCCCTAGCCCTCTTGGTAGGTTTGCACGACATACGAGGCTGTCTGATAAGCGCAAGTGAGAAGTCGGATCTGGAAACCGCCGCAGGCGTTATAATAGCGTTTTGCAGAGACTTACAGCTTTCAGTGTGGGGCAAGGAGCGACTATGGCGGATCAAGGACTGGTTCTCGAAAGAAGAGCTACAGATGACGGCCAATGATGATGAGGTAGAGGATGCCTTTGGCGAATACGAAACGGCGCGGGAGAACTTTGTACGGCACGGTATCACACGACCGCAAGGAACGGCCCTACTCTTCGAGAGCTTCGAATCCTACAGATCGGCCTTTCTAAGATATATGTCGATCACGGCGTCAACAATGACACGAGTCCCCCTGAATAAGCTCGCAGAGTTGGAGGATAGACTATTGCGCAGCAACTTGCAGCCTTTAGAGGCGGATGACAGAATGCAGATTCTGGCGTACGCTCGGTGCTTGAGGCACAATAACGACTCTGAGCAACTCGAGCGCTGCTTCCGGATTGAACGGCTGCGACTAGAGGGCAAATACGAAGAAGCCAGAGATCAAGTTTCAGACGGGCTCGAAAAGGCATTGAGGACAGACAACAAGGCGGGCGAGTACGACTTCACGAGGTACTTCCTGGAAACAACAGAGAGTGCACCCGAGAGCGTGGTCGCGGGGCGCCTGGAGGACATTACCAGGCTCGAAGACCTGCTGGGGCTCGAGGGCCACTGGCACCGCTGCTGTTCTTGCTGGTACCCTACGGTGCAAGCAGATATCGCGCTCCGAGTTGATCAGCCGAGGAACCTGCTGAAGCTGAGTCTGGAAGCGCTTACCAAGGCGCTGTTTGAATGCAGGATCAACATGCACGTCTACCGCACGTTTGAGTATCTGGAGCACGCATCAGCTTTTCTAGTCCCCGGCATGATATCCTTTGTCGGATTCTGCTTGGCGCACATATCCGAGGACTACCCACCTCTCGGGCTCCTTGGCTACTGCTGTCGGCAGCTCTTCCAACCCTGTATCGAAGCACCCGCTTTCATGGGTGGGCATGTGTGGGCGTTCAACAAAACGACTGTCTGCGAAATGGCTACCCTCACAGATCTGCCCGCGGATTACGTGCTTGAAGTCTTCTTCCGGCTATACATAAATGGCATCATTGCAGCGCACCAGCAATCGGTTGCTGCCGGAACGGAGTTCGAGGAAGAGCTCTTAAGGGAAATGGAGGAGGCCAACAAGGATTTGCTGGCGGGGGCGCTTGAGGTAAGGAGTTATACTGTGTGAGCATCGTAAATCCATGGCTAAGAGGACTGTCGGCGAAAATCCAGGGACAAATCACGCGTCGGACCTTCACATCGTGGGCTCTGCTGCAGATGAATTCAGACCATGACAGGACAGCCAGGGGCGAATTGGACAACCTCGGCCTCTGCGGGGTTCACCTTGCCAACAATACTTTTACCTTTACTGACGAGTTCGACCCTCGAGGAGAGATTTCGCTGAGGGATGCCGAAGGCCATGATTATCCTGTATCGACTACATTGGCGATTAGACCCGGACCTAGTTAGGGGGCCGAAAGGATGGTTACAGCCAGCCAGTATGTTCAACTCATTCCTTGATTTTAATACAGTTATAACCAGATCTATGCTTCAGTAATTGTTATAGCCTTCTAATTTCTGGCTCCCCTTTGCCCCAGAGTGTTACGGATCCAAGAACCAGGCTTGGCCCGCAGTACTTAAAAAGTTGACTCAAACACGAGCGACACCCGTTTCGCCTTTCAGTGTCCCAGGGTATTTGGAAGATTGTCCACGGAATGCTCTGAGCCCCCGGAAACTATGCAAGTATTTCGCAGTGTGTTTAAGTTGGTAGTTGTGTCGACGCATCGCGGTTCCCGGACTAAATTAGTGACGCCATCTCGACGTTTTCGCCGCCCTCAAGCCGCACACGTCATGATTTCTAAACCCGCGACGATCTAGACATCATTCTTCCGAGAGAATGGATCCCCAAACAATCATGGAGCCACAAAACAGCGGACGGCATATATTCTTGTGTAGCCGCCACCTTCCGGTGCCGACATCCGAGACCTACCCGCGAAGACCAAACCCTCACGTAATGGATCCTCACCGTACCTGAAGACAGCGACAATGTCGATCACCCCGCGAGAGAAAGAGGAGACCGTAATCGAAGCCGCTGCCACACCCTCGGAAGACTCGTCCACGCGTGATACCTGGCGGACGGACAGGTCAAGAAGGCTATCGAGCTGCTGGAGTGGGTTGTGGCGGTTTACAAGACAACGCTGGCCGAGACGCATCTGCATCGACTGGCGTCGCAGCACGACCTCGCGGGTGCATACCGGGCGGACGGACGGGTCAAGGAGGCCATCGAGCTGCTGGAGCGGGTGGTGGCGGTCCAAGAGACAACGCTGGCTGAGACGCACCTGCGTCGACTGACGTCGCAGCATGTTCTCGCAACCGTATACCATACCGATGGCCAGGTGAAGAAGGCGGTCGAGTTGCTCGAGCATGTCGTGGCCGTTCGCCAGAGGACATTGTCGGAGGAGCACCCGGACCGACTGGGGTCGGAACGTTGGTTGGACTTCTTACATAGCCAGCAGCATGCTGATTACCAGTGATGCTGCGTAGATTCTTGCTTCCGATGTGTTTATTGGTCTATGACGCCGCTTCGGCTGCTCATATGCAACCAATACCTAGCCATCCGAATCCTCGTCAGAGATAGACCGTAGCCTCGTTCGGCCGTCGAGTATGGTCGCGCCGCCTTCGACGCCCGAGGCCACAGCACTACGAGCAGGCAGGATAACTTTTCAGCGTCAAACAAGCCGTCCAGACTTCAACCAACCACAGCCCAACCCTAGAAAGGGCGGTAAGGTCATTGTCGCCACATGCGCTACCTCCCCCGCCCCAGTCAGTACCAATTCCGGCATGGCCGTTGGCCGTCTCGGCGCCTGTGGCATGAACACCACCCATATTCATCCTCGCGCCGCCGAGCTCCAGGTTGTTGTACAGGGGAAGCTTGTTACTGAGATGGTTCCGGAAAATGGCGTACTATACGTCGATGGGAAACGACGACTGATCCGTACCGAACTCAGTCCTTTCCAGATGACGCCCTTCTACCACGGTTATCCACACACAGTTTGAGGATTCCGGCACACTACAAACTTTCGATGGCTCCTTTTCTTTGGGCGACAACGTCCTCCCTACCGCTTTTGGCCAGAGTATCGCCGGTGAGGATATTGAGCGCGTCCGTGACACCATTCCCGCAAGTATTGCCCTTGGCGTCGAGTAGTGTCTAGAGAAGTGCGGCCTTCGAAAGCGTATTGTGCTTTAACAGTCTTGGGGTGACGGAGTTGGCACATTGTGCGTGGGGTTTTGGCGCTTGCATGGTTTCTTGTAGAGAGGTATCAACGGTAGAGGCTAGTTAAGAATTAAATCGATTTCTTCGGTGGCATCACCTCGCTGTACCAGTCACCATTGACCTTGGGTAGTGTATTCAGGCTGAAGCCACCACGCTGTGCGTTCATCGACAAATTTATCTACATAGGCGGACGGGTAGGAAACGCTGAGTGTGGTGGATAGTGAAAGGCCTGATGCTCCCGATGAAACCTTCACAAAGACCTTCGCCCTCCACTATAGTCATGAGCACAAGTATTTTCCTCCTCTCCAGCACCAACGTGTATTGTCAGACAAAAAAAAGGGTGTACACATGGCAGATCGTGGTACAGTACAGGGACAATAGTGGATTGAAACGACCAAGGTCGACGCCATGGTTCTCTGGCGATTCGCTCACTGATAAGGCAGACTGGGGCTTAGGCGCATAAGTCGAATGAAGATACTACTGTAGGAAACGTCTTCAACTACTGGATTCATCTTCCACCGCGGGGCAACTAGCTTGCCGCGATTGCAGCGTTGCAACTGATGACTGAGTGTCCGGATGGGTGTGACCCAGCTTCTTCTGTCGGAGATGAACGCAGTCTTGCATCAGAGCAAGAGCGTCTTTTTGTCGGCCTTGACTGTGCCAAGTGAACGCTAGGTTGCCCATGCTGTTCAGCGTGTCTGGGTGGTCGGCCCCGAGCTTCGCCTTGCGAGTCTCCATCACCTCCACCTCCAGCTTCTCGGCCTCATCCCACCGGTCCTGGTTGCAGTACGTCGACGCTAGGTTGGCCATGCTGGTCAGCGTGTCGGGATGGTCGGGCCCCAGGATATTCTTCCTTGTCTGAGCGGCCTCTTCCCCCAATACCTCTGCTCGTGAATATTCGCCAATCATGAGCATGTACTGAGACACATTTGTCAGTAATTCAGTCCAGTCTAGGACGTCACTCTGCCCCCTTGGCTTTCCGCTCAGTACGGATTCAACATGAGGAAGAAGGCTTTGACATGAACCCCACGTCTCGAAGGCGCCGGATGGGAAATGGTCTGCCGCCAGCTTCATGAAGAGTCGACGCCATCGTGCCGGGTCCCCAGATTCCAAAATCCACGAGCGAGTGCAGAACTGGACCAGAGAATGCATCTCACAAAGCCCCGCAGTCGAAAGGGTAACGAGGGAGTAGCCTCGCAGTGTGTCCATGTCGTTCTCGAAGTCTCCTCGTTCACTCTCTTCATCGCTTACGTTCTCGGCGTTCCAGTCGTCTCGATCACTTTGATCGTCGGCCGTAACATCGTCATCACCATAGCTGTGCAGCATGCTCTCGGGTATATTCTGAGCCTGGAATTGGCTCATCAGCGACAGGAGGTTGGCAGCGCGCGGTTGCTCCTGCCTGATCTGCTCAAACGTCACCTGCCACGTCACCACAACAGAGTTAGATACCCCATCGTGGCGGCCGAGATCGCCCTTGTCGCTGCGAAGAAGGCTGTCTCTTCGCTTTTCGCTCTTGCGGAATTCTGACAGATACGATGTAGTGGTCACTCGGGGGCTGCGTCTGTTGATGTATCGATGTCATTTGTTTCCTGGATCTTGATACTGAGTGGATTTTACGTGGGTGAGGGCTTGGACATCAGTTCAAAGGAGAACCGTCGCACCCCAAACCGTTGATGTTCGTGACTCTGCATCGGTAGAGTGCGGATCTGGATATTCCCCGAAGGTATGAGCTCAATCAGTTCACTTAACCCTGAAGCGTCATCGCTATTCCTCCTTCCCCCGCTGTCCATCCTTTCCCTTGAACCTGTTTCGAGGCCGCGGAGGTCTATCTGATCGTCTGTGACTATGACGATGATATTTTCGGGAATTTTCCCCTGTCGGGCTGATCCCACCAACTTCCCGGTCAAGTCTACTCTGCCATATGTATAGGACTCGTTCTGGCGTAGCTTACGGCCGCTGGGGCTCCCGGTTGAAAGTAGTGTGGCAGATTCCGCGCAGAGGTCGAAGACCGATACGTATACTGTTGGTGAACCAGTGTTGCGGACCTTAAGATAAAACTTCTCACCTTCCTCGATGGCCGGGGTCTCCTCTGACCACGGTTCGCATTTGCCGTCCCTAACCCGGCCCAGTTCTACGTCAATTTGTTGAGAGATTGCCCTCGATTCCGATATTCCCGCTAGTGTCAAGAGATGTCGGGAACGAGCTAGCGATTCCAGCCTAGTGACGCATTCCGTCACGCAGTCATCGTCGACCTTATCTCCTTGGAGTTGCCAGTCGCCCAGTAGGAATGAAACGCTTCCTTCGTGGCTGAGGAGCCGAAGTCGATCAGCTTTCTGCTGCACAGTCGCAAAAGGAAGGCGCTCATCCGCATCGGCGACGCTAAGTAATCTCGAGTCCGTTATGGAGTTACGAAGCTTCTCGGATGCTTGAGAGCCTTGCAAAGCAACCGGTATTCTTCCCAACTGCCTCCTCTTTGGGAATGCTTTCATGCCATCTTCCCTGTGCTGGTGGGTGGGACGCGAGCTTCCCTCAAAACGAGCCCATGACTTTACTGGCCCAACGTCTGTGACAACAACCTCTGCGATCTCGTTGTCTGGATTCAACCATTCTTCCTTGAATGGCAACACTGCATAAGTGTCGCCTTGTTTCAATCCATGGAGTTCTCCTCCGTCGAGGACCACACCGTCTCCATCGAAAGTAATACGTATGGCTCCATGGAGGTCGGCTTTGTCGAGACTGAAAGTAAACCGAAGATCGTCACCCTCGATTTGGGGGTATTGCGGAGGGCAGGTGACTTTCATACGGTCTCGGACTCGTAGCATAATGCTGCGCCATGACACTTGTGGTGGTGCAGCGCCTTGCGTATGTTTTCGTTGCAGGGTTTTTTGAAGAGCTTCAGTGAGAACACTCATCCGAACGTCGCCGAAAGGTTGCTCGTAAGCGCTCTCCGTTTGGGCTGATGCGACGATAGTAACAGCATCTGGGTTCCTCTCGTGATGGAATTCTGCGTCGAATCTTCTCTCACTCCGCATCTTCTCGATGTGTTTAGAGACTTCGTGGTACTCATTGGGATCGATTGTCTTCACCGTCCCGGGCAGCCTAGCCATGCGAGCCGCGTGACAACAGTCCAAGATGAGGGTTACATTCTTTGTTTTCTCGGTCGTCTTGTGTAAGAGCTGCGACAGTTCCACATCCGCAATGCCTCTCCAGTCATTGTCTTTCGTCTCTCCGAAGTCGATAGGAACCAAGTACTGCAGGCGCCGGCAGCTCTTTCCATCATTCCCTTCATCTCTCTTCTCCGCCATGCCACCATGGCCAGAGTAGTAGATGACCACGGCGCCTCCCTGCGGCGTCTGTTCAATAATGTGGTTCCAGGCCACGAGGATATTTTCCCTGGCCGCAGGACAGCTTTTGGTGCATATGAAGCCATGTCCCCCCAGGATGCTCTCCATTATGCTCAGGTCCGTTTCCACACCATGGAGAGAGCCCACCGGACATCCAATGAGCAGAGCGCGTCTGGGGTTGGACAGTTTATCGGACATGGTTCCAGGACGAAGGTGAATTTTGGTTATGTTTGGTTTGCGTGGTTTGGAAAGAAGCCGTTTCCCAGCCGCTTCAGGCTTTGAGGACTACGAGCGGGGTGATTGGTAGGTTCTAAACCTTCCGCGTCAAATGGCGGGAAGTTCCCGAGCCACATCGTCCTGCAAAGCGGTTTGCAAAAGCTACCTATTATGAGGAAGTATATCACAGGCAGCCCTATTGCGAGTAGACTAATTTAGTGACAATCCACCGATATCACAAGCATTTCAGACAACTACTTCAGACACTCCCTATTTAGCCACAGTGGTCAAACTAACCCACGGTCCGTGTTGGCTATCATGGCTGCTGGGAAAGGCCTGGGGCCTTCGCCAACCCAAACAGAGGCTGGCCTGGACTCGAATACCCATTCGCCTCAGAACGGCGCTGGGCCGCAGCTGGCTCCCCGAGACGCCAATCAGTCGAGCCCACTAGGTCTGGTCAAGCGAACATTATCAACTTTCAACCCGAACCCCCAAGCACAGTCTACTCAATCTAGTAGTCGGGCTAGACGCCATTCCAGTGGGAGCACCGCCAACAGCAGCCATAGTGCGAGTAGCAAGGGTGACCATCATCCAAGGGGGAAGGAAGAAAATAAAACAGCCACATGGGGCATAATCGGCCTTTGTGCCCTCGATGCTACGGCCAGGAGTAAGCCCAGTCAGAGTATTCTGAATAGAATCACTACAAACAGAGAATTTGATGTCGTTGTGTTTGGGGATGAAACTATATTGTACGAAGGCGAGTATTACAGAGGTGGTGAACTCCTTTCGGTTCAGCGGCGTTACTGCACTACCACACTTTGTACTCCGTCGCTGGCACTGGGGACGGATTATCGTTATTGGCGATGCCGCGCACAAATTCAATCCGCTAGTCGGACAAGGCGGCAATAGTTGCATCAAGTCTTGCGCTTCGCTCGTAAACGCCTTACAAGAGCACGTTCTCGGAGGGTTATCGCTGCAGTGGCCACAACAGAGCCTGGAGTAAGCTTTTATAGTGGTAGAAAAAAGAACGCATCCCTCGCCTCAAGGATATGGTTCAGCGCTGCCAGGAGGTAATGCGTAGAGTTGCCTGGGAATCATGGCGCCCTAAGTTCCTCCAGAAATATATCGCGCCTCTCTTGCTACTGTCCACTGTGGTCGACTTCTATAGCTCTTTCATCACGCCAGGCTTACGCCTCCAGGGGTACTTTGCTGCCCCTCCCACGGTCGCCCATACGTTTGCTTTTCCTGATGAGAAGGCTATTGGATCAAAACGCTTGGTGTGGCGGCCCCGGAGCACTCCCATTAGCTAAAGATGACTAAGCTGCTCAAGAGAAGGAGCAGACGTCTATAAGTACGCTCCGACGAGCACCAGTCTATGCATTTAGAACTTCCCTTTGTAATGAGACGACTATTCATCTGCTCCCATGATCCATTACTGCACATCCTGTCACACTTGGGCCTGGCCGCCCTCAGCGCGGTGGCTGCAATCCCTATTGTTGCACTAGCAGCCTTCCTGTTTGTAAGGAGTGTGCGAGGATGACCGTCATCTGGACCGCTATAGCTATGCCTAAGGGGACAAAAGCGTTTGAAAGGTTATCCCTAGGATTCACAAGTTGACACTCGTCCATGAACTCTCCGGGGTTAAGCCACTTAAAGAAGAACCAGATCGACGGGATTATTGGCGATGCTGCGAGTGTAATGTATATCAAAACCATCAAGAACGACTTTTCTTCCCGCGCCACGATTCGCAAGGTAGAGGCCGCAAGGGCTCTCTGAGAGTTTGCAGCGGAACCCCATTTTACACTTAATGTCGTCTCCCCAGCGAGCATCTTTGGCTAGCCGCTCAACATAGGCCACACAGTGGCCATGGGTTCCTGGTTGAAGGTCTTGTACGATGGCAGGATGGAAACCCTGAACCAACTGTTGTCGGCATTACCAGTACTGTCACCGCCAGGATGGTTGTCGTCACCAGTATTGCCATCACCAGTGTTGTCGTCGCCAGCATTGTTGTCTCTACCAATATGGCCATCACCAGCACTCCTACAACACTAGTGTCATTGTCGTCACTAGGGTTGCCGCTGACGTCGGTAGACATCACCAGCATGGTTGTTGCTGCCGTCGCTAGCGACAACAAAATAATCACTGACTGTGAGAGTGATTTCGCCGTGATTAGGCCAATCGACAAACAAGTCGTCACCCATCGAAGCAAAATGAGGTTGTAAAGGATCCCAGCAATCGGGCAGGAAGGTCGCGTTACAAGTCTGGGAAGCTATAGCTAGGAGGGATGCAGGTGTGAAGTGAGTGATGAAGGAGAAGGTTTCCAGGTTCGACGAAGGGGGGCCAGTCGCCTTTATATACTTCTTGGTCCGCAATGATTAGCAGTAGAAGTGCCTGAACGAGCCCTACGCTATGGAGTCACCCTATCGTGTTCCAATCGGATCACCGAGTCATCCTCCTCCATCCTTTATGGCCAGACTCGGCCGACTGCTCGCATAGGAATATCTATGATTGGACCATCGTCTTCTGTCCTGAGCCGCGTGAAGAACTCGGGAAGTTCCCTTGAGGTTCTCTGGCCATACCGCAAGTGTGGAGTCCAAGCCTCGCCTTCAACGCCTATCCAGCAATATGCATCGCGGCTCAGGGAGATGCTTGATTTCCCGCTACGAGATGGTGCCATGTAAGCCGACGTTCACTAATTAGGCGAAAGCACCTTATGAAGTTTTTGCCTAGCCCGAATCACGGTATCGGGATAACGGGATTTTGGTACTCTAGCGACTGGTGTCTTGTTTATAGAGCTGTCGCTAAGGTAGGTAGGTTAGTAGCGACCATACATGTCCTCACCTCCACGAAGGATGATTTGAGATTGATTTGATAGTCAAGAAGGCTAACTTCCTACATGAGATCTTCGGAGAAGTCAAAGGTCCATAAGGTCACAGCATCAAAGGCTTAACAGCGTGTATGAAGGACTTTGAAACTTATATTAATCGTGTGTTGAAGCTATATATAATCGGTGAGGGAGTGCTGAAGGTCCTTTCCAGTTCATACGACGTTATTGCCATGCTGCTCTTCCGCCGCCTTCCTGATGGCGGAAAGACGCTGAAAATGTACGACGCGCTGCCCAAGAAAACAACTCAGGGTTAGACCTGGTAAGCAGGTCAAGAACAAGGGCAGGAACGAAGGCTGTCAAAGTGATGGTGTAATGCGTTCTTTTTTCTAACCCTAGAGAAGGTGTGTGTCTCTGTGACCAAAACTCTGTGGGTGTTTGCACACTTGCCGCTTATGCCAATTGTTCAAGCCTTGGACTTAAGGCAGAAACCTGCAGCTGACGGTTCGGCGTCCACAGCTGGTGGATACGGTACTGCCGCTATCAGTGGAACAGCCCAGTGGATTGGGGGCACGGTAATGGGGTTAGCAGGTGCAACAGGCCTAAAGTTGAAGGCATAGGCTTGCATGCAGAATCGTTCCATAGCAACATGCCGAAACAGTATCCCTTATCGCGTTGTTGTATGCCACTATTCTGCGGTGCTGATAACTGCCGGTATCTGTCCATCTATTTGTTGTATTTGGTGGAAACAGGTTGTGTAAATGAATGTGATTGTGCATTCAATAGGTGCATCAACCAGAGCTCTAGCATCCACCACTGGCAAAGTTACATCATGATTGCGCCTTCGGCTGTTGAGGCTGACCATGGCTCTGGGGCGGGTAACTGCGGGGCACCACACAATAGTGCTCGTAACATGATACATATGTATGCTATGTCATACACCAGACAATGCGAATGTACCACTTCCTTATCGCACCAATCTACACCAGAACGTAAACTCCAGGCAGCAGCTTGGAGAGGCAGATGTGGCAAAGTGGGTTCGAGTGGGTCAGCCATGCTCTAATCGGGCGGCAGTTGGCCGCATGCCGCCGACCATCTCGTTCATGAGCCAGTGACAAGCCGCACGGTAACCACCGGCCTGACTCCACACCCTCGCCAGTCGCATCCGCCTTCTCTTGACAACATACCGGCTGTATCACCAAGCATCTTTTTGTTGCTTAACACCTTGAGTCAGTGTCGGGTCCAGCGTTGCAGGTCGGTCCTAAACTCCGCACAGGACGTCGTGCAGGCCGCAATTGCATGCTCGGATTGCTTGGCCACCACCACACCCAGGGCTCTCCATTGCTGCTCACTGACTGCCGCCAGTGACTCTAGCGTCCCTTCGACGAAGCTAACGTCTTCACAAAGAGCGCTAACAACGGAGGGCGCCTCAGAGATCTTCCGAAGGTCGTTCAGCAGAAGACGTGTCGTATGGAGTGCTGGAGCAACGATACCGATCACGCCTGCTGTGATGCTGAACGGGTCGGCCATGCTGAATCAGACGGTGTACTGATCAAAGAGCAAGCATGGCTTGTCCAACGGCTTGAAAGCTCGCTTAACCAAGCCGGTGCGGGGGTTCTTGCCCCTCAGTACATGCAGTGAGTCCTAGCGCCAACAAACGTCAGATCACGTGGATGTCGTCGCAGGCTCTCGGCAGTCTTCAACAACATCGCGATTGCTAATGCATCCTGTTTCGGGTGGCCACACATAGTTCAATAGCCTCATATCAAGCATTCCTATACATGGCCGAGCCAACACAAGTCGCCTTTGGAGACGGGAACCACGGGGTTCAAGTGGGGTTGAACACCGGATCAATCACGAACGAGTTCCACTTGCCACTCGGTAGGGCGAACCTTGATCGCGTCCTTTCTATCCAATATCCTTGCTGCTATAGACGCTAACTCGCCTTCTTACATTGAGTAGAGATACCACCGGAACCTTACCTCACGATCCCTTTCCGCCGCGACGCCGACTATGTTGACCGCGAGGCGCTTCTCGATCAAATACACCATGCCTCCTCGAAGCCAGCTTCCCGCGCTGCGCTTGTAGGGCTAGGTGGGGTAGGCAAGTCCCAGCTGGCCATCGAGTACGCCTATCGAAAGAACGACGAAGTAGCGAAGACAAGCCATCCTACATGGGTGTTTTGGATCCATGCCGAGTCGCGAGCGCGTGTCGAAGATGGGTTTCGATACATCGCCGATACCGTCAAGATCTCAGGGCGAAAGCAGCTAGACGCGGACGTTCCCCAGCTTGTAGAGTAGTGGCTTCGTAGTGTGGCTAATGGGCCGTGGTTCCTGATTCTGGATAACGCAGATAATGCCAGCGTACTCTTCGATGTCGACCGCAGCCCTACCGACCTCACCGATGCGACTGAAGCGAAGGATAGTAGGCGACGAGCTCTGTGGATATATCTGCTACAAAGTTCCCACGGGGCGATCCTGATAACAACGAGAAACAAGAAAGTCGCTCAGAAGTTGACGGATGACTACAAGAACATTATCGGGGTCTACCTAATGGATGAAGAGCATGCACTCATATTGCTTGAGAGAAAAGCCGGTAACCAACCCGACATGTAGAACGGTACAGCGCTGGTGGAAGCCCTTGAGTATATGCCTTTGGCTATTAGTTAAGCAGGGGCGTACATCCGATAGCGAGCGCCGCGAACTTCGATGGGCGAGTACTTGAAGGAATTCCGGAAGAGTAAGCGACGGAAGCTCAGTCTCTTGAACCGGGATGAGGGCGACCTACGGCGAGACCGGGACGCATCGAACTCGGTCATTGTAACGTGGCAGATCTCGTTCGAATCTATCCGATCGGAACGACCATTAGCCGATCTGCTTTCCCTTATGAGCTTTTTCGATCGCTAGGGAATCCCAGAATCATTATTACGGCCGCGGGATCATACGTTAGGTTAAGATGGTAGTGCAAGTGACCCTGAAGGCGATAAGAGCGAAGAGAAGAGCGACACCGATGAACACAGCTAATGCGACAGCGGCAATGACGATTCTTATGCCAGCAGCACTTCCGAAGACTCCACGGGGCGGACTTTCGAGGACGATATATTGATCCTCCGGAACTACAGCCTGATCTCGATGGATGAGACTGGGGCGGTCTATGAGATGCACAGTCTGGTACAGCTAGCGACGAGAAGATGGCTTAGTGCCGAAGAAAGAACGGAACCATTCAAGGAACAGTTCATGAATCGCATAGCGTACGTGTTTCCGACAGGAGATTATAGCAATTGGGTAATATGCCAGACGCTGTTTGCTCATGTTGAAGGAGCGATTAATCACCGACCCAAAAGTGGGAAGCCGCTGGAGGAGTGGGCGCAGATCTTGTACAATAGCAGTTGGTACGCCCGAAGCCAGGGCAAGTACAGCTTGGCGGAGACAATGGCGAAGAAGTCGAGGGATGCTAGGATGGAGGCCCTGGGAAGAGATCACGAGCTGACATGGGACAGCGTATCAATCATGGGTCAAGTCTATCACGATCAAGGGAAGTATAGAGAGGCCGAGAGGACCTTGGTGGACGTATTGTTAATTCGCAAGCAGAAACTTAGAGTGGAGCATCCCCACACGCTGATTAGCATGAGCAACCTAGCGTCGACATACCGGAAGCAAGGACGTTGGGATGAAGCTGAGACGCTGCAGGTAGAAATGATGGAAATCAGCCAGCAGAAACTTGGACTAGATCACCCTTCCACGTTGACCAGCTTGGCCAACCTGGCGACGACGTTCTGGAATTAAGGACGATGGGGTGAAGCCGAGAAGCTGGAAGTAGAAAGTGATGGAGATTCGCAAGCAGAAACTCGGACTAGATCATCCGGCCACGCTGACCAGCATGGGGAATCTGGCGTCGACGTACCGGAATCAAGGACGATTAGATGAAGCCGAGAAGCTGCAGGTAGAAGTGATGAAAATCAGCCAGCAGACACTCGGACTGGATCACCCTCTGGATAGCCTGACCATCATTCACAAGCAGATTGCGTCCAGTTGGCGCGTCTCTGCCATACAACAGGGGGCGGGCGCTTGGGCCATTGCACTCATTCTGAACCCCAAGTGCTCCATATTAGGATTGGCACTTGGAGACAAACTTACGGTGGGCAGGGATGCTAACCCCCAGGGACCACCCGCCCCCCGGCCATTTGGGCTACCCCCATTTTCCCATAAGGTTCAGGTAAGTGAAGGAGAGAGCTGGGGTTCACACGGCAGACCCCGGGCGGGAAAGATGAAGGGTGAGAGCCACGCGACGACGCGTTGTCGCAGCTCAGGCACAGAAAAAAAAAAAGGAGAGTTCATCATTAGGCTAGACCGGTAGATAGATATAAAAAATATGTCAATACTTACGACCATACTTTATCTACGTCATTCGAGCTCTACTGTACAGTGGTAATTGAGGCACTACTAACAAACCCGTCCAGACGCGAAACGCGGCAGCGACTGCAGCGAGACTAGGTGCCGCAGCCGGGCAACGTCAGGGAGTAGAGATGGAAGACCATCACGACGACGCCGGAGCGCCCCCATCGGAAATCAATGTATATCTCCACGAGGAGTCGCACGTTCTTATATGCTCGGTATGCAAGGCTGGCATCCAGCCCCGGCCCGGCATTGAGTCCCACTTCCGGCGGAGGCACGGCGCAAAGGGTGAGTTCTGCAGCGGATCCGGGAGAAGGCCACGACAGCCGCCGCAACGGCAGGTGGGCTGGCGGACCCACAGACAGCGGAGACGCCAGCAGATGGGACGTCGCCCGTCCAAGAGCTCCGGGTACAGGCCGGGTTCAGCTGCACAGCATGCCGCTTCTTAACGACAAACGAGATGGTAATCCGGCAGCACTGGACAGGGAGGAAGTCGGAGGTGGACGATAGCCATGGTTGCTATGAGCGTTCAAAGAATAACTGGACAGCCGTAGCACTCCAGTCTTTCTCCCGAGCGAGGCAGCTTACACGATACTGGATTGTCGACACCACCACTCCGCCACATCGAGTAACCACAGGAGAGGAGACTACGACTGGGAGAGAGGCAGAGTTATGATCTGCCTTACCGGATACAGAGTGGGAGCTGCAGCTTCGCAAGTACGAGGCGAAGGCTACAGCAAAGGCAGAAGAGCGGCAACGTATGATCGGTGAGGAGACGGGGGTCGATTTTGAGTCTGTGCATCTAGCAGGGTTGGACATGGCTGAGCTTCGAAGGGCCGCTCAGCCAGGTCTGACTCCAAGGGAGCTGGTCAGGCTAGGATGGGCAGCAAAGAGAGGCCGAGAAGAGGAGGAGGCGATGTTTGTGCGACTGGGCCAGAGCTTCGACCGGACGATTTCTCGATGCGAGCAGCGGATCGGGCAGGTCCCCGTCGAGACGCTCTGCTGGTTGGCGAGCCGGGATCCAGGACGTCCAGCCCCACAACCGTTCGAGCTAAAGCAGGAGGCTCGGACAAGAGAGAGGTATCGCGCGTACTGGAGACAGTATCTCTGCTACTGTGTCTGAGCGTATCGTCTTGGCCGGTCAGAAGCGAGGACGAAGCGCCATATTCGACTAAGCGATGCGCAGTGGCTAGCTCTTGTGAATCTAGTCGACGCGCTTAGCAGCAGCGCAAGTAACAGAGGGGGAGGGCTTGTAGTTCCCGGGAACATGGAGCGGGATGAGGACTTAGATGCACGGGTCTTCACATTTTGCATCTCGTCACTCAAACAACAGGTCATAGTGGACCAATTCAAGAACCCGCTTCTGCACTTTACTGCCGTGTTGGCTATTGACCCCGCACGGGCAAAATGGAGGGCTCCCGGCGAGTTCACGGGAACACTAGCCGGGCTGGCGTGGTGTAGTCGCGTGCTACTACTTGAATTGGGTAGGAGACGGCGGAGGCGTAGAGACGCATGGGGAGTCCGTGCGGGGCAGGGATGGATACGAGGTGGTAGTTCCAATCCGTCGCTGGCTCCCATGCCTCGCGACCTTCGCGCTGTCCGCCAACCGACACACTACCAATCCACAAATTTGAGCGACCTCCGTCGGCCCATGCCTTCAAGACCTAGAGATCCTCGCCGAGGCTGATCAGGGCGTCCACCCAGACTCTCATGCCGAGGCGGCACTCGAGGCTCGATCGCAGGTCTCGCAGAGCCGCCTCCAGACGCTTGCTCGCGCCCCCGCGCAGTCTCCCCATGCAAGACTGGTGGGTCGTTGGCTTGACATTCCATCCTCAGGCACCACATCCTCGCCATGCGGTCCGCATCGGACTCGGGGACATTGAGCCGGAATGGAAAATGAAGTCTTATTGGTCAAACTTTTGATCCTGCAGTGCCTCTCGAAATGCTTCATTCGAGATGAGACTTTGGTTTCTGTCGTTCCCATGGTTTGTGCGTTGGGAGAGGCAGCTTGCGATCAAGTCCCCTGCCTACCCTGCGACTGCATGACTGGGTAGGCGCACAACACAACTTGAAACGTTATCCACAGCAGACTCTAGCTCTCTCGCAAAATCGTCCTTCCCTTGTTTCTGTGATGCCCCACGCTTCCTCTTCCGATTCAGGCCACTACGGCCTATCGAGCCGAGAGGCTGGCGACCGCGGAACTCTGCACGTTCGAAATCCACAACCATGAGATTGCCACTGTTTGTATCGCAGAGGATGTTGCGTGGCTCCGCGTCACGGTGGAGAACGCGCAGTTTGTGCACTGCCTTGAATATCGTGGTGACCGCTTTGACGACGCCCGCCTTGTTGGTCTGATCACCGCAGTCAAACAAGGGCCGCCCAGCCCAGCTGAGAAACATGAAGTGCACGTAGACACCGCTGTCGTAATAGTATGGCCGAATTAAGTCTATGCTGCCGAGACAGACGGGGATGTGCTTCCCCTGGATGGCCCGGAGTCGGTCGTACATCTCGTTCTCGTGCTGCATGCAGGCACGGTCGAGACCCTCCATACCCTTGGCAACGAGCGTATAGCCGTGGGTTGACAGCCGCACCTTGAAGAGTGACCCGCGCGCCCCGGATCGATGGAGTGGCGCACAATCCGCATCGCGGCCGCGGTCCATGGCAAGCTGGTCTCTGATGCGGCGGAGGAACTCGAGCCGGTCGATGTGCCCCTGCCCGTGATGGTCCGAGTTGGGGCAGTTCTCGTCCGTGGGCCCGCCAAATGCTAATCCGAGAAGGCATTGTTGAGTGCAGAATGGCCGGCCTTGTATGTTCGGCTTCGTCGCTTGGCCTTGCTCCCGTTGCTCGCCTTGGCGCCGTCCTCGTTTCCCACCACCCCCCGAGCCCGGTCCCGTCGACGGCACCACTTTCCCGCCGGTGCGAGATGGATTCGGAGTAGGAGAAGGAGGATCTTCGTCGTCATCCTCTGGGCGTCCAACGTTAGCGTCCAGTTGCTGGCAGCGGGAGCGGGTCCGAATTGGCGATCGCTTAAAGCCCTTCCAACGCTGGGGCTTATAGGGAGAGGCGCGGGGTTCCTTGCGTTTGCGCTCCGTCACGGGAATATTCCTCAGAATATCGTCGTACTCGACAGCCCAGGTATCAAGCCTCTCGGCCTCGTCATGCCATGACTCGGGCGGCGGTCTCGCGCGGAGAGCCTGGAGAATGAAGGCGAAGACCTGCGCGGCGGCCGTGCGATGGAGCCTTGTCTCGTCGTCGTCCATAACGTCCAGGTTCGGCACGCATACCGAGAAGTAAACGGTAGCAGGATCGTCCGGGATATGGAGGAAGACGAAGGCCTCTCCCGTGCACACGTAGCCGTACTGGATGCCCTTGCCGATCATGTACGAGAAGAGTTGGGTGACGACAGCTGCGGTAAGTGCCCTGGCCGTGAAGGCGAAGCCCTGACCGTCGTTGTTGATCACGTCACGTTCCGGCCGAATTTCCGACTCGAGACCTGTGACGACCTCGTCGACGCTCAGCTTGTGTGGCGCCTTGTATTCGATAGCGAGTGCCGGGACATTCTGGCCGTCCGAAGTCCTGTATATACAGAACTGGTCCGCCCGATTACCCTTGCCCCTCGCCCTGCGACGGGCCTTGGGAGCGCCCGGTGGCTTCGGGGCAGACGCCGACGCCGACGCTGCGGCATCGGCACCGCCCCTGCCAAGAGACATGTGCTCCATGGGCTCGGAGATGGGGTCGTCGTCAGTCGTACCGAGATTCGTATGGCTCTCGAACGTCACGGTTCCCTGGAGGCCGAGACTGCTTCGCAGCAGCGGATCCATGTATGCCCTATCAACCAGCTTCTGTACCGCGTTTTCGATGACATCACGCTCAAAGTCCCGGAGCCCAAGCTCACTGCTAATAGGCTTGAGCAAGGACCTGACGTATTCCAACTGATGTTGAGATGGGAAGGTGGGCAGGGAGGAGAAAAGGTCGCTGATCGAGAGGTCGTCCCAGATCTCCCCTTGTCTCGTTGCGAAGTCGTCCCAGGGGATGATTCGTCGAGGGAAAATTCGGCCGGTCGGGTTGGTAGTGTCACCTTGCGTAGTCAAAGATTGGTCAGTTACGACCTGAATAGCAAGGTTGAGAGAGTGACAGGCCTCGAGATATTGCTGGAGGTCCTGCGGTTGTGATGCTGTTGCAAGTTCTTCGGCCACTTCGCGTCGGCGTTGCTCCTCTTCGCGTCGGCGTTGCTCCTCTTCGCGTCGGCTCTCGGCCTCTCGTAGCAACTGTCGCAGCTTTTGCAGCTCTTCATCCATTATGATTGTAGCGTAGGCAAGCAGCCACCACGGTGGAACGACAAGCCCGAGTGTATTCGTCGGGCGAGGCGAGGGCTCGTTTGGGCCAAAGTTGGAAGGTTGGACGGCAGCCGATGAGGGGTGGGCAGTCTGACAAAACTTGGGTATGGTCGATACTGGTGGTGGAACTCTTCTGGCGGACCAGACACGAAGCTGCGATGTTTCAATTGGAAGAAGGTCGGGATTGAGGATTGTAGATGTTGAGAGCGCGTGAGGGTGTGATCTGGCACCATGACGCGTTTGTTGTTATCTGGGACTGCAGGTTGCACTTGTCGGCGTTAGGCGATGCCGGCGTTACTTCGGGAACCGGCCCGCCTGCCACCAAGCCGCCACGACCGAGCCACCTAGGCTCCGAATTAGTCAGCCCCGCGCCAAGTTGCCACTGATCGGCGACACAGAAAATCAACTAACCCGGCCAACCAATGAACGCGCAGCATCTACCCAATCCGGCCGTCATGGGGAATCTGTGCCTCCAGGGCAACAATGGTATGTCACGCGTATGGGAGTTTCAGTCTGCAAGTGGCAAGAAAGGGAGGTAGAGGAAGGGAATAAAGAGAGAGAAAAATGGAGGGGGGGTGGAGGGGAGAACGAAGAGGAGAGAAGTGCGCAGAGAGCGGAGCAGACGGTTAGAGGCAGAAGGGGGAGCGGAGGAGGGATGGCGGGAAGGGAACAGAAAGGGGAGTAAATGAGGGAGCAAGAGGAGCAGAGGAGCAGAGCAGAGACATATGTAGGAACAGAACAATAGTTTCGCCATTCGGTGTAGGCCTGAGAGCGAAGCAACACGAGTGCAAAGACCAATAGTGCAGGCGCTTGACGCTATTGTGCGGGACGGCGTGGCCGACATCACCAAGCTAGAGGTTCTCGGTTATATTCAACAAATACGCAGCCAAGCCTTCAAAAAAGCGACAATTATATCGGGCTTCAGACGGACGGGTATTTGGCCGTATAATCCTGAAGCTGTCCTTGCCGAATTGCGACTGCGTATGCCGGCAAAGACACCAAGTCCACCGCCGGGGCCGTCTCATAGGTCCCAACACTCCGGGTCTTCGTTCTGCTCAGCGCCCGTTTCAGTCCGTCAAATAAACAAGGTTGCTGACAAGATTGGGAAGGTCCTTGAGTCCGTTGATGATCTTGATCCACGCTTTTGTTACGATATAAGTCGGTTTCTCCGGGGGTCACTTATGAACGCTGTGGAGTTACTCCAGACAAAACGCGACCTCGGACGCACCCGATATGCGGAAAGAGTTCAAAAACAACGCCGGGCCATGAAGAATATCACATTACAGAATGGAGGGCGCCTTCGGGTTGCCGATGGGCGCAAAATGGTGGTACAGCGGCAGGAAGATGAGGTGGCAAACGCCCGGAAGGTGGTCGAGGCCGCAGAGTTAAAGTATCGTAACGCACTCAAACGTTGCTATTTTGAGACGGCAAAAGAGGCACGCTTATGGCGGACGTCAGGGAAGCTTGCTATGGCATCTATTTACGAAACTGGCTATCCATGCCGGTTGCTGAAGCGATTCGAGTTACAATAGAGGAAAAAGTGGCGATATGGGTGGTGGGCTTGACCGCCATCGTAAAGAGTGGGGCGTGGCACGGATACCAGTGGCAGGAGCTCTCGACCAGGCCCGACTCGTGGCGGGCCACCCCCACCAGCATCCTAGTTGGTGCATGCGTTTCGTTGTCGATTGCTCTCGTGCTCCAAGAACGGAAGGCCAAAATTCCTCTATTAGGGCGGAGATGCGTTTGGGCGAAGATTTACGTGCATTGTCGGTTGCAATACTAGGCGGCTAAACCCAGCCCTAACAGACGGCTAACAGCCGGTGCCAAGAAATGGGGTTGTCGAGGGGGAGGGTGGCCCTATTGGTTGATAGTCACCGGGCGCAATAAATAAATATGCGCACGCGCACGCGCGTACGCGCGTGTGTGTGTGTGGCTCGTTACCGACGGGAATGACGGGCAGGTACGGCGCAAGAGTAAGACTGCTCGTTAGATGTCCTCGACTAACATCGTTGCTATCATATATCCGTCACATGTTAGGTACTGAATAACCTCGCTGCCTCAAACTCAGCAGGGTGAGTGCTGAGTACCATACGAGAAGTACTGCGCTGGCTTCAAACCTTATATATAGTACAGTACTATTATCTCTTGTGTACGGCTGCGTATCACGTGCACTCCACTAACGTTGTCGTAATCATATGTCTGTCACATGTTAGGTACTGAATAACCTCGCTGCCTCAAACTCAGCAGGGTGAGTGCTGAGTAATCCTGCTATAGCGTTCCAGGCCTTGGCCGTGTCTTGCGAAAAGATTAGCGCCGGTGGCATTCTGGATGCAGTGACGCCGAGGCTTTACGCTGATTATCTGTTTATTACCGCCGCGATCAGGGTAGTCACAACACTCTTCGGCTCTTGATTCAGTGTTGCTCAGTGAGATTCATTCCTGGCCTGGGTGCTTGGGTGCTGCCCAGGAGGAATATGCATGGAGCGTACGTGCTAGATCCTGCAGGTCCTTATGATAGCCGATAATGAATTGCTAAGGATGAAAGCCGTGACCTGTCTAACACCTCACGAGACGAGTCGATTAAGGGATATTGAAGTGGATTTTTCGGTCCCTGGTGGCCCGTAAAGTAGGTAGCCTCTCCGGCTAGGGATGCCGCGGCTTGTACGCCACATCAAGACAGCAAGGGGAGAAGAATGAAAGCGAGGGCATAAGACGAATTTCAACCATGATCTTGGATGAGAAGAAGAACTCACAAGAGGCGTCGAGAGCTTCGCGGCCCAGACGCTCGCACATGGCATGCAAACAAAGCCTCCCTTCTACTATCGGTCGGGGGGTTGGGTGGACTCAGTGGCGAGGCGTGCGACGAGCAACAGTCCCAACAGTCCGCCTTGGAATGAGGTCTCATTTTCGAGTTTCACTTATGCAAGCAACCGGCTTTGATGACCTCACGACTACCACACGGAGAATGCCGAGGAATTCGATAACCACTAAGGCTGAAGCTGCCTTGCATTCCAATGAGAGCTATGGGGGGGTTGCGTGCAAAGGTTTCAAGGAGAAAAAGCATGTGATTCCTTTCTCGCCTTTAATACTTACTTATCCTCAACTCAGCGTCACGAGTGACATCAGTCGGACCATGTCCACCATCTCCTCCCCTCTCTGAACTTCTCGATGTGAGCTGAAATGGCGGCAGCACCTGGTATAAGGAGGGTGATCGTCCTATACGATGGCACATGGTGCGGCCGCACAACCAACACCAGGAGCAATATCCACCTCCTCGCGACAATGATCGGGGTCAATATGGCAGCGCCACAGCCTTCATACCCCTCGCCACCGGGTTCGCCGCAAGATATACGGGCCAGATACTTCGACGGAGTCGGCTCGAACGGCAAGTTTACGAACTACCTGTGGAATGGCGCCTTTGCAACGCAGGCGAGAGACGAATGCACCGAGGTTTACAGGTTCATTGTCCAGAATTTCACTTGGGACCACATGTTCACACTGAGGTATGGATGTTCGGCATCAGCCGAGGAGCCTACATCGTCAGATCCGTTGCCGGTTTGATCAACAATTGCTGCATCATCATTATGCAAATCCAGCGAACACTGCTCTCATCGATCAGGCCTACAGCCTGTATCGGAACCCACACCCAATCCACCACCCATCATCGCCCGAGATGGTCGATTTCAGATCGAGAGTCAGTCACGCAGTACGGACACCAATAAAGTTCATGGGCATTTTCGACACTGTCGGGAGTCGTGGCATTCCAAGGCTGAACTACGACACTGAAACAGGATTCGAGTGGCCCGAGTTTTACGACAACGTGGTGTCGACTGTGGTAAAGAAGGTCTACCATGCCCTGGCGATCCACGATAGGTTTTGGATATTTGAACCATGCCTAGCATCAAGGGACCCGAGGCATACTCCATCAGAGAAAGTTTGAGAGTTGCATTTGGGCTTGCGTCTCTTGAAGAACCTCCAATCGTTGCCCATTCCACGGAAGATCGGGCTGTGTGAAGTATCTTCCTACTAACCAGAAAAGTTTTGGCACAACATTATAAACTCTGCACGCCCCTGCCATAGTACTCGTGTCGTTCAGGAAATGAGGCCGTATTCACCGTTTGCCTTGAACATGCATCTCTCGGCATAATATTAAGGTTCGGGGCTATTGTTGCAGCACGCTACGGCCGTTGTTACCTAATGTACGAGGACCAATACAAACAGTAGCAGCTTAAACCACAGGGTACGGGCCGCTACGATGATTGCATGGGAGAATTACTTCAGAAGTCATTGGCATTTTCAAAATGCTTTGCATGTGATTTTGCTAGTAAATGCCTCTATAATGTAACCTTTGGTGTCCGTGGCGCTAAAAGCTCGTATACCGGAAAAGGCATTGCCCGTGATTTGGGTAGGAGAACCTCTACCAGTCAATATTGTAGCACTGTACTGTTGTACGGGAACCCTCCTTGCACAACTATCCACAATACGACATTGTATCCAGACTTACGACAGCTTAGTCTAGGCCTGACTCGTCTGAGCTGTGTCGCGCTTCCGGAAGGTCTCAGCCAACGATTACGCGCTTTGAAGCGGGGATGCGGCGCAGGGTGCGGGGTAGTCGGTCTTTCTGTTTCTTTGTCCTTTGTTTCCACCATTTGGCTTTAGGTGGCTGGTGCGGGATCATGGTGGTGTTCTATTTCCTGGCTCCGGCCTCCGAATATCTGTGGCCCTTGGGCAGTCGTGAGGACGTGGTGGCGGAGCTTGCGCCATGAACTCATAAGTTTGTACAAATCAACAGCTGCAGAATGGCACTGTGCAGGCGCTGTTTCTGCGTGGCTTGCATAGCGCAAGCGCCTCCAAATTACTAGCCAATCTTAGGATACTAGCTTCAAGCGTTGTGTGCTACAAAACGTGTGCGTGGACGCCCTCCTTCAAATGCGATGTGCGATAGCAAGTGACACAACCCTTTCCTTCTGAAAGCCCACACCGCCTCCCAAACACGCAGTGATGTAACCTTGGCGTTCGCATTGCTTCTCAATACGACACCTGCGAGACTAAGCTGTCGTAAGTCTGGATACTGTAGAGGCCGAAATTAATGTCCAGAATTTCGATTGTTGAAACATTCTCCGCACGGGCCATTTTCACCTCCTTCAAACCCAGGACACCTGCGCCGAAATTTGTTGGGGGAACAATTACAGTTTGTGAGCGCACGTCCACGAAGTGTGCAGATAACGTGTCAATCCTCCAGTGGGCCGATCAACGCTAACGGACCACAGCCAAGGTCTGTTTGGGGTTAGCGTCGCAAATATTGTCCAGTCACATTAATGTCCTCCTCATAGGTGCCCCCAACACGAGCGTACGGCCAATGCTGTGTAACCGGCGTGATGCAAGAGCGGCTTGCGAGCGTCTGAAGTGAGGAAGGAGGGATGAAAAGCGGGATGTCTCTCTGAACGGGTTGAGACGCGGACGCGTATCTTTCCTTTCTTCCTATGCTTCATTTGTAACCCTCTCAATGACAATTAAAGGTATCCCGATCCGGAGCCCTCTTTTTCCAACTTCATGGCAGCTAGCCCATCATTGACCATGGATGCATCCTGGTCTTCAGAAGAATCTGAAGACTTCATATGGCCCACGCTGCCTAGTGAAGGATTTGAGGATGGTTGGCTGCAGGACTCCATCTCTGCTGCATCATCTGGCTCAGCACCATTGGGGATTGAACCGGGACGACCCCTGTGTTCCGGTTGCGAGGCGACGCCGGGTGAAAAATATTGCACCAAATGCAATATAATTATATGCCGCTCCTGCTGCAATGCCATACCTACTCATAGGGGTCCAGCTCCCAGCCACCCAGTGGTATCATATCAAGAACAGTGAGCCTTTATCTCAGACTTTACGACATCGTTGGATGCCTACACTAACCTCTACGAAGTAAACTTTTCAACGAGATCGTCAGTCATCAAGCCGTGGACGAAAATCTTCAGCACCGGCATGATTTTCTCAGCCTCTGGTTTTCTGTCGACAAGGGAAAAGATGGAAAGCTAGAACTCAAGCAGTTCCCGCGGTTTTCCAACCTGGTCAAGGATCACAATAACAGGCATAGACATGGGTCCGATTGTTCTGTCCAGCTTGTTTCCTTTATTGGAAACACTGGTGCGGGCAAGAGTACCTTGATACGTGTTCTCATGAAGCAACCATGGGATATCGCACGCCTAACATCAACCGAGGAGGTCTCAATTTCACTACCTATCGCGGGACGTAGTGGCAGCACGATACCTACTTCCGGGGACGTGCATCTCTATGCAGTCCCCAATGATCCTGCCGCCGGACCGTCCAATCTGTCGCTTTACGCTGATTGCGAGGGTTTCAATGGAGGCGATCAAGAACCCTTAGCGGGCAAGGCAAAGCGAAGTGTCTTGGCGAAAATAGGGGAGATGATCCACACAAAGACCACCGAATCCCTTTCGTGGGCGAAGGACGTTCTGTTATTCCTCAAAGGGACACACATTTTCCCTTTGAGCTTCGAAAGCACTAGGGAAGAGGCAGTCAAAAATCTCTTCCCGCGGCTGCTATACAACTTCTCCGATGTCGTCGTTCACGTCATGCCTTGGGCCGCATCCAGGATGCTGGAACACGTCATTGTCAATCTCCTGGATTGGGCCCAAAATTCTCAGAAAACAGCCGTAAACAGAGTTATCCTCCCGCACATGATCGTGGTCTTGAACGTGGACCTGAGCGAGGAAGTCGACTGGAACACTGCCACCACTACCGAGAGAATCCTTAATGAGCATCTCAGAGCTCTTGAGAATAACCAGACCATAAGCACCTATTGCTGGATGCTCAACCAACTGCGAAATTCTCCTATTACGACCATCCGTGAGTTACTGAATTGCTGCTACTCGTCTGTGCAGTTCATTAGAGTTCCACCAGCGGAGAAGCAACAGTTGTTCTCCCGCCAGGTTCAGACACTTGACTCGCTCATTCACGAAGCAACAATACAGGCTAGGGAAACCAAGGCCGAAGCACGTTGTCTCCTCCATTCGGAAACCCAAGATAAAATGTTCAAGATGGCCTTTGAACACTACAAGAACAACCTCGAAAAGCCCTTTGACTTTCTCGAAAGTCTACTGGCTGCCAGGCCCCTTGACAACACTCTCTCGGCAACACTTTCTGCCCTGCTGAGAGCGGCTATGATAGCATATCGTTCCACCACTGCTGAACTATCAGGGTTCGAATTTTGCTCGATCATTACCCCTACCGTATGCTCAATTATTGCTCTGGACTCATACCGATCCAGCAGCAGGCATCCGGGAACGTTAAGGAACATCTACAAAGGCAGTACCCTGAATTTCCGGGTTGGAGAAGGGGAAGAAGGCGCAGTGACATACCAATCTCAGTTTGCAGCCGCAATCACGGAATTTTTGGAAAAGTCCTGTCCCTGTGACTTCGTTTATGAAGGGAAGAGATGTGTCAACTCCTTTCAGGGGCACAAGGCATCCATGCATCAGGATGAGACCGGTTCCACACACTTCGGGACATTTGAATCCAAGTTTGTTGATGATTGGACTCGGTGCTGGAACGCAGTGATCGACGATTGCTTTAGTGAGTTGGATGACCCTCTTGGTAAGCCTGGTACTGCCGAGCAGCCCGAGGAGTCGATGATGGTCTGGTCTGCTCACTGCCTGAACCTTCGAAACCTCTACTCTGATCTCCCCCAATTGGACATCACAAAGATCAAAACCTGCTCCTGGTGCTTCTATGGCGAACCGTTGAGGTCGCTGGAGTGTGGCCATCGGGTCTGCTGGGCATGTGCCGAGCTGGTGGGTGACAGCCAAGCAGGGTCGTCTAACGAGGATAAGATAGTCGTCGCCGTGGGCAGTTGCGAGCTCCATCCTACTTTAGTCCGCTTCGAAAGCCCCATTCACATTATCAAAGAGTCAGACACTACAGCTATTGTACTTTCAAGTCGGACATAGTCTCTTAAGTACGAGGGTATCAGTTTGCATGGCATCGAAGACTTGCCGTTTGAACTTTTATCTTACGAGCTGGGTCAGATGGCTTGGTACTGTGCGTTTGTCCCCGAGAGTATAGCTGTATAAATCCTAAGATACGTATTACGGGCCCAGGATGATGAGTGCTGTTAAAGAGGTAGGCAGCATCGTGCACGTGGACGACGGTCGATCACGACAGCTTTGCTGCACGATTTAGTAACTTATATGCAGTGTATGACATACATGTCTGTTGGTTCACAAGTTTTAGGAATAGATAACGTAATCCATAAGTGGGTGAGCCACACAAGTGGATGAGCCACTTTCCCGCCATTCTCAATAGATCACCTTCATTCCCTTATTTCTCCACCTACAATAATGGTACGACAATCAAATGAAAGCGACCTAATTCTAGCGCTTAATGCGCTTCGGTCAGAACCAGAATTAAGCGTACGAAAGGCTGCAGGGGGATCTACAATGTATCCCGCGCAACCCTTCAACGACGACGACTAGGCCGACCTGCACAACGCGATACTCGACCACCCTGCCAGAATTTGACCTCGTACGAAGAGGAGAGCATCGTACGATACGTACTCGACCTAGCTTCGCGATCGTTTCCGCCGCGCCTTAGTGGTGTTCGAGAAATGGCAGATCGACTCCTCGCCGAACGCGACGCGCCGCGCGTTGGAACGAACTGGGTCTCAACCTTCGTACGACGACGACCCGAGCTCCGTACGCGTTTCAATCGAAGAATCGATTATCAGAGAGTCCTCTGCGAAGATCCCGACGCGTATCGCGCGTGGTTTTCGCTCGTACGGAACGTAATCGCGAAATACGGGATCCACGATGACGATATCTACAACTTCGACGAGACCGGCTTCGCGATGGGCAAGATCTCCGCCGAGACTGTCGTTACGACCTCCGATCGACGCGGGAGGCCTAGAGCCGTACAACAAGGCAATCAGGAATGGGTTACAGTAATCCAGGGGATCGGGTCGTCCGGCAACTCGATTCCGCCGTACATTATCTTTGCAGGCAAGGTCCACCTCGACTCCTGGACCTCCGAAAGCCCTCTACCGCCAAACTGGGTTATCGCGCTTACTGAACGGCTGGACGACGAACGAGAAAGGCCTCGAATGGGTAAAACACTTCGACTTTCATACAAAGAGCCGTACGAAGGGCGTTTACCGGCTCCTCATCCTCGACGGCCACGAGAGCCACCACTCGGTCGATTTCGAGCTGTACTGCAAGGACCAGAAGATAATCACGCTCTGTATGCCTGCTCATTCGTCGCATAAGCTCCAGCCTCTTGATGTCGGGTGCTTTGGGCCTCTGAAACGGGCGTACGGAAAAGAAATCGAAGGTCTCATACGGGCGCATATAACCCGCGTTTCGAAGGAGGACTTCCTCCCAGCCTTTTATAAGGCGTACGACGCTACGATTATAAAGTCAAACATCCAGGCAGGCTTCAGAGCGACTGGCCTAGTACCGTACGACCCAGAATACGTCATTTCGCAGCTAGACGTAAAGCCTCGTACGCCAACACCGCCAGGTTCTGCAGGCCTACCGCCACCCTGGGTCTCGAAGACGCCGAATAACCCGATTGAGGCGGAATCGCAGACCGAATACATCAAGAATCGTATCGTACGACATCAGGGTAGCTCTCCTTCTTCGATAATTGCAAGCTTACGGCAGCTAAACAAAGGAATCTCGATGATGGTGCACGAGCAGACCCTTATACGCCACGACCTCGCCGAACTTCGAGATGCAAATGACCGCCTTAGCCGGCGTCGTCGTACAAAAAGAAAACAACTACAGAAAGGAGGATCCCTTACAATCGATCAGGCCCAAGGTTTAAAGGATCAGATCGATGCGACGCAGCAGATACAGGCAGAATCGAGTCGGAATAGTGGTCGTACAAGGAGGCTAGAAACGCGCGCGCGACGCTGTGGCGTCTGCGGCGAGCCCGGTCACAATGCGCGTACGTGTCAGAAAGTTGAGTCTGCCTCTGGAGAAGAGGATTCTGAATAGTTTTAATTGATTTCAGGCGTTGTGGTTGATTTAACTTACACAATGTCGTACGAGTGCCCGAAAAGTGTCTCACCCACCCGTGTGTCTCATCCACCCGTGGATTACGTTAATTAATAATTGTGTCGCAGCTTATTAAGCTTCAGTGCACGCGACTATTCACCCGTGAGAATGGGCTAAGCAGAGCTGCTAAAGCTTATCTTCTACATATTGGTCTGAACACAACTACGGACCTCGTAAGGAGTCCCGATTAAGAGAGACCCTGACGATCAGAGCCGTCCTTCATGCATGTCCACAGAACGATGAAGAACTTATGCTGAGACTGCTTGGCACTTGCTTGTAGAATTGGCGCATCAAACTCTTCACGGTAATGCTTCTGCAGAGATTTCCTAATACTTATCTTATTGCAACTCAAAGAAGTTCGGGGACTTATAAGTGTTATAAGAGCCGAACCATCGAACTAGCTACAGCACATCTCTCTGGTGTCACTGGTGTAGACGAAGGATTGTGTGATTGCCCATCGCGCATGGTGCAGTACTCGGCCCTCGTGCTCCGACCCAGGCTCCCTGGTTGCATGACAGGTGCCCTTCCGTTGACTCCAAAAAGTCAACTGTCCACAGCATTAGTGTTACTCGTTACTCATAAAGAGGAAATTGCAGGTGCACCTCATCGACTTGCCTACCAGCGTGCAGTGGGGGCATGAGTTCGAGAAGTGGCCCCCGCATCTATCAAGTGAGTTCGAGACATTCAGATAGCCGTTGTTCATCCAGAGGCATGGCGTGAGATCCATGTACGTATATCCCGTTTCATTCGATGCTCCGCTTGTCCGACAGTCAGCACCAATAACCTTGGATACACCAAATAGCATTGGTGAGCCTTGGGTACCGGGGTGATGGACACGGAAATCTAAACACAGAATTAGTAACTTTACTCACTGCCCGAGGGCGCCCGCACTTACTGGTGCATAGATCTAAGCTTCTTGGGACGGTTCTCTTAAAACACATCCCTCACGGAATAAAAATGATTAATAGACATAATAACAAAAACGATCTCATCTCGTTATAAATCGTAATGGATCCGTAGATATATGAGGAATAGATCACATTAAATGATCACAACCCATGGCTGGCAGGGTCATCATTGCGTGATAATTTGTACCTCTAAAATTGGATGTTCTCGCATTAAACAGGTGGGCAATGGTAAACTCAACAAGCTTACCTCCTGGGAAACTTAGATGACACTGTGACTTTTCTAAATACCTTTGAGTCCAGAGCGCTGAGTGGGATTCAATTATTGATCAGTGGAATTCGAACATTCCTTTGGAAAAGCTAGCACCGGGAAGAAATATAGAAGAAGGCCGCAGCACACTGGCGCCGATTGGGGACCTTAAGTGTGTCAGGCGGCCTTGGCTGCCCGAGACAGGAGATATAAAGGGGCATGATGAGGAGGTTTCCATAGCCCTAGAAAAAGGTAGACGATAAGTACTTAGTTAGGCACAGTGGGGATGTAGCGGGATCCAGGCAGATTTCACTCTTGAAATGCTTCCTGGTATGGAGCTGTCTTGTGTATTCCTATCACTTATTTCAGATATCCTTGACATAATCCTCGTGATTCCCATCCACATCGGGTGGATTTATCCCATCCTCGAGGGCCTTGACATATAAGTGTCCCGTGCGATACTCTTCATCGATCTGCATAATCTTGGCTTGTAGGCTGGATCTCACACACTCGTTGTGGTGATAATCACGCACGCGGCCCGGCACCCTCTGACTTATGTCTTCCTCAGCCACCCCATTCCGCCGCAAATGCCTCTTGAAAGAATCCTGCGTCTCCACAAGCAGACTCGCAACGGGAGGCCCATCAGGATCCTCGTCGAGGAGCTCAAAGATACGGGTCTCGCCGGTGGCCCAGTCCGTCAGTTTGGGCGGATTGCTGCTCAAGTGTTCTTCAGTCAAGCCCGCGGTCTGTGTCATGTAGTTGACGAACCCCCCGTGACCGAAGACGATGATTGCCGGCGTCGACCGGTCGTCCTCCATGTATGCTGCCCTCCCAATCATTATGAGCATCTTTATTGCTTCCTGTCCGCGCTGGATGAGGTTCTCTGGGTGCCAGAGGCCGTGCTTGAGATGCCATGGCTTGTTGTCTCTGTCTTTTGCCCCTGCCAGGTTGCCTCGCGGGTGCGTAGTGTCTGCCTTGCCAGCGACGGCGAGGTTGCCGAACGTCGTGCCCACGAGCAACGCGTCTTCCGGCACGGGCTGCACGAGCTGCTCCAGGTTGAAGTCGTCCAGTCCACCGTGAGGGAGCGTGATACCAGGCTTCGCTCGCAGCTCCTTGTCCACGAGCCGTCTCAGGTGGTCGAGCGGTCTCGTCCGGTCAGAGAACCAAGTTGTCTGCTCGGCAATGAGCGGCGAGATGGTGATACCAGACCTGTTATTTAGCCTCTCGGCCGGGAGCGCGATAATGGCGGTCTGGATCGCCCTCGACAGGCTCGAGATGACGACTGGACTGCCAGTGGTGACATAAGAGTTGTCAGGGTTGTCGAACATATCCTGGTACTCTGCTCGTGTTTTGCTAGAGCAGTAGTCGCGGCCAGACATCTCGGTCTTGGACCAGCCTGCCCTGGTCTCGTCGGTGGTGAGCAAGGGGTCCATCTTGCTGACGGCAGAGTTGTCTGGGACGTTGGACTCGGACGCTCCATGGCGGGTGAAGATGATCCTGTAAGTTCGTGATTTGTTTGGTCCTGGTGCCATTGCCGTGTAGATGTGCTTCGCTTACTTCCTCCAGGTTTGCGTCTTGATTGAGGCGGGAGTTCAGACCGAAAGAAGGTACTTTTTCCCACCCAGCGGTAAGGTGTGGCTATTCTTCTTATATGTGGCTCCGCTCTTGCCCAATAGATATCTGCTAACGCCTGGTTTGGCTGCCCGCCTTGATGCTCATCTGCCTGGTTATTGCAACACGAAAAGCAGTGCGCTGACCAGGCAGGAATAGTGGGCTCATTACGCCCGAAATGTGTGCGCTGAAAATCTGATCAGGCTGAGCACCAAAAGCCACATGCGGAGTGTCTCTGCATTAGCGTGCATCACCTCGCCTTCCCTGGCCCTTGTTACTGCGTGATAATGCTGTATGTCCTATGCCGCCGCTTCCCCCAACAATGCCTGCCAAGGCTCTCTTATTAAGGCTACATCGTTATAGCCTAGAGCCGGCTCAGGCTGTCCCCGCTCGGTGACAATGTGCAGGGACGCATGATTGGCCATTGACTCGGTTGAGAACGTGGTAAGGAACGACAGCGGTGACTCTTCATTCCACTTGATTCGGTTGCGATAAGCGGTGAAGAGGAAAAGGGAAAAGGCAGTGGTGTCACACTCCGTGCAGCATCTTGCAGAACGAGCACCTCTCCTAACCTAGGACACCGTTTCCGGGCATGCCAGTTCTCCTGGACCGAAGCCCAGTCATCGCTGATCAATGCTGTCGTCACCGTCATAGTCAACGAAAGCGGCTGTGCCATTGGAATACTTGGGTTCCATGTACTCGGCTTAGCACTTTGAGCGCTCGGAACCCCAACGCAGCGTCCCAGGCAACTTGCATCTGAGCTTCGGATCGTGCAGCCACGGCCGCACCACATGCTGGGCGGACGATACTCTGTCGTCGTACCCCTCTCTGGCATGGAGCAGGCTCCAGTCATTAAATATCCTGTCGTCTGTGCAACTCGAGATCTCCATCTGGTGCTGGCATGCCACCCTCTGCACCAAGGCGAGGGCGTCGTAGGCTGGGCGCAGGCTAGACACGAGCCCCGCGCGTGCGGCCGGGTGGGGCTGAGGCCAGAGCGATGACCAGCTTGCCTGCATGATCCTCCAGGGGGGTCGCCAGGACGTATGGGGCCTTTTCCCAGCTCTGTTGAGTTTGCGCGCCCGCGTCAGCTTCTTCTTTCTTCCCGGAGTGGCTATTTCGGGGAAGCACTTACACATGAACTGGCCAATCCGCGGCAGCCGAGCTCAGCCAGCACTTCTGCACCTTCCTCGCGATGGTGGGCATGAAATAGCATAACCTGTGTGGAATGGCTGTGAAGTCAACTCATTAGTGTCTTGTCCCAGTCGTCCTGGCTGTTGAGCGGGTCGCAACTACATGCCAGCTCACGGTGCGTGTTCTCGGAGGGATCAAGCCCTCGCAGAACTGCGACGCCCAGTTTGGTGGGCCGTACTTGCAGTAAAGTCGGGCCCGCAATGACGATAGAGAAAAATTGCCCAGGCCGACTTCATCACCATTTAGCTCAAGCTCTATGGTTCATTGTCAGCCAAAATGCCTACGAGTCCAGGCGCCCGAGGGCCAGCACTTACCTTCGAAGTTGTCGAGGGTTGTCTCGACTTCACGCACATCATCTTCCTCGGGCTCGACAAGAATCATGCGGTGGTCCGGAGCATGTGGGCGAGGCACGGCGACCGATTGATGGTATTGCTTAAATGATCCTGAACATCATAAATCAAAGCCTATGTTAGTATGAGACTTTTGTGATAAGATGCTACCGCTCCGAGGGAGTACGGCCGGCTTTTACAGCAGCGACTCTCAACCAAATTGCAGCATTGTATCATGTTGTCTCGGCGATGCGTAAAATCCCGATGCACTCTGTTACACATTTGTCCGCGTTTGCACCGCCAGCAGATAGAGACGCAGGGTGAGACCAGCAGCGTCGGAAGCCATTTTGTGCGGCTGGTGCTGTCCCGGCAAAGGCACCGGCGAGTGATGGCTCGCTCCCGCTTGCCTGGGAACGGTGAGTCAGGAAAGACCGCGATTGACGGGTGCATCGAGACGTTGCTCTTCTGGCTTACTTCCCTCGTCTTATCCGCTATTTCTATTGGGGCGCCTAGGAGGAGATGATCGGCCATCAGATCGAAGACGGTGCGAGATTGCGGGCGGTCGATCTTATGCGATATCCGTGCATGTCGACTCCGTTCTCTCAAGTGCTTGCCTTGTCGTTGTTGTCTAGACCCGTCTTTTCGCGAGCGGGGCTGTTGGTTGCGGGTGCTAGACATAAGGCTGTGGGAGGCGGCTGGAGCCTCTTGCAGCCTGAGAGCCTCGGAATGTGACGAATGTGATGTTTAAGGGCATGGTGCATCTGCAGAGTGGCTGTGATTTCGCAATGATCCTTGTTATCGCGAGCCAGCTTGCCTGGCCCCGTGCACGACCGTGCGCTGAAGTCTCATTGGGTGATGGTGGGGCCGTTAGGCGGCCCTCAAGAGAGCAGGCAGCACCCATGCTGGCCAGCTTGGAAGCATCTGCAGACTGAACAGCCTCACAAGGACGACTGCCGTGTGCGAGAGCAACCGTCCCAGAGGTGATATAAGCTTATGACAGCCTATACTGGATAATGAAGTGCCGACCGTTGCCGACGAGCGATGGGCTTTGGCCTGCAAACGCGTGCAAGTGCCTTGTCCATCCAGAGATGCTACTAGGTAGCGAGTTGACGCCTGCCCCACCTTTCTGTTGTGCGCCGCCCACCCGCCGCGCGCTTCCTCGCGCCTCCAATGGGGTCGCAACCCCAAGTTCAGCCCTGACGGACCCCCTCCGCGCATTGTGCCTGTTCCCCTCCCATCCGCACGTCTCCCAGCATGCTCGTGGACAACACACAGGACAGGAGTCTCGTCAATTACACCAAGTTGCAAACGCGCCGCTTGAGATCTCGTGTTTGGCGCCAAGTCAGCTAGACGCGAGCAACACCCGAAACCGCCTATCGGCAGAAATCGTACTTCCCCACTCTAGGCACACTCGAGCTCGATTTCACCGCCACTGCCCGTCTCACGGCCTCTCCCATGCCCGGCACCTAGCACAACGGCCATCCGCGCACGGCCAGTCCCGTCATGAACTATATCAGCAGGACCTTTCCCCGACAGCGGTTGTGTGGGGACGAAAGTTCACATCACAACAGCATTGCACCCACCATCGTGGCCGGTTCCACGCCGAGCCATCATGGCGGCCGATTTCACATGGCAAACGGAAAACAACCCGTACGCTGACGGACGACGAGGACAACCGGGTACCTACCGTTCGCAGCAGAACACCCGGCGCACTGCGGATAAGTCACGCAATCAGGATAGCTCCTCTCGCCGCGAATCCAGGGATGAACCTGTGCGAAAAGATTCGCGAGATGTGAAGGGCCCATGGGACGTTCGCAATGATCTTGCCCACGGAGCACAAGAGAGCTCGCCTCAGCAAGACAGAGCCAGCGTGGTCAAGGCACCCGGCTTTCGTAAGTTTGCATCCGTGATTCCATCATGGTGGTCACATTTGCTGACAGTGAGCGCCATCAGTCTCTCGATCACGCAGTGCTGCCCCATCCCGTCTCGTTACAGCTGCCAAATCCGAACTCGATATGCTCAGCAGCGAGCCGCCGACGACTGAGAATCCCGGGTACCAAGACCTGTTCAACACCTTTTGGGCTTGGAGTGACACATTAGTTGACCGTGTGTCAGTCAAGTCGCAATTTTCAAGATGGAACGCAGAGGCTGGGCCACGCCGGGCCTTTAATACAAAGCTGGAAAAGGCAGACGAAGGCACTTCCATGGCTCTGCTGCGTCGGACAGAACTGCGACAGCAGGAAAAGGATGAGAAGCTGTTAAAGACCAAGATCTCAGAGACCGACAAGAACCATCAAAAGGGATTGGAAGAGCTCATTTCGAAGTTCATCGCACTCACAAAACCCCCGCCTATAACTGCCGAGGTCTCGGAGAGAGATTGTGGCACAAATCAAGCGCTCGAGCGTAAACTCGAGCTCCTGCAAAGCCGCATCAAACAGCAGGAGGCAGCGTTTGCAGCTGGAGAGCATAAACTTCTTAAGCAGGAGAGGAATGTTGGCGCATGGCAAAAAGAGATGCAGGACCAACGTAATGCAACTTTGAAGGCTGTAGAGACGCTGCGGTTGGAGAACGAGAATCTCAAGAAACAGCTCACGACGCGGATGCGCGAAGTCTCCGAAAAGTCTGAAAAGATGTCTGATAAGCCCTCTACTGAGTGCGACGGCTTTAGGAAGGACCTCAAGAGGATCGACGATGACAGCAAAGCGCGATGCAAGACCATGGAGACTTTATGTCAACAGACTGTCGAGAGATTATCTCAGTCTTCGGCCCAAGTAACGTCTAAGATTACGAGCATGGAGGCAGCACTGAACAAGCAGGCGCGGGAGTGCGACAACCTGGGCATACAGATGCAGCAGGTCCGAGACTCATGCGCCAGTTTAACCAGCACAATCAAATCATTAGAGGCCGAGATGGAGAATACCACAGAGAAGGTTGACTCACTTGACCTGGAGAGCTTGGACAAGATGGTCAACACGTGGGTTGACAACAAGATCCCGGGACGGGTCAAGGGTCATGAGGCAGAGATCAACAACATGCGCAAGGAACTCTCCGCGCTCAAGGATCATCTCTCGGTCAGACACGTCTCGGCTGCCACACATTTACCGAACCAATCAGCCTCAGTCTCGCCAGATTACCTCGATACGAAGTTGGCAGAGTTGTACGGCAAGGTGCAGACGACGGTGGCGGAGACGAGTGATTGGCTCGGCGATGAGCTTGATGGTCTGAGAAATGACTTTCAGAAGCTCAGGGACGAGAAGCTGGCGGAACGCATCGCCGCCCTAGAGGCTGGAGGTCTCGAGAAGAGCTCCGATTCTGCTGCAACATTGGCGCTTGCATCGCGTTTACAAGACCTGGAAGGACAAGACCTGCCAGGCAAAGTGGACTCGCTGCAGACCCTCTGCATGGCTCGCCTGGGGGAGGTCGAAAAGTCTGTCAAGGACTGGAATACACAAGTGCAGGAACGCGCCAGTCAGGTTCTGCGCCAGGACTTCCAGGCTGTCAAGGATAAGCTTGAAGGTGTCGCGATGCAGGCAAACCACCTCGATACTCAATTCAAGAATGTGACGACCAAGGAGATGGCTCGAATGATCCTTGGTGAGCTCAACCAGGTCACCAATAAGTCCGACAGCCCGGGACGCAAGGCCATCGAGGCTGTGGAGAAGCTCAGCAGTAGGCTCGATACCATGTCGACAGAACTTACACAAGCCAAGCACGCGCACGCCCAGGCTCGAGAACATATGCAAGACGAATTCACGAAACTGAGCGACTTCGTCGAGGTGGTCGCCCGCACTGGGCAGCGCACAGGCGACAAGAGGTCCGCCGAGGCACAAGCGAATGGAGCCGACAGCCCTGTCGATCCGAAACGCCCAAGGCTTAGCAGCAATGATCGTTAAGTGAGCAGTGACGGACTGCCCCGTTTTGTGTATGTCGGGCTGTGCTTGTTCTGATAGAGCACTATTCTCATCACACACAGCCGTAAGTCCAGCACAAGCATGATTGTCTACGCACTACAGTAGTGGCCACAATCAGTCTCCACAAACAAACTTAATTGAGTTGATTCCCGCACGAGCCACATTGACCCAATTGTGGCTGAGGACTGTGCGAAAAAGGTTCAGCACTATGTACCGTCCATATAAGCTCCTCCATTTCTGGCTGCCTTTAACTTGGCTGATGCTCTGCTCCAGCGACCCTTTATGGCGAGAACCTCCTGACCAAAACATGGTTTATTCAGCTGCACATGCTTGAGAGATTGAGCCGTCTAAATAAAACCTAGACGCCATATATAGCTGGCCTATAAAACGGCACAGCGATCAGGTTGCGATTTCGATCTCGTTTCATACATGTGCTCATTTCTAATTAGAAATTGCTCCTGTATGAGAATTGCTCTTGAGAATACAGACGAGACATCTTTCTCAAGATTTCGTTGGTAATCTTAAATGCGGTGTTGGGGTGGTTGGGACCGCTACTCACGTGACTTTAGGCACGGCTGTGGAAAAATGTCCACGCCTGTGGAAAAAGGTCCACGCCCGTGGAAAAAGGTCCACGCCTGTGGAAAAAGGTCCACGCCCGTGGAAAAAGGTCCACGCCCGTGGAAAAGCTTCCACGCTCGTGGAAAACTTCCCCAGCGCCCCGCATTTCGCGAACCCCCTTTTGGCCAAAGCGACGTCTCTCAATCATCTTTGCGTCTTCATTCTCCGTGTTATCACTGCCTATGGAGGCTATGAAGTATTTTGCCCTGGGCCGGGCTAAGATCGACTATAAAAGTGACGGCGCCCCACCATGCGGTTGGACATTTCCTTCATTCGAAGATTTAGAACGGATCGTGTCAGTGTTTGTCAGCCGACATGGATACAAGGCCAGAACGGAGGAGAAGAGGGAGAGGACCCGATTCTATGTCTGCGGATATAAACAATGTCCCGTTGCGTGGAGCGCACAACGAGTGGTCGACAAGTTTCCTCCGCTCTTAGATTCGCTTGAGGTGGTCCGCATACAATATTCAACCACGATCAGCCATAACCACCAGCTTACCGCTCGTCCGGAGCCAAAACCCCTTC